TCTTTCCTTCCTTCTTTCCTTCCTTCCTTCCTTCCTTCCTTCCTTCCTTCCTTCCTTCTCTTCCTCTTCCCTTCCTTCCCCCTCCCTTTTCTTTCCCTTCCTTTTTCTTCACTTTTTCCTTCTCTACCTATTCTTGGACTTCAACTCCCAGCAGTCCTCCTGATCAATCTGTCTACCTACCTATCTCTGTTGTGTTGTGTTGTGTTCTGTTGGGAGTTGTGTTTTTCAGTGTTTTTATGTTCACTTCTTGGCCTGAGAGGGGTCTTGTGTCCAAATTTGGTGTCAATTCGCCTAGTGGTGCTTGAGTTCTGTTAATCCCACAAACGAACATGACATTTTTATTTACATAGAGAATGGATGGATCACGACCTGTTAGGATTGCAACCCATCAGGGGAAGCAGAGTTTGAGGGGAGCATTCCTTGAGTTGATTTGAGGCAACATTCAAGCAGACTTCTTTTAGAATAGCAATGTGTTGCTCCACACCTCTCTCCTCAATTTACTAGCTTCTAACATTCGCTCCAACTGACCTTCTCTAGCAAGGCTCCCAGATCAACACTGACTTTCTCTCATTGCCATTCCTTTTAAAACAACATTATAAACCGCCAGTCACGTGATCGCAGCCCCTCTCACTGCTCCAGCACAAAGGTAATTGCAAACTATAAACAAGACATACACTTCCGGTTACAAAATCACATACTAATAAAATATTATTACACAACAGACAAAGGGTTATTGTAGGTTTTTTGGGCTATGTGGCCATGATCTAGAAGCATTCTCTCGTGACGTTTCGCCTCCATCTATGGCAAGCATCCTCAGATGTGCGGTCCTGTTTAGTTGTGCCGTCCTTACTTTGAAAGTAGTTGTCATACTCCGGAAACGTCAATTTTGTGACTGACACAAACCGTGTTGAATAGGTTGAGACTCTGTTATAGAATCTTAGAATCCTAGAGTTGGAAGAGACCTCCTGGGCCATCCAGTCCAACCCCCTTCTGCCAAGAAGCAGGAATATTTCATTCAAAGCACCCCTGGCAGATGGCCATCCAGCCTCTGTTTAAAAGCTTCCAAAGAAGGAGCCTCTACCACACTCCCTCCGGGGCAGAGAGTTCCACTGCTGAATGGCTCTCACAGTAGGAAGTTCTTCCACGTGTTCACGTTATATGCTAATCCTCATGTTATATGCTAATCAAGGCAGTCAGTTGAAACATTCACCCCTAGCTCCAGCGGACGAGAGTCCTTTGTCCCACCGTGGTCATTCCACAGATATAGAAACCCTTTTTCCTAGTTCCAACAGACCTCACTACCTCCGAGGATGCTTGCCATAGATGCAGGCGAAACGTCAGGAGAGAATGCCCCTAGACCATGGCCCTATAGCCTGAAAAAACCTACAACAACCCATTGCCCAAGGCACAGTCAGGCCATTATAGAATCATAGAATCAAAGAGTTGGAAGAGGCCTCCTGGGTCATCATCCAGTCCAACCCCCTTCTGCCAAGAAGCAGGAATATTGCATTCAAATCACCCCTGACAGATGGCCATCCAGCCTCTGTTTAAAAGCTTCCAAAGAGGGAGCCTCCACCACACTCCCTCCGGGGCAGAGAGTTCCACTGCTGAACGGCTCTCACAGTCAGGAAGTTCTTCCTCATGTTCAGATGGAATCTCCTCTCTTGTAGTTTGAAGCCATTGTTCCATTGCGTCCTATTTATTGAAAAACTAGAGGCAAATGTGCTGCAGGATGATGTTTAAACTGATCTCTAGGAGCCGGGCAAAGGCCTTGGTTCACAGTAATGCACTTGCTGGCCCAGAACCCCACTCCTTGGGTTTTGTCATCTGCCTGCGGTGGTTTGGAACGCCCGCATTGCCCTTCCTCGCACAAATCTATTTGGTTCTGATCGATGGATCCTGGTATTTTGGCAGGGAAAGCAGCAAGGAGCCATCGAAGGGGATTTTGCCCTCTGCATCAGCCTGTACCACGGCTACGAGCTGCTCCTGCAGATGGGCATGCGCTCGCTCTATAGCTTCTTGGCGGGAATCATGGACGGATCCAAAGGTAAGGGCCACCTTCACACCCACAACCGGCTCTGCTCCTCTCCAAACGCTTGAAGCTGCATTTTAAGGTGAATTTTAGAAGGTATTAAAAGAACAGGAAAAAACAGAGATACAGCATGATCCCCGTATCCATTGGGGGGGGGGGGGGGATATATTCAAACTAGTCAGGTTAGTAGGTTAAAAATGGCAGGAACAAAAATACCATATATTACCACATATTCCCAGTGTTACTTGTGCATACGTTTTCTTTGAGTCTTTCTTTCCTTCCTCTGTTTCCCTCATAGACCTTCCCCTCCTTCCTCCCTCCCCTCCTCCCTTCCTTTCCTCCCTTCTTTTCCTTTCTTCCCTCCCTCCTCCCTTCCCTTCTCTTTTCCCTTTCTCCTCTGCTTTTTTTCTATTCTCTTCTTTTTCTTTCTTTCTTCTCTCCCCTTCCTTCATCCTTTTTTCTTTCCTCCTTTCTCTCTTTTTCCTTTATTCTCTTCCTTCCTTCCTTTCTCCTCTTTCTTTCCTCCTTCCTCCTTCCTTTCCTTTCTTTTCTTTACTTACTTTCTTTCTTTCTTTCTTTCTTTCTTTCTTTTTCTTTCTCTCTTTCTTCTTTCTTTTTCTTTCTTTCTTTCTTTCCTCTCTCCCCTTCCTTTCTCTTCCCTCCTTTTTCTTTATTCTCTTCCTTCCTCTTCTCTTTCTTTCCTCCCTCCCTTTTCTCTTCTTTCTTTCTTCTCTCCCTCCCTTCATCCTTTCTCTTCCCTTCTTCTTCCTTCCTTCCTTCCTTCCTTCCTTCCTTCCTTCCTCTTCCTTCCCTTTCTTTCCTCCCTTTCTTTCTTTCTTTCTTTCTTTCTTTCTTTCTTTCTTTCTCTCTCTCTCTCTCTCTCTTCCTTCTTTTTATTTCTCTTTCTTTCCTCCCCTCCCTTCATCCATTCTTTCTTGTCTTCCTTTCTCTTCCCTTCTTTTCCTTTATTCTCTTCCTTCCTTCCTTTCTCTTCCCTTTCTTTCCTCCCTTCCTCCTCCCTTTCCTTTTCTTTTCCCTTTTACTTTCTTTCTTTCTTTCTTTCTTTCTTTCTTTCTTTCTTCTCTCCCACCCTTAATCCTTTCTCTTCCCTTCTTTTTCTTTTTCTTCCTTAAATATGTGCCTCCCTTCCTCCCTCCCTATGCCCCTGCTGTTCTTTGTCCTATGGGACAATAATTACAGTGTGTACCTACTCTCTCACACATGTGCACGAAGGCCTAGATTTTTACCTTCTTTTTCTTTATTCTCTTTCCTTTCTCTTTCTTTCCTCCCTTCTTTCTTTCTTTCTTTCTTTCTTTCTTTCTTTCTTCTCTCCCTCCCTTCATCCTTTCTCTTCCCTTCTTCTAACTTCCTTTCTTCCTCTTTCTTCCCTTTCTTTCCTCCCTTCCTTCCTCCCTCTTTCTTTCTTTCTCTCTCTCTCTCTCTCTTCCCTTCTTTTTATTTCTCTCTTTCTTTCCTCCCCTCCCTTCATCCATTCTTTCTTGTCTTTCTTTCTCTTCCCTTCTTTTCCTTTATTCCCTTCCTTCCTCTCATACACATGTCATCTAGCAACAGCCAATCCCTTTCTTTCAGAATCATAGAATCATAGAACCATAGAACCAAAGAGTTGGAAGAGACCTCATGGGCCATCCAGTCCAACCCCATTCTGCCAAGAAGCAGGAATATTGCATTCAAATCACCCCTGACAGATGGCCATCCAGCCTCTGTTTAAAAGCTTCCAAAGAAGGAGCCCCCACCACACTCCGGGGCAGAGAGTTCCACTGCTGAACGGCTCTCCCAGTCAGGAAGTTCTTCCTCATGTTCAGGTGGTATCTCCTTTCTTGTAGTTTGAAGCCATTGTTCCATTGCATTCTAGTCTCCAAGGAAGCAGAAAGGAAGCTTGCTCCCTCCTCCTCCCTGTGGCTTCCTCTCACATATTTATACATGGCCCTCATCATGTCTCCTCTCAGCCTTCTCTTCTTCAGGCTAAACATGCCCAGCTCCTTAAGCCGCTCCTCATAGGGCTTGTTCTCCAGACCCTTGATCATTTTAGTCGCCCTCCTCTGGACACATTCCAGCTTGTCAATATCTCTCTTGAATTGTGGTGCCCAGAATTGGACACAATATTCCAGATGTGGACACAATATTCCACATGTGGCATCACAGAGGGCCACTCCACCTAGCCACAGCCAATCCGCTCTGTTCCCTCTCTTCCCCTCTGCTCTGGGCCCAAAAGAGGTGGGTCTGTGCCAGAGCAACACACGATTCTCTCACAAGAACAGGGCTTGGTTTCTTTTCTCTGTAGTTCTCTTGTTGACTTTCATTTTTAAAGGGAAGGGGGTGGAGTCTGCGATCTCAGCATTTTGTTTATTTTAATTCCTTCGCCCTTTCTGTTGAAATTGTCCACGTGCTTGTGGAGTTTAATGGCTTCCCTGTGGAGATCGCAGCTTCTTTAAAATCATCTGTCTTTCTTTCTGTCTTTCTTTCTCAAGGCATGACACGTTCCCGGAATGAGCTTGGGCGCAACGAGGACTTTGTGACGCTGTACAGACAGCTGGAAAGCATGTTTGTGGATACAAGCGCATCTCCAGCCAGTGGCAGCAATGCAATGCCAGGTTGGCACTTTTCAGTTCAAGTTCCAATTATTATTATTATTATTATTATTTGAAAAACAACAAGATGAGTCCACAGCAAACAAGATCACTCTGCTGGCTGTTTAATTGGATCACACATCAGACACTTCCCAAGCGCCTAGGACTGTGTGATGTATCGGCAAATAATGTGTGCAGATCCCAGTGCCAAACTTGGCACAAAGAATGCCCACGACCAACAGAAAACACTGGAAGGGTGTGGTGGGCATTGATCTTGAGTTTGGAAGTTGTAGTTCACCTACAGAGAGCACTATGGACTCAAACAATGATGGATCTGGACCAAACTTGGCACAAATACTCAGTATGCTAAATGTGAACACTGGTGGAGTTTGGGGAAAATAGGCCTTGACATTTGGGAGTTGTAGTTCATAGAATCATAGAATCAAAGAGTTGGAAGAAACCTCCTGAGCCTTCATCCAATCCAACCCCATTCTGCCAAGAAGCAGGAATATTGCATTCCAATCACCCCTGACAGATGGCCATCCAGCCTCTGTTTAAAAGCTTCCAAAGAAGGAGCCTCCACCACACTCCGGGGCAGAGAGTTCCACTGCTGAACGGCTCTCACAGTCAGGAAGTTGCTGGGATTTATAGTAAACCTACAATCAAAAAGCATTCTGAACCCCACCAATGATAGAATTGGGCCAAACTTCCCACACAGAACCCCCAGGACCAACAAAAAATGCTGTGTTTTCCGATGGGTCTTTGGTGACCCCTCTGGCACCCCCTGGCGACCCCTCCAGGGGTCCCGACACCCAGGTTGAGAAACACTGATCTAGATCAACCTCATCATTAGAAACAGCATTAGAAACATGAACGTCATTGTCACTCCCGACATCCAGAGTACCCTGATCATTAGACATAATCACAGGCTGAACTCCAACAGGCTTGATATTTAAGCAAAGATATAAATATTGCTTATTTATTTATTTATTTGCAGAAATAAAAAAATAAGCAGCACAGTCCAGGGTCACTCCCAGGTGCTTGGGTGTGAGGTATGAGCCCTGTGAGAATAAGAAATATATTATGATATGAACAGATCTTCCAGAGATCTTGCTTCATAGAATCATAGAATCCTGGAATCCTAGAGTTGGAAGAGACCTCCTGGGCCATCCAGTCCAACCCCATTCGGCCAAGAAGCAGGAATATTGCACCCCTGACAGATGGCCATCCAGCCTCTGTTTAAAAGCTTCCAAAGAAGGAGCCTCCACCACACTCCAGGGCAGAGAGTTCCACTGCTGAACGGCTCTCACAGTCAGGAGGTTCTTCCTCATGTTCAGATGGAATCTCCTCTCTTGTAGTTTGAAGCCATTGTTCCCTTGCGTCCTAGTCTCCAGGGAAGCAGAAAACAAGCTTGCTCCCTCCCTCCTCCCTGTGGCTTCCTCTCACATATTTATACATGGCTATCATATCTCCTCTCAGCCTTCTCTTCTTCAGGCTAAACATGCCCAGCTCCTTAAGCCGCTCCTCATAGGGCTTGTTCTCCAGACCCTTTTATCATTTTAGTCGCCCTCCTCTGGACACATTCCAGCTTGTCAATATCTCTCTTGAATTGTGGTGCCCAGAATTGGACACAATATTCCAGGTAACGTGGTCTAACCAAAGCAAAATAGAGCATGGGGAACATGACTTCCCTGGACCTAGACACTAGGCTCCTCTTGATGCAGGCCGAAACCCCATTGGCTTTTTTTTTGCCGCCACATCACATTGTTGCTTGTGCCGGCAGTGACAGTGAGGCGGAAAGGAATGCTTCATCGTTGAGTCCTGGGCATTGGTGATGCTTTTTAATCTGTTTCTTTCTCTCTTTTTTTACCCTTTACAAATGATCCAGGCCTTTCTCAAGTTGCTTTGGAATGAAATACAAAATGTGTGAAATTATGCATTATATTTCAACCCGTATTTCTTCTTTTCCCCAGAATGTATTTGTTGTGTTATGTGTTCTTTTCATTTCCTAACCCACAACTCAGACAAAGTAGACCCTGTTTAGAGACGTTATATCTAAAGCGGGGATACCTTTGGGCTTACAGGAACTGGAATCAAGCAGCCCTTCGTTTACGGACACCCAAAGTTGAAGAAATTAGAAGAGGTCGTGACGGAGCATTTCCGGTCCTGGAATGAGAACGCAGGTATACCCTATCCATAGCTACAATGTTTAACATTCCAGTTCGCTGCATTTTCTAAATCAGGCCTGGGCCAACTTTGGCCCTCCAGGCGTTTTGGACTCCAACTCCCACCATTCCTAACAGCCTGCCAGAGGGATGAAGTTTGCCCAGACCTGATCTAAATGTTCCCACTTGAATGATGATGGGGTAATTCCATTTTCCCCTTTTGAAAACATATTTTGTTCCCTTTTGTAATCATACCACCTTGGGAACCCGACGGTGGCCGGGTTATTTGAAAAAAGGCTTTGTTGTTTTTTTGGATGTTTGGTGACATCCCTTACGTTTGGTTTAGATTTATCATTAGCTGAGCTTAATGCTCTCTGGATAAGGGTGAGCTGCAACTCCCAGATTCTCAAGGCAATCACCTCCAAACCGTGACAGTGTTTGCAGCTGTCCATGTTGGGTCTGCGTGCCAAGTTTGGTCCAGATCCATCGTTGGATGAGTTTAGCACTCTCTGGGTAAGGCTGAACTACAACTCCCAGATTCCCAGGGCAAACATTCCCAACTCCTGTCTGTATGCACAGTTGGCGATCTTGGGTCTGTGTTCCAAGTTTAGTCCAGATCCATCGTTGGCTGGGTTCAGTGCTCTCTGGATAAGGGTGAGCTACAACTCCCAGATTCTCATTCTATCACCTCCAAACCGTGACAGTGTTTGCAGCTGGCCATGTTGGGCCTGTGTGCCAAGTTTGGTCCAGATCCATAGTTGGCTGGGTTCAGTGCTCTCTGGATAAGGGAGAACTACAACTCCCAGATTCCCAGGGCAATCACCCTGAAACCCAGCCAGTTTTCACAGCTGGCCATATTGAGTCTGTGTGCTATGCTAATAATGATAATATATTGTATGTACACATAATATCGATCATAATATTGTAATACAATATAATATTAATAATACAATATAATAGTTTTGTATTTCATATTACATTACTCATAATATTACAATATAATAGTGCAATATAGTACAATATAGTAATATATAATATTGTACTATGCTAATAATATAATATATTGTATGTACACGTAATATCAATCATAATATTGTAATACAATATAATACTAATAATACAACATAATAGTTTTGTATTTCATATTACATTACTAATAATATAACAATATAATGGTATAGTGCAATATAGTAATATATAATACTAATATTGTACTATGCTAATAATATCATATATTGTAGGTACATATAATATCAATCATAATATTGTAATACAATATAATACTAGTAATACAATATAATAGTTTTGTATTTCATATTACAATAATTAACATTACAATATAATGGTATAGTACAATATAGTAATATATAATACTAATATTGTACTATGCTAATAATATAGTATATTGTATGCACATATAACTTGCAAGCCATTCTGAGTCCCCTTTGGGGTGAGAAGGGTGGGATATAAATACCGTAAATAAATACATAAATAAATAAATAGTGTTGAGCCAACGGTGGTTAAAGTGGTATCAATCTGCATCTGCTTGACAGTGTCAACACACCCTGAATCATATTGGTGTATCGTATTGTTGTATTTGGGCTTGGCCTCATGTAAGCCCCATCGAGTCCCTTGGGGAGAGGGTAGCAGGGTATAAATAAAGTGTTGTTATTATTACTATTACTATTATTATTATTATTATTATTATTATTATTATTATTATACCTGCTATTTCACAAAAGCTGCCCCTGTGTGGGTTCTGACCTGGACTTCTTTCCCCTGTGTTAACCCCTCTGCTCCTTCCTCCGGCCCCAACAGGCCAGACCCGGGTGATGATCTTCTCCTCCTTCCGCGACAGCGTCCAAGAAATTGCGGAGATGCTCAGCCGACACCACCCCCTCCTGAGGGTCATGACCTTCGTGGGCCATTCGGTGGGCAAAGGCAAGGGCAGCAGTAGCAGGGGCTTCACGCAGAAGGAGCAGCTGCAGGTGAGGCCACGTCCAGCACTCTGGACTGAGCTTGGCACACCTACAAACAGCAATGTTGCCTGGTTGCCCTTTATATGTGTGCAAAGCTCTGTGATGGTGTTTTATGTTCTATTGTATTACTTTGTATTGTTTGTTATATTTTATGCTTGTTTCATTTTATTTTATTATGATGTTGCCTTATGCTTTTTATGTTACTGTATTGTAATGCATTCCTGGGCTTGGCCTCATGTAAGCCGCCCCGGCGGGGTTTAAATAAAGTTTATTATTATTATTATTATTATTATTATTATTATTATTATTATTATTGTATTACAATGCAATGCAACTGTTTGGTTTGCTCCTGACACGACAAATATATTATTATTATGTATTGTCGAAGGCTTTCATGACCAGAATCACTGCGTTGTTGTAGGTTTTTTCGGGCTATATGGCCATGTTCTAGAGGCATTCTCTCCTGACGTTTCGCCTGCATCTATGGCAAGCATCCTCAGAGGTAGTGAGGTCTGTTGGAACTAGGAAAAGGGTTTATATATCTGTGGAATGACCAGGGTGGGACAAAGGAGTCTTGTCTGCTGGAGCTAGGTGTGAATGGGTTGTTGTAGGTTTTTTTGGCTATATGGCCATGTTCTAGAGGCATTCTCTCCTGACGTTTCGCCTGCATCTATGGCAAGCATCCTCAGAGGTAGTGAGGTCTGTTGGAACTAGGAAAAATGGGTTTATATATCTGTGGAATGACCAGGGTGGGACAAAGGACTCTTGTCTGTTGGAGCAAGGTGTGAATGGGTTGTTGTAGGGTTTTTTGGGCTATATAGCCATGGTCTAGAGGCATTCTCTCCTGACGTTTCGCCTGCATCTATGGCAAGCATCCTCAGAGGTAGTGAGGTCTGTTGGAACTAGGAAAAAGGGTTTATATATCTGTGGAATGACCATGGTGGGACAAAGGACTCTTGTCTGCTGGAGCTAGTTATTATGATAGGGTTGTTGTAGGTTTTTTGGGGCTATATGGCCATGTTCTAGAGGCATTCTCTCCTGATGTTTCGCCTGCATCTATGGCAAGCATCCTCAGAGGTAGTGAGGTCTGTTGGAACTAGGAAAATGGGTTTATATATCTGTGGAAAGACCAGGGTGGGACAAAGGACTCTTGTCTGCAAAGGACTTTACTCTGAGGATACTTGCCATAGATGCAGGCAAAACGTCAGGAGAGATGCCTCTAGAACATGGCCATATAGCCCGAAAAAACCTACAACAACCTATTATTATTATTATTATTATTATTATTATTATTATTGCCGAAGTCTTGCTCATTGCCTCTGCCCTGGAGCAGATTGCCGTCGAAAAGTTCCACTGGGTGGGCTGCAAACTCCTCAAAGTTCCAGTCCTGGGCTCTTCTGGCATTCCTCTGGTATGAATCGATGATGAGCACATGATGAGCACTGAAGAACAATCTCTGTGTTTCAATCCTTGTCCTTTTGAGTCCCCTTGGGGAGATAGGGTTGGCTACAAATAAATTATTATTATTATTATTATTATTATTATTATCATAATCATCATCAAGGGTCTGGAGAACAAGCCCTCTGAGGAGCGGCTTAAAGAGCTGGGCATGTTTAGCCTGCAGAAGAGAGGGCTATGTATAAATATGTGAGGGGAAGTCATAGGGAGGAGGGAGCAGCACTTGTTTTCTGCTTCCCTGGAGACTAGGACGCAATGGCTTCAAACTACAAGAAAGGAGATTCCATTTGAACATTAGGAAGAACTTCTTAACTGTGAGAGCTGTTCAGCAGTGGAACTCTCTGCCCTGGAGTGTGGTGGAGGCTCCTTCTTTGGAGGCTTTTAAACAGAGGCTGGATGGCCATCTGTCGGAGGTGCTTTGAACGTGTTTTTCCTGCTTCTTGGCAGAAGGGGGTTGGACTGGATGGCCCATGAGGTCTCTTCCAATTCTATGATTCTAATTATTATTATTATTATTATTATTATTACCATCACCACCCTTCGTGGTACAGTGCATTAAACCGCTGAGCTGCCGAACTTGCTGACCGAAAGTTGGTGGTTCAAATCCAGAGAGTGGGATGAGCTCCCGCTGTTAGCCCCAGCTTCTGCCAACCTAGCAGTTTGAAAACATGCAGATGTGAGTAGATCAATAGGTACCACTCCGGCAGGAAGGTAACAACTCCCCATTAAGTCATGCTGGCCACATGACCTTGAAGGTGTCTACAGACAATGCCAGTTCTTGGCTTGGAAATAGAGATGAGCACCAGAGTCCCAGAGTCAGTGTCAAGGGGAAACCTTTACTATTATTATTATTATTATTATTATTATTATTATTATTATTATTATTTTGCTGCAGAAACGACGTGCTTTTGTCAGGACTGAAAGGTTTCCCTATGATTAACACTATGTAACAAAATTTGCAAAATTCTGTGTGCCAAGTTTGGTTCAATTCCATTGTTGATCGAGTTCATAATGCTCTTTAATTGTAGGTTAACTATAAATCGCAGCAACTACAACTCCCAAATGACAGATTCAATCCCTCCAACCCCACTAGTATTCAAATTTGGGCATATCGGGTATTTGTGCTAAATTTGGTCCAGTGAATGAAAATACATCCTGCACATCACGATATTTACATTATGATTCATAACAGGAGCAAAATGACAGTTATAAAGTAGCACCAAAAAGATGGTTGGGGGTCACCACAACATGAGGAATTTTATTAAGGGGTCACGGCATTAGGAAACTTGAGAACCACTGCCATAGAGGCAATTGCCATTTTCTTATTTTCCTGATGATGCCTTTAGGGCTCGCCCACTCACAGTCACTACTAACACGTATCCTCCAGTGCCTCCGATGACACAACTATAAAAGAACACAACAGGCACGTCTCCCTTTGGTAGTCACAACCGAGGGCTACGTTTTAGTCCTTCCTTCCTGCTGCAGGTGGTGAAGCGCTTCCGCGAGGGCGGCTACAACACCTTGGTCTCCACCTGCGTGGGAGAGGAAGGCCTGGACATCGGGGAGGTCGACCTCATCGTCTGCTTCGACGCCCAGAAGAGCCCCATCCGCCTGGTGCAGCGCATGGGCCGAACGGGGCGCAAGCGGCAGGGGCGCATCGTGGTCATCCTCTCCGAAGGACGGGAAGAGCGGGTGAGAGACGAGGGAGCAGAACCCAATTGTCGTGTGGTTTCCAGGCTGTATGGACGTGTTCTGGAAGCATTTTCCGACGTTTCACCATGTAAAAAAATGGAAAAACATTATGTTGCTGGTGTTAGTCCAGCCCTTTCTAACCAGGAACATAACCAGAAAAAAAGAGATCACACCAATTGAAAAGTTGACAGTTTGAAGCCCGGGTTGGGTTGAGCATCTGACCTTCAGCCCAGCTTACTGCCCACCTATTTATTTATTTATTTATGCACATTTATAGCCCACCTTTCTCAACCATATGGCAAATCAAGGCGGGTCACAGATTGACACAATTCAGTGCCCTGCATTAATAAAAGTACGATTAAAAACATAACAATATAAAAACCATTAAAACACGTAGTCACTGATGCCATCTTCTCAAAATCGTTTTCCAGTAACATCGCCTGGCCATTCCATGTTCATCATTCATAGCTTCATGTTATCTATTCTGTTGCATTCTCAAAAGCTTGCTCAAAGAACCAAGTTTTTACCTTTTTTGGAAAGTCAGGAGGGAGGGGGGCGGTGTAATATCCCTGGGGAGGGAGTTCCATAGCCGGGGGGCCACCACTGAGAAGGCCTTGTCCCTCGTCCCTGACAATCATGTTTGCGATGCAAGCGGGATCGAGAGCAGGGCCTCCCCAGAGGATCTTAAGCTTCTAGATTTATTTATTATTTATTTAAAGCGTTTATATTCTGCCCTTCTCACCCCGAAGGTGAGTCAGGGCGGAGCACAACATATAAATGGCAAACATTCAATGCCGAAATATATTAGACCATGCACATACAAAAGCATTAAAATTACTTATATTGATGTTAAAATCCACTAGTTAAAACTGTCTCAACAACCATATGGAATTTGGTTGGCATACTAAGGGTTCCTGTCGCTGCCTCATTGCACAGTCCCAAAGGCTCGGTCCCACAGCCACGTTTTTATAATCCTTCTAAAGGACAAGAGGGAGGGGGCTGACCTGATCTCATTAGGAAGGGAGTTCCATAGCTGAGGGGCAATCACCAAGAAGGCCCTGTCTCTCGTCCCTGCCCAACGCGCCTGTGATGGTGACTGGACCGAGAGCAGGGCCTCCCCAGAAGATCTTAGTCTGTTGTCACCAAAATGGGAGTCAAAAGCTGATCTAGATCTAGGGAAGTAATGCTACCCCCCTATTCTGCTTTGGTTAGACCACACCTGGAATATTGTGTCCAATTCTGGGCACCACAATTGAAGAGAGATATTGACAAGCTGGAATGTGTCCAGAGGAGGGCAACTAAAATGATCAAGGGTCTGGAGAACAAGCCCTATGAGGAGCGGCTTAAGGAGCTGGGCATGTTTAGCCCGAAGAAGAGAAGGCTGAGAGGAGATATGATAGCCATGTATAAATATGTGAGAGGAAGCCACAGGGAGGAGGGAGCAAGCTTGTTTTCTGCTTCCTTGGAGACTAGGACGCGGAACAATGGCTTCAAACTACAGAGAACGGTAACTACAATTAAAAGCTGGCATTTGCACAATGTATTGTTGAAAGCTTTCATGGCTGGAATCACTATGTTCTTGTAGGTTTTTTGGGCATTATGGCCAAGTTCTAGAAGCATTCTCTCTTGACGTTTCACCTGCATCTATAGCATCCACCCAAACATCCAGTTCACCATGGAAAAAGAAAATGAAGGAAGACTGCCCTTTTCTAGATGTCCTAGTCATCCGCAAACCAGATCAACAATTGGGTCACACCGTCTACAGAAAACCCACACACACAGATAGATATCGACATAAAAACTCCAACCATCACCCAAGTCAAAAAAGAAGCACCATTAAAGCCTTGGCAGACCGTGCAAAAAGAATCTGGGAACCCCACCTCCTCCAAGATGAACTGAACCACCTCAACTGGGCTCTACAGGCCAATGGATACTCCACCTCAGACATCAGAAGAGCTGCAAGACAGAACAAACCACGAGAGTAAAGATGAAGATCCACCCAGAAGAAAAGTGTTCTTGCCATACATCAAGGGAACCACTGACCGCATAGGGAAGCTGATGAAGGAAACAACCTACAAACTATCTACAGACCCACTAAAAAAAATCTAACAATTGCTACATTCAGCAAAGGACAAGAGGGATACTCTCACCTCTGAAAGAGGCTACCGTATACCATGTAGCTGTGGACAAGTCTACGTAGGGACCACCAAACGCAGCACCCAAACGCGAATCAAGGAACATGAAAGGCACTGCAGACTTCAACCAGAGAAGTCAGCCATAGCAGAGCACCTGATGAACCAACCTGGACACAGCATTTTATTTGAGAACACAGAAATGCTGGACCACTCCAACAACCACCATGTCAGACTACACAGAGAAGCCATTGAAATCCACAAGCATGTGGACAATTTCAACAGAAAGGAGGAAACCATGAAAATGAACAAAATCTGGCTACCAGTATTAAAAAACTCTAAAATTACAACAGCTAAACAACAGAGAGGAAAAAAACCAGGCACAGATTAACACCTCCCAGCAACAGATTTTCCCAGGCTCAGGCAGGCCTTCAAATGCTAATGAAGGTGATCAGCTAAACATTCACACCTAACTGCAGCAGGGAAGAGCTCCTTGCCCCACCCCAGCCATTCCACAGATATATAAACCCATTTTTCCTACTTCCAACAGACCTTCTCAACCTCTGAGGATGCTTGCCATAGATGCAGGCGAAACGTCAGGAGAGAATGCCTCTAGAACATGGCTCTATAGCCCGAAAAAAACCCAGGAAGAACTTCTTGACTGTGAGAGCCGTTCAGCAGTGGAACTCTCTGCCCCAGAGTGTGGTGGAGGCTCCTTCTTTGGAAGCTTTTAAACAGAGGCTGGATGGCCATCTGTCAGGGGTGATTTGAATGCAATATTCCTGCTTCTTGGCAGAAGGGGGTTGGACTGGATGATGGCCCACCAGGTCGCTTCCAACTCTTTGATTCTATGATTCTATGTTCGCCCCTCTTTGCAAGGAAGCCCTACAGAATCCACTGGAGTGTGTGCACAGCTAGGATTTTCAGTTGTGCAGGCCACCCATGTGCCAAATCCCCCTCTGTTTTTGCAGACTTACAACCAAAGCCAGTGCAACCGGAAGAGCCTCCTCAAAGCTCTTTCCGAGAACAAGGGGCTGCGCTTGTACCAGCACAGTCCGCGCATGATTCCGGAAGGCATCGACCCACAGATGCACCAGGTGGTCATCGCACCCAAAGAGGAGGAAGAGGAGGAGGAGGAGGCAGAGAGCCCCAAGGACAGCAGAGGGGGCACTTTCCCCCAGCAGTGGGTCCCCTATCCCGCTGGCACAGGTAAGGAGGGGCCAGGTGGGGGCACACTTGTGGACCGTGTGGACGCGCAAGGGGGGTTCTTCTTTGTCTCCCAAGACACAGGATATTAAGAGAGTCTTCCATTGTTATCTCCACTCTTAATGTTGACCAGTCGTGTATTTGGCGCTGACACAAACAATAGGAATACTTAAATTGATATTTTTGTCTAAGAGCTTTTATAATGCACTAGCGGTCCCCTGCCAGGCATTGCTGTGGCCCAGTCTGGTGATCTGGAAAATCTGGTTTCTAATATACGTAATGTCTTTCTGCTTGTGGGTAAACAGTATTGATGTGGAGATGGTCTCGTTTGCCTCCTCTGGAACATGCCACATATCATTGTCCTTCTTTAGGGGTCCCTTTCAAATCTTTGATACTGCATCTGCCATATACATATGTGTGTGTGTGTGTGAATGGCTGGATGGCCCTTTGTCAGGAGGGCTTTGATTATGTTTTCTTGCCCTAGTGAAGGGAGTTGGACTGGATGGCCTTAAGGCAGTATTTCTCAACCTGGGAAGTCAAGACCCGGGGGGGGGGGGGGGCTCACCAGGGGGTGTCAGAAGGGTCACCAAAGACCACCAGAAAACACAGTATTTTCTGTTGGGCATGAGGGTTCTGTGTGGGAAGTTTGCCCCAATTATGTCATTGGTGGGGTTCAGAATGCTCAAGGTCTATTTCCTCCAAACTCCACCTGTGTTTATATTTGGGCATATTGAGTATTTGTGCCAAGATTGGTCCAAATCCATCATTGTTTGAGTGCTCTCTAGATGTAGGTGAACTACAACTCCTAAACTCAAGGTCGATGCCCACCAAACCCTTCTAGTGTTTTCTGTTGGTCAAGGGAGTTCTGTGTGGCAAGTTTGGTTCAATTCCATTGTTGGTGGAGTTCAGAATGCTCCTTGATTGTGGGTGAACAATCCCAGCAACTACAACTCTCAAATGACAAAATCATAATTTTTCGAGTGATGGTGATTCCTTGTGTCGTGAGACGTTTTGTTGCCAAATTTGGTGTGATTTCGTTCATTGGTTCTTTTGTTTTTAAGGTACTCGTTACGCACAGAGCATTTTTTATATATATAGAAAGAAGATGATGATTGCAGTAATATTTGAGATAGAAGCAGAATCATAACAGTTGGAGGGGGGCTCCAGGACCATCCCTTCAAACCCCCTTCTGCCAGGCAAGGCAGGAAGCCACTGTCCAAGCTCTCCCAACTGATAGCCATAATTCCTGTGTTGAAGAGCTCTAAACATCAAGAAGTTCTTCCTGAGCTTCCAGTTTGCTACTGAGCCCATTTCAGAATGCTGGGCTTGGCCTATAAAGCTCTCGAGCAGTGGTTCTCAACCTGTGGGTCCCCAGGTGTTTTGGCCTACAACTTCCAGAAATCCCATCCAGTTCATCAGCTGTTAGGATTTCTGGGAGTTGAAGGTCAAAACATCTGGGGATGGGGAACCACTGCGCTAGATGGTTCTGGTCCAACTTACCTGTCAGAACGCATCTCGGCTGGGGAGGCCCTGCTCTCCATCCCAACCTCTTTGCAAGTGTGAGTGGTTGGGATGAGAGACAGGGCCTTCTCAGTGGTGGCCCCTTGGCTGTGGAACACCTTCCCCAGTGACTTCAGGCAGGCCCCATTTCTTTTGGTCTTCAGAAAAAAATATGGATTAATGGAATCATGTACTTTATATGTTTTTAATCTTTTTTTTATTCTATTTATTTTATTTGCTGACTGTTTTAACTGTTTTTAGTTTATGGAATATGTTTTGTAACTATGCTGAGCGGCATTGAATCTTTCCGGAGTTGTAAGCCTCCATCAGACCCCCTGCAGGGGTGAGAAAGGCCAGGTACAGATGAAGCAAATCGATATAAATAAAAATGTCATGTTCTTTTGTGGGATTAACATAACTCAAAAACCACTGGGCGAATTGACACCAAATTTGGACACAAGACACCTCTCAGGCCAACGAGTGACCACCACTCATAAAAACACTGAAAAACACAACGGAAAGGACTTAAAAAGCCAAAAAAGCAAAAAGACGCAACAGCGCATGCGCAAAATGACTCCCCCTGGCAAACATAAACACACAATAGCATCTCCACACTCTGTATTGTCGAAGGTTTTCATGGCCGGAATCACTGGGTTGTTGTAGGTTTTTTTGGGCTGTATGGCCATGGTCTAGAGGCATTCTCTCCTGACGTTTCGCCTGCATCTGTATGGCCATGGTCTAGAGGTGGTGAGGTGATGAGGTCGCTACCTCTGAGGATGCTTGCCATAGATGCAGGCGAAACGTCAGGAGGGAATGCCTCTAGAACATGGCCATATAGCCCGAAAAAAACCTACAACAACCCATTTCCACACTCTCTTCCAGACTACAGCTCCCAGCATCCCCTAGACCAGGGGTAGGGAACCTTTGGCCCTCCAGCTGTGGTGGACTTCAACTCCCACAATTCCTTGAGGCTCGGCATTCGCCCCAAAGGCTTACCTTGGCCCAATGCCGAGCCTCAAGGAATTGTGGGAGTTGAAGTCCACCACAGCTGGAGGGCCAAAGGTTCCCTACCCCTGCCCTAGACCAAGCCTTTAGGAGAGGAGGATGATCCAAATGCACTGCTCCCAAGCTGCAAGCTTTCTTCTCCTCAGATGTCTTTGAGAGCATCCCAATCCCTGTGTATTTGCCATTTCTTATTCCTGGACTGCAACTCCCAGCAATCCTCCAGATAGGTAGATTAGATAGAGATAGGTAGGTAGGTAGATAGATTGATCAGGAGGACTGCTGGGAGTTGCAGTCCAAGAATAGGTAGAGAAGGAAGAACGGGGAGAAAGAGGAAGGGAAAGCAAAGAAGAGGGGAGTGGAAGGGAAGAAGAAGGAAGGAAGGAAGGAGAGGAGGAAGGAAAAGGGGAAGGAAGGAAGGAAGGAAGGAAAGAGAGAGAGAGAGAGATAGAGGGGGAGAGAGGGGGAAGGTTGGCCACAGCCACACGTGGTGGGTACAGTTATTCTATATAAATAAAAATATAATGTTCATTTGTGGGATTAACAGAACTCAAAAACCACTGGGTGAATTGACACCAAATTTGGACAGCATACACCTAACAACCCAATATATGTCCTTCACTCAAAAATTTTGATTTTGTCATTTGGGAGTTCTAGTTGCTGGGATTTATAGTTCATCTACAATCAAAGAGCATTCTGAACTCCCCCAATGATGGAATTGAACCAAACATGGCATACAGGACTCCCATGGCCAACATAAAACACTAGAAGGGTTTGGTGGGCATTGACCTTGAGTTTGGGCGTAGTAGTTCACCTACATCCAGAGACCACTGTGGACTCAAACAATGACGGATCTGGACCAAACTTGGTACAAATATTCCATATGCCCAAATATGAACACAGATGGAATTTGGGGGAAATAGACCTTGACATTTGGGATTTGTAGTTACTGGGATATATAGTTCACCTACAATCAAAGAGCATTCTCAACCCCACCAATGACGGAATTGAGGCAATTTTCCCACACAAAACCCCCATGACTAACAGAAACTACTTAAGACCATCCAGTCCAACTCTCTTCACCAGGGCAAGAAAATGTTATCAAAGCCCTCCTGACAAAGAGTTGATCAAGTCATAAATATAGATAGATGTATATGATTCACACACAGAGAGAGATATAGTATCATAGATTTGAAAGAGACCCTTAAAGAAGGAATATGATAGGTTGCATATTCCGGAGTAGGCAAACCAGACACTCTCCACATCAACACTGGCAAAGAAACAGCAAGAAATACTGTTTACCCACAAGCATAGAAACCAACACTTTCTCATTCCAGATCACCAGACTGGGCCACAGCAACGCCTGGCAGGGGACGGCTAGTAAATAAGAAATAAGTAGTTGCAGCAGTTTAGTAGATCAGAAGCTTCTTGAGCCTAGCAGTAGAGCGAATGAGCTTCAGCATTTCAGGAGCAGAGTCAAGCTTTAGAAGTTATGAAAGAGTTCATTGAAAGAACTACAAATCAGTAGAAGAATCAGTGCCTAGCCATTGAATTATGTCACTCTTAACTATGTAACTACATATCGATAGAAAAGTCAGTGCCGATAGGCTATTGGGAATTGTGGGAGTTGAGAGTCCAAAAGAGCTGGAGGGCCAGGCTGTCCTAGAGCTTCCAACCAATTTGTGTAGCTTGTTGTCAACCTTTGCAGCCCGAAAGACCGTTGCATCTGCCAAGTAGGAAATTTGAGTACCACTTATGTGGGGAGGCTAATTTAACTAATTTACGAGGCCATAAAAATCTCCCGCAAGCATGCAAAGAATAAGGAAGTACTTCACCAGTGTCACAAATGGACAGTGAAGCAACAGCTCCCCTGGTGGCCAGACCACCCTCATGAAAAATCTGGGTTGTTAAATAGCCTCTGAGTGCCTGTCTATATATGTTGTGTTTCTACGGCATTGAATGTTTGCCATGTATATGTACATTGCAATCCGTCCAGAGTCCCCTGCGGGGCAAGAAGGGAGGAATATAAATACTGTAAATAAATAAATAAATAAATAGACGGTCTGCCTTAGAATTTCCCACCTCTTTTGTGGTCTGTGGTGATGCCCTTTCTCTCTGCCTGTCCAGGAGGAAAGCAGCGCCGTCCATCCGAAGGGTGGGGCCTTTCCCCAGAAGAGTTTGAAAGATGGAGCCGGTTGTATAAACTAGAAACTGGGGACGGCATTAAGACGCCCGTGCTGCCTCGAAGCCGCTTTGAAACCTTACCAGACGAGGAGACAGAAAGCGTAAGTTGGACACCAAGGGGCATGTCGGGGGTGACGGTTGCCGGGAGAAGGAATTCAGAGCTTTGATAGACTAATAGGCTGAAATGCTTGAGTTCCCCCAGGGCAGTCATGAAGAGCTGCATTTATTCTGATTGCACAGACAAAGGAGAGGGCAGCTTCCATGCATGCCCAGGAATGCATTTCCATGTAGTCGTAGCCTAGCCCTGCCTTCACCCTTGGCTCTCAGAAACAGCAGTACAGTTGACCTACCGGCTGTTAGGAATTGTGAGAGGTGATGTCAAAAGCACCTGGAGCAGTGGTTCCTGACCTTTTTCTGACCAGGGACCACATTAGTAGTATTAAATATGGGTTTCTGTGCTGAAGCTCATTTGCTCTTCTGCTAGGCTCAAGAAGCTTCTGATCTGCTAAACTGCTGCAACTACTTAACCAAAAGGGTTACGAATCAGTTTTTGGTCAACTTTAGATTCGGTTTGGCTGATTCAGAAAATTGCATTGGTTTCTGATACAGAACATTTGCCATCCAGTCTGTATTGTGTTGTTTTTAGTGCTCTCTTTGGAGAGATAAAGCGTAATAGCAGTAGTCATCTTCGTCATGCTCTTTCTTGACTTCTGTGTTTCTGTCGGCGTGGCTCCCAGGTGCCTGCGTCCGAAGGGGTGCGTGCGCTCTCCTTGACCGAGTGGAGCCTCTGGCAGAGCCGCCCTTTCCCTACTCTCCTGGTGGACCATTCAGACCGTTGCTGCCACTTCATTGACCTCATGGACATGATAGAGCGGATACGGCATGAGGAGGTGAGTGCGCCCTTGGAGGCCCCAATGCCTGCGTCCTGCAAGGGTATTTGTTCCTGGGTTATAAATGCCAGGTGGTGTTGTATTTCAGTGTCAATGTCGACTTTTGTGGAGAGGTGGCTGCCAAGGGAGCAGAAATATATTTATAAGCAAGCACCTTAGTCTCCCTACGGATGTCCCGATTCTCAAACATTCTCTGCTTCATTCGGAAGAATGCTGCACTCGCAGAGCTCAGGCGGTGTTGTATTTCGGTGTCATTGTTGACTTTTGTGTAGAGGTGGCTGCCAAGGGAGCAGAAATAGATTTATAAGCAAGCACCTTACTATCCCTATGGATGTCCCCATGCTAAAACACTCTCTGCTTCATTCAGAAGAATGCTGTACTCGCAAAGCTCAGGCGGTGTTGTATTTCAGTGTCAATGTCGACTTTTGTGGAGGGGTGGCTGCCAAGGGAGCGGAAATGGTCCACATTTTCTAATGTCACACCATTAAGCTGTATGCACTCATATGTTGTATGTATTTTACTGTGTTGTTATTGTGTTTTGGTTTTACTTTATTGGGTGTCCCAATTCTCAAACATTCTCTGCTTCATTCGGAAGAATGCTGCACTCGCAGAGCTCAGGCGGTGTTGTATTTCAGTGTCAATGTTGACTTTTGTGGAGAAGTGGCTGCCAAGGGAGCAGAAATGGTCCACATTTTCTAATCTTACACTGTTAAGCTATATTTCTGGCATTGGAGAGGGATTGGCTGGTGACTGCTGGAAGAGCACTTTGGTTTTCTCGATGTTCAGTGACAGGCCAAGCTTCTCATTACTTTATTGTAATGTGATGTTGGGCTAGGCCTCATGTAAGCCACCCCGAGTCCCCATTGAGGAGATGGAGCAGGGTATTAAATAAAGTATTATTATTATTATTATTATTATTATTATTATTATTATTTCTGGCATTGGAGACGGATTGGCTGGTGACTGCTGGAATTCACACCTCCCTCCAAGAGACAAGAGTTATTTCTCCAACCTGGACATTCCACAGATATTTAAACTCCATTTTCCTAGTTTCCAACAGACCTTACAACCTCTGAGGATGCCTGCCATAGATGCAGGTGAAATGTCAGGAGAGAATGCTTCTGGAACATGGCCAGACAGCCTGGATTACACACAACAACCTAGTGCCGTGATGGTGAACCTATGACATGCGTGTCAGCACTGACACACATGGCTATTTTTGATGACACGCAGCCACATGCGGCCGCATACAGGGAAGTACACCTTACAAGAGCCAATCTAATTCCATCCTTAAATTTGTAAAAGGTTCTACAAATTTATGATCTGCACGTTTGAGCATTGTTCACTCCATAACTCAGCATGGAACATACATTTTTCTTATTTAAACTATAAATATTGCAAAATTATGTTGTTGTTTTTTCCTCGAAGTTGACACCCCACCCAAGTTATGCTCAGGTTTTTGGCAAATTTTGACACACCAAGCTCAAAAGGTTGCCCATCACTGACCTAGTGATTCCAGCCATGAAATCCTTCGACAATACACCTCCTCGATCTCTGTCGTCACATGGATTGTTTCCAAGCCAAATGCCACCCTTCCAATATCTGTGCATTTCATGTTTATGGCCATCGTGTTGGGCCGTTCCTTTCTCTCTGTTGACATTAATTTTGTTTGTTTGGCCAGTCAGCTCTCTCATCTCAGACCCACTTGTGAGATGTTGGATTTCGACTTAACGAGTTCTGAGAAAATGGGTTTATGAGCAGATCCTAACATCGTATCTCATGTACTTTTTCTCCAGGTGGGAAAAAAGGAAAGGAAGGAACATGTCTCCTTGTGCTGCACCTGGGTGTGCATTCATATACAGCCCCATTAAAGGTGCTGTGATTGCCTTCTGCGCGCATTGCTAAGGCAACATGGACAGGATGTGCTCTTCCACCAACAGCCCTTTGGCCTGGCGGCGCATGTCACCGTTACGAAACATTTATGAAATGGCTGTGATCCTTTAACCCCTCTTTTGGATCAGGTTCTTGGAAATCAGGCCAGATCTTGCACAGATACCAGGAGGACATCCGGCCGTCCTGAAAGTTATATCTCCGTTACGTATACAGTTAGTATGATTGAAAAATATCATTTACTTATGAGAAAAATTTCACGTAACATGGTTATGTATATGCCGTGATCATTATTAAAAAGCATCATTTACTTAATTGAAAACATTTCACGTAACACGGTTATATATATTATTAAAAAGCATCATTTACTTAATTGAAAACATTTCACATAACATGGTTGTCTTGTTACGTTGTTTATCCGTTATGTCGGAACCCAGACACCTTAAAAAGCCAGAGTCAAGTATATTTCCAAAAGTTGAGTTTATTTAAACAAAGCAAAAGGGACTCAGAGACACAACTTAGTGTCTCTGGTCAAAACTCAAAAGTAGCAACTAGTTCTAGTTCAAAAGGTAAACTGAAGCAATAATCTGGATTATCCAGAGAAAAAATCCGGATTAAAACAAAGCACTCCAAAAGTCATACAAAATACCACAGCAAGTAAAGGGTTAACAAACAAAGAGCCGCAAGGAAGAAGACGTAGTCCAATGAAGTCCGAGGTCGTAGTAAGCCAAGTCCAAAGTTGCGAGGTTCCAAAATCCACATAGTCAAAACCGATCCGAAGTCAAAGAAGGGGAAATCCACACTCACGAGAATCCAAGCCGAGTCAAAACACACACAAACGGAAGCAGCAACCTGCAGATCCAGGACCCAAACCCAACACGAAATAGGCAGCGACCAAACCCAAGGCACGAAACAAACACTTTGCCTTCTGCAAAGATTCCCCATTTCAGTGCTTACTTTTATCTTGCACCTCATCATCCGAAGATGAGCTGACCTCCGCCCCGTCATCATCTCTTACAGCTGTCCTTGACTCCACATGTGAACTCCGACTTCCATCCCTCCAACTCCTCCATCTTTTGTCAAGACTTAGATCCCCCCAAGACTCAGAAGTATTTCCCGACTGCCAATCCCCACCACCAGAAAACCCCACAAACGTGTCACTAGATGTTGGCTCTGCATATACATCTTGTACCTCTTGTACCTTAGTCCAGTCCAATGTGTCATCCTCACTTTCATCACTCTCTAACCCATCACTCCCAGAGAACCCTGCAAATGACTCTTCGTCTGTGGGAGCAGTAAGTATATCCCGGATCTTCTTCCTTTGTCGCTCCTCATCCGATTCTTGCTCCCGAGTAACCTTCTTAATTCCCCTATTCACATACACTGTATCTCCTTCCTCTCCCTCACTCATTGACCCTTCGTTATCAGAGAACCCTTCAAATGAGTCTTTATCAGTAGGTGCCATAAGTATATCCCGGATCCTTTTCCTTTGTTGTTTCTCATCTAACTCTTGCTCACGAGCACTCCTTTTCCCCCTTCTGCCACCCATACTACCACTTGCAACGTTACTTACAGGCTCTACTACAACACGTTATGTACTTATTATTATTATTATTATTATTATTATTATTATTATTATTGTTATTATTATTATTATTGGCACAGAAGCACAGTATGTCACAGCAAACGAGATCTATATGCTGGATTTCATAGCACAAAATCACAAGTTGAACACTTCCCAAGTATCTAGGCCTGTGTTGTTGTTGTTGTTGTTAAAAATCATCATTTACGAGAGGCGTTCATTAAATATTCCCCCTGACCCACTTCTATTTATCAGCAGAAAGACATGACTTTACTTAGGCGATCCCTCGTTGTCCGAGTAGAATAGTCCTCCAGGATCAGTGTACTGGTGGGTCCGTAAGTGACTGTGCAGCCCTATTCTTGACCTGCATGTTCTCCCAAAGTGACGGTATCAGTTTCCAGGTGGGAGGCGGTCCCGGTCGTGCTTGGCTTGACGTGCCTTCCTCTGGCACATTTCTCTCTTTCGCCCTCCTTTCATGCCTCTTCAAATTCTACAGCACTGCTGGTCACAGCTGACCTCCAGCTGGAGCGGTCAAGGGCCAGGGCTTCCCAGTTCTTGGTGTCTATGCCTGATTTTTTAAGGTTGGCTTTGAGCCCATCTTTACATCTCTTTTCCTGCCCACCAACATTCCGTTTTCCAATCTTAAGTTCGGAATAGAGCAACTGCTTTGGTAGACAGTGGCCGGGCATCTGGACAACGTGGCCGGTCCTGCGGAGTTGATAACAGAGGAGCATCGCTTCAATGCTGGTGGTCTTTGCTTCTTCCAGTACGCTGACATTTGTCCTCCTGTCTTCCCAGGAGATTTGCAGGATTTTCCGGAGGCAGCGCTGATGGAATCGTTCCAGGAGTTGCATGTGACGTCTGTAGACCGTCCACGTCTCGCAGGCGTATAGCAGGGTTGGGAGCGGAAATAGCTTTATAGACAAGCATCTTGGTCTCCCTATGGATGTCTCGGTCCTCAAACACTCTCTGCTTCATTCGGAAAAATGCTGCACTCGCACAGCTCAGGCGGTGTTGTATTTCAGTATCAATGTTGACTTTGGTGGAGAGGTGACTGCCAAGGGAGCGGAAATTATCAATATTTTCTAGTGTCACACCATTAGGCTGTATCTCTGGCATTGGAGAGGGGTTGGCTGGTGTCTTTTGCTGGAAGAGCACTTTGGTTTTCTCGATGTTCAGTGACAGGCCGAGTTGCTCTTATGCTTCTGTCTAGAGATTGTGTACACAGTGATGCGGTCACGCAGGTAGGCGGGTCCCAAACCATTTGGGGTTTTGTAGGTGAGCACCTGCACTTTGAATTGGGAAAATGAACAGCAGCCAATGGAGCTCCTTAAACAGGAGGGTTGACCGCTCCCTGTAAGGAGCACCAGTTAACAACCTGGCCGAATTTCCGGGTCATTTTCAAGGGCAGCCCCTTTCATTTCATTTCATGCTGAAAGCCTGTCTCTTTGGCAGTTTTTGCATGTTCTCCTACTTTCTTGGAGTTGTGAACTATGATAAATGGGGCAGAAATCTGTAACTTGCTGAGCTGCTCATACAGTCCTTCTGGACCGGCAGCCATTCTGTCTCATGTGTTGACTCTGTCTCTGCTTTGCAGAGCAGCCAGGCCAAGCCTGGGCTTTGTGACCCCTTTGGGCATTACACCCAGGAGCCTTTGGGGCTTCAGACCCATTACCAAGCAAAATCAAAAGGTGTGTGGCTTCTCTGCGTGCCCGTCTTACACTTTGCAACCTCACAGGGGCAAAGTGACCTGCTCTGAAGCAAAGGAGGGCACTTATGTAACTCCTCCCGATAATAATCAACTTGAAATGAGGGCAGGCCGTTATCCCTGCGGGGGAGAGGCTTAAGCCTCCCTGGAAAAAGAAGAAGAAGAAGAAGAAGGCCTTATGCAACTTGCCCATCAAATCATTTTAAGTGATTTTGCTCAGATTGGAAGTCAGACTTTTTTTTTCCAGGGTAGGATTTCTGAATATCATATTTGCAGCCAATTGATTAGTTGTCAATTAATAGGTGGGAAACATGCACAAAAGAGTCTGTTCACAGCTGAGTCTGGCCCAAGTGTACCCAAGGCCAGTGTAGATAGCTTTATCAGTTTTACATGAGATCCATAATAATAATAATAATAATAATAATAATAATTATTATTATTATTATTATTATTATTATTATTATTATAAAACTTTGTTTATATTCAGCTCTATCTCCCCAAAAGGACTCAGGGCGGATTCCAAACATAAAAGACAAACATTCTTAGGCAAACATGACTAAGATGAAGGGCTAGAAGGCAGGATCATCAAGTTTGCAGACGACACCAAATTGGGAGGGATAGCCAATACTCCAGAGGATAGGAGCAGGATTCAAAACGATCTTGACAGATTAGAGAGATGATGGGCCAAAACTAACAAAATGAAGTTCAACAGTGACAAATGCAAGATACTCCACTTTGGCAGGAAAAACGAAATGCAAAGATACAGAATGGGGGACGCCTGGCTCGAGAGAAGTACGCGTGGAAAGGATCTTGGAGTCCAAGTTAAACATGAGCCAGGAATGTGATGTGGCGGCCAAAAAAGCCAATGGGATTTTGGCCTGCATCAAGAGGAGCATAGTGTCTAGATCTAGGGAAGTCATGCTCCCCATGCTCTATTCCGCTTTGGTTAGACCACATTATCTGGAATATTGTGTCCAGATCTGGGCACCACAATTGAAGGGAGATGTTGACTCTAAGCTGGAATATGTCCAGAGGAGGGCGACTCAAATGACCAAGGGAGGAGTGGCTTAAAGAGCTGGGCATGTTTAGCCTGAAAAAGAGAAGGCTGAGAGGAGACATGATAGCCATGTATACATACGTGAGAGAAAGTCATAGAGAGGAGGGAGCAAGCTTCCTTTCTGCTTCCTTGCAGACTAGGACGCAATGGAGCCATGGCTTCAAACTACAAGGGAGGAGATTCCACCTGAACATGAGGAAGAACTTCCTGACTGTGAGAGCCGTTCAGCAGTGGAACTCTCTGCCCCGGAGTGTGGTAGAGGCTCCTTCTTTGGAAGCTTTGAAACAGGGACTGGATGGCCATCTGTCAGGGGTGATTTGAATGCAATATTCCTGCTTCTTGGCAGAATGGGGTTGGACTGCATGGCCCAGGAGGTCTCTTCCAACTCTTTGATTCTATGATTCTATGAATACGAACAAAATTTATACAACCCAACATATAAATACGAATGATAACAAACTAAAAAGCCCAGCCTGTTATTCTGCCCCTCCTGCACCACCAACAGATCTTTCTTGGTTGAAGATGGTAACCAGATTTAATATAACATCAAGACCACTGAGATGTACTAGTGAACCTCTTTGTGTCCCTGTATGTGTCTGTCTCTATCTATCTATCCCTCTATCTATCTGTGGAATAATGCCCAGGGAGGGAGAAAGTACACCTGGACAGTTTCATAAACACCACTTGCCTAGCTTCCAACAAACCTCCCAACCTCTGAGGATGCCCGCCATAGATGTGGGCGAAATGTCAGGAGAGAATGCTTCTAGAACATGGGCAGACAGCCTGGAAAACTCACAGCAACCCAGTAATTTTGGCCATGAAAGCCTTCGACAACACATTGATTTAAGTTAGATTGCTTTCGTTTCTTGTTCTTCGTGGTTAGGGCTGCACCACGATGGCCTGAACATGAGGACCAAACAAGGCAAGGTTATTTATTTATCGTGTCAGGCAACCGAACAGTTGTATAACATTTTTGACAGAACAAACAAACAAACATACAAAAGACACAGAGTTTGCAAGCTTGGTAGTTGGTTAAATGTCCTTTGACCAGTCTCTGGCCCCTTGGAGTGCTTCTGGTGTTGCCGCAAGAAGGTCCTCCATGGTGCATGTGGCAGGGCTCAGGTGGCATTGCAGCAGGTGGTCAGTAGTTGGCTCCTCTTCACACTCGCATGTTGTGGATTCCACTTTGTGGCCCCATTTCTTGAGGTTGGCTCTGCATCTCGCGGTGCCAGAGCGCAGTCTGTTCAGTGCCTTCCAAGTCGCCCAGTCCTCTGTGTGCCCAGGAGGGAGTCTCTCATTTGGTATAAGCCATTGATTGAGGTGCTGGGTTTGAGCCTGCCACTTTTGGACTCTCGCTTGCTGAGGTGTTCCAGAGAGTGTCTCTGTAGATCTTAGAAAACTATTTCTTGATTTGAGGCATTGACATGCTGGCTGATACCCAAACAAGGGATGAGCTGGAGATGTCTCTGCTTTGGTCCTTTCACTATTGGCTGCTTCTTCCTGGCGGATGTCAGGTGGTGCAATGCCGGCTAAGCAGTGTAATTTCTCCCGTGGTGTAGGGCGCAGACACCCCGTGATAATGCGGCATGTCTCATTAAGAGCCACATCTACTGTTTCAGCGTAGTGAGATGTGTTACACATTGGGCATGCGTACTCAGCACAAGGGCAGATGTCTTCACTGTATCTGGTTGTGATCCCCAGGTTGTGCCAGTCAGCTTTCGTATGATATTGTTTCTAGCACCTACTTTTTGCTTGATGTTCAGGCAGTGCTTCTTGTAGGTCAGAGCTTGGTCCAGAATGACCCCTCCCAGGTATTTGGGTGCGCTGCAATGCTCCAGTGGGATTCCTTCCTTCCCAGGTGATCCTCAGAGCTCGGGATGCTTGTCTGTTCTTGAGATGAAAGGCACATGTCTGTGTTTTAGATGGATTAGGGATCAGATGGTTGGAAGACTCACAGCAACCCAGTAATTTTGGCCATGAAAGCTTTTGACAACACATTGATTTAGGTTAGATTGCTTTGGTTTCCTGTTCTTCATGGTTAGGGCTGCACCACGATGGCTTGAACATGAGGACCAAGCAAGGCAAGGTGCTGCTCTGGAACATTACATCAGCCTGGGATCTTGGAAAACGGGCTGCAATCCCAGCTCAGCGTCAGATGCCATGGTTTCTCAGAGTCCATTTCCCTCCTGAGCAAAACAGCAGGGGCCTGGTGAGCACAACAGAGGGTTTTGAACTCTGCAAACGTGAAAAATGACGAGCTGTGTTTCTTTCCTTGTTCCTCAGGGAGAGTGCAGCTACGAGAAGGAAATCCGGCCTTATCTCCGCTGGGAAGACGTGGACATCTCAGGCGTTCAGAGGAAGAAAAGCGGCTACGATGCTGCAATTGCCCAGAAGGACTCTGTTTCCCGGAGAACCGCCAAAGGGAAACGCAGCCCCTCTTCTTTGGCAGAGATGGATGCAGAATGCGCCTCTCTCTTTAAGTCCAGCAGCTTCAAATCCGTGAGCAGAGTTCGGGCTTTGGAGGGCCTTGGCTCTTCAGATACCTTCTCAGCAGACAACTCCGAGGACCAAAGATGGTCAGAAAAGGGTGGAGAAAGCATAGGACAGCCTGACAAGGCAAATGCTCTCCAAAGAGACACGTCTCATGGTGGAAGTGAAGGATCCAGAAGATTTCAGAGTCACCCAGAAGAAGAAGAGAACGGGCACAGCATGGATTCTGGTTGCGGTCGTCTTGCAGAGGAAGGCTCACCCGCTTCCTCTCCGCTGTTCTACTTCCCAGCCTCAGAGCCTGACTTGTTTGCAGGTTCAGATGTTTGTGGAGAAGACATCCTCAGCGAAGTCGCCAAGCTCCTGTCGCATTCCCCTCCTTCGGTGAAGGAGATCTTTGATTCTGAGGGAAAGAGGGATGACAGAGAACAGCAGAAGTCTCATTCCAACCTGTCTCTTGGCCACTTACCTTCAGAAGACCCGTTACCCTTGAATCCATCCAATGCACCTGACAGCATCTCTGGACAGAGCGACATCCATACATTTGGTCCCTTGAACTTTCATTTGGAAGCCAACCTCGTTTCCAGTCCTTCCGTCAGCAAGATGAGCGCTCTTGATTGGGATGAGCTTTTTGATCATAGTAGCGAAAAAGAGATTGGGATCCTTGAGGAGAACCTTCCAGTGACAAAACATGGTCTACAGATGTTGAAGGAGGGTGATGAAGAGCCTCAAGGGTCCTATAGCGTGAGAAATATGAGCCCGGATCAAGCCGTCGTACGTTCCTTCGAGGAAGAATGTTTACCAGAGAATGAATATTCACCCAACGGGAAAGGGAAGGGGCCCTCGGTGATCTCTTTGTGTAGTCAACCCAATAGTCAAGCCACAAGGACACCTGAATGGCCATCTTGGGAGGACAATGTTCAAGTCGCCCACCAAGAACCCGCAAACTCACTGGTCCTTTATGGAGAAGAGACTTTAGGGGATGTTTGTGTCGCAAAGGAAGGGAAGCCACACCTTCACACACTCTTTGATGCCTCTCAAGAGTTGTTCTCTGTCAACTTTGACCTTGGGTTCTCTGTCCAGGAATTGGAGGACGAGGAAGCAAGAGGCGGAAGAGATGCTACGCCTGGCTTCCTTGGTGCTGATGTTTCCCCTTTGAGGAACGTGGCCAGGAAATCTCCTCCAGCCTCCAGCAAGGGATGCTTTGGCCAGGCAAAGTCCTCCACTCCATTGCACCTGCCGGACCCACGCTCCGCCCTGCCGGCCATTGAAAGCGTGACCCCCATGCCTTCCCCTCTGACTCCAGCCGGGTGGAAACAGCGCCCACCTTTGCATGCTGAGTTTTCCACGCCAACACGGAGGCCGGAGGGGCTTCTGCGGGGAACCTTGGGCGGAAAGAGGGAGAGAAGCCCAGCCGGGGCCGTGCCGAGCCAAGCCCAAAGCCGCCTGGTCAAAGCCTTGGCCAAGTCAGCCTTCCCAGGAGAGGAACCAAAGGGAAAAGCGGAGAACGAAAGCCTCGAGGGCTCCAACGGACTCCCTGCTCAAGGTAGGCTCTCAACACAATATCTCTCGGAATCTTTGGTATCTATAGCAGAGTACAGCATAGCTATAGGTGGGAGGGGAAATATGCAGGATGCTCTGGGGAAGTAAACAAAAGTCAAAACTTGTATTCTGGCATGTCATATTTATTTATTTATTTACAGCAGTGTTTCTCAACGTTCCTAATGCCGCGACCCCTTAATACAGTTCCTCATGTTGTGATACCCCCCCCCCCCACCATTAAATTATATTCACTGCTACTTATTTATTTATTTGTTTACAGCTTTTATATTCCGCCCTTCTCCTCACCCCGCAGGGGACTCAGGGCGGATTACATGTATGGCCAACATTCAATGCCAATTTTAACATACAACATATACAGACATACACAGAGGCTATTTAACTTTTTCTGGCCCCCAGGGAATCTATTGCTTTAATCGTCCATCTGCGATGCTGATGAAGCACTTCCGCGTTCCCCGCATGCTTCCCCGCTGGAATGCTTTGCTGGAGTCTTCTTTATGGCCTCATAAATCAGTTAATTTAGCCTCACCACACTTTAAGGTGGTACCTTATTTCCCTACTTGAGAGATGCAACTGTCTTTCGGGTTGCAAAGGTCGACAACAGGCTACACAATTGGTTGGAAACCCACTCCAACCCGGGCAAAATTACTTCATAATTGTAATTTTGCTACTGTTATGAATCATTATGTAAATATCTGATATGCAGGATGTATTCTTATTGGAGTCTTATGGGAGGATTGATTTTGTCATTTGGGAGTTGTAATTGCTGGGATTTATAGTTCACCTACATTCAAAGAGCATTCTGAACTCTGCCAACGATGGAATTTGATCAACTCCCATGACCAACGGAAAATACTGGAAGGGTTTGGTGGGCATTGAGCTTGAGTTTGGGAATTGTAGTTCGCCTACATCCAGAGAGCACTGTGGACTCAAACAATGATGTATCTGGACCTAACTTGGCATGAATACTCAATATGCCCAAATGTGAACACTGGTGAAGTTCAGGAAAAATATACCTTGACATTTGGGAGTTGTAGTTGCTGGGATTTATAGTTCACCTACAACCAAAGAGCAATCAGAAGCCCACCAACGATAGAATTAGGCCAAACTTCCCACACAGAACTCCCATGACCAACAGAAAATACTGTCTGTGATGGTCTTTGGCGACCCCTCTGACACCCCCTCACGACCCCTGGAGGGGTCGCGACCCCCAGGTTGAGAACCACTGATTTACAGTATTTATATTCCTCCATTCTCACCCCGCAGGGCGGATTACAATGTACACATACATGGCAAACATTCAATGACACGGACACACAACACATATAGACAGAGGCTATTTAACATTCCAATATTCTGGCCAGCAGGGGAGCTGTCGCTTTACCGTCCATCTGTAGTACTTTCCGCATTCCCCGCATGCTTTTGCTGGAGATTTTTATGGCCTCGTAAATCTGTTAAATTAGCTTCCCCACACATAGGTGGTACCTAAATTTCCTACTTGACAGATGCAACTGTCTTTTGGGTTGCAAAGGTCGACAACAAGCTACAAAATTGGCTGAAAGCTCACTCTGACCCGGGCTGGCTTCGAACTCATGACCTTTTGGTCAGTAGTGATCTTAATGCAGCTGACACCCAGCCAGCTGTGCCGCAGTCCTGGTCATACATCCCAGGTAAAAGAGTAGATTGACAAAAGGATGTGCTCTACCTTTGGGAGAAGAGTCCCTAACGCTGACTGCCATGCCTGTGTATAAGGCACCTTGAGGCAGGGAAGAGCTCCCTTCTCAAAGGAATGGGTGTAAATAAAGCCCATTAAAGGCTTTTGGGAACAAAGGGGGGGGGGGGTGACCTCTCTATTTAGACAGGAAACAGACTACCTTGAGCCTCCGGAATGGAGGCATTCTGACTATGTGTTTCAAAGCCACCTTGCGTCCTCTCTCGGGGGCGAGAAGGGTGGGGTGGAAATATAGGAAGTAAATACATAAAGCAAAGCCTCACTCTCATGCAGAAAGGACTTTATTTGTTAACAAACAGCAGAAACTGTTCTGGGCACCACAATCAAAGAGAGATATTGGCAAGCTAGGAGGGCGACACAAATGATCAAGAGTCTGGAGAACAAGCCCTATGAGGAGCGGCTTCAAGAGCTGGGCATTAGGCATGTGCAATCCATACTTCTAAATGGTTCTAAAGCACTTACAAAACTAAAACACTGGTGGTGAAAACTTGGGGGCCACTGGAGCTTTGCTTCTACAGTGTTGCTAAAGTTCTGGTGGTGAAAATTTCAGAACTCTAACACAACTTTCAAAATTTCATTATTATTTCATTATTGATTATTTTTATGACACATGGCCCAAGTATTTTATGTGTGGCCCAAGAGAACTCTTCTTCTTCCAATGTGGCCCAAGGAAGGGTTGGACACCCCCAATCTCAAGCTTGTATGTCCTGTGTTTATGAAAAGGCTTAAGTAGCGGTTTTGAATCAACCTGGCAGATTTAGCCCTTTGCCAAATCACAGCCAACAGTCCCATTTCCTTGTCATCCACAGGAAATGTCCCAATAATGGCAAGGCTGGTTTCCTTCCTCTCTTCTTAGTCCTTCCATCCCTATTATTTCCCTGCGAAACAGGTGGCCAATTTGCCCCATTTGCCTGGCAGGAAACGCCACTTGGATCGTCCATTTTGGCCCCGGTGCTTCTGGGGAATTAGAGGCAGACGTTTCTGACATCTTTTGTCGGGAAGAAAGGCATGGCTGCTCAAAACAGAACACCTTTTCCCTCTCTAATGTCCCAATATATTGTAGAAGGAAAAAAGCTCCTCTCCTCATTGTTCCCTGTTTGTTCCCTCTCCGCAGGGGCCAGCAGTGACAGCGAAGGGGAAATTGTCTTTCTCAGGAAGAAGAGGAAGAAGAAAAGGCCCATTCTGACGTCCCCAAACGTAAGTCCTTGGGCTGAAATTAGATGCCTCCGGACGTCACGCAAAACTCTCCTCCCGGGAATCTCGAGGCGCAATTTTGACATCATTTCCTTGTCTTTATTTCTCCTGCAAGAACAACAGCAGCGAGGTTGAGTCACCCATTCACGCCGTCAAGAAGCGGAGGCGTCCCCTCGTTGCGGTGAGTCGCCCTTCGCTGTCTTGTGCTCTTTAATGTTTACACAATAGAGCCGCGGCTCTTTTCGGGTTCAGTGTTGGCCTTGATTCTCAGGAAAACAGCTCTTCCGGCCTAAAAGGGATTCCGGCCCACAGCAGGACAGAACCTGCTTAGCTTTCCAAACGGCTTCCTTGCAGATCTGCCAGTTTTCCAATACTTCGAAAACACCAAAATACATCCTGTTTCCCTCAGAACAATCCCAAGGATCATAGAATCCTAGAATCCTAGAGTTGGAAGAGACCTCCTGGGCCATCATCCAGTCCACCCCCATTTTGCCAAGAAGCAGGAATATTGCATTCAAATCACCCCTGACAGATGGCCATCCAGCCTCCGTTTAAAAGCTTCCAAAGAAGTAGCCTCCACCACACTCCAGGGCAGAGAGTTCCACTGCTGAACGGCTCTCACAGTCAGGAAGTTCTTCCTCATGTTCAGATGGAATCTCCTTTCTTGTAGTTTGAAGCCATTGTTCCTTGTCCTAGTCTCCAGGGCAGCAGAAAACAAGCTTGCTCCCTCCTCCCTGTGGCTTCCTCTCACATATTTATACATGGCTATCCTGTCTCCTCTCAGCCTTCTCTTCTTCAGGCTAAACATGCCCAGCTCCTTAAGCCGCTCCTCATAGGGCTTGTTCTCCAGACCCTTGATCATTTTAGTCGCCCTCCTCTGGACACATTCCAGCTTGTCAACATCTCTCTTGAATTGTGGTGCCCAGAATTGGACACAATATTCCAGGTGTGGTCCAACCAAAGCAGAATAGAGGGGTAGCATGACTTCCTTAGATCTAGACACTGCTCCTATTGATGCAGGCCAAAATCCCATTGTTTTTTTCCGCCACATCACATTGTTGGCTCATGTTTAACTTGTTGTCCACGAGGACTCCAAGATTTTTCACACGTACTGCTCTCGAGCCAGGCATCCCCATTCTGTATCTTTGCATTTCGTTTTTTCCTGCCAAAGTGGAGTCTCTTGCATTTGTCACTGTTAAACTTCATTTTGTTAGTTTTGGCCATTTATCTCTCTAATCTGTCAAGATCAATTTCCTACTTGACAGATGCAACAGTTTTTTGGGCTGCAAAGGTCGACAGCAAGCTACACAATGGTCAGAAGCTCTCTCCGACCCAGGCTAGTTTCGAACTCATGACCTTTTGGTCAGTAGTGATCGTAATGCAGCTGACTCCCAGCCAGCTGCGTTTGGTGCTATATACCTAGATATATATACATACAGACACATATATACACACATATATATACATGTACACATATACATCCACATGCACATATATACATACGCATAGAATAGAATACTTACTTACTTAGGCGATCCCTTGTTGGACGAGTAAGATGGTCTTCCTTGATGACTATTCTTGTGGATTCGTAGGTGGCTGTGGAGCCCTATTCTTGCTCTGCATCTTCTCCCACAGTGAAGGCATCGGTTTCCAGGTGGAAGGCGGTCCCGGTCGGGGTTGGCTTGACGTGCCTTCCTTCTGGCACGTTTCTCTCTTTCACCCTCCATTCGTGACTCCTCGAATTCTGCAGCACTGCTGGTCACAGCTGACCTCCAGCTGGAGCGCTCAAGGGCCAGGGCTTCCCAGTTCTCAGTGTCTATGCCAAAGTTTTTAAGGTTGGCTTTGAATAGATACAAGTACACACATATACTTACACACCAAAACACACACATACATATATGTACATACACATAATGTACATACACATACATACATACACATTCACAGCTGATTTGGTTGTTTTTTTAATTTATTAACCCTCTTTACTTCTAATTCAATAAATTCCTCTTGCTTTTGTTTTATTTTGTGGTTAATCTCTATCTCTCTCCCCATTTGCTTTCCAGTCAGATTTGTCTAGTGATGAAAGCACAGATTTTTCTGAGAAGCCTAACCAAGCGCCGAGAGATGCAAAGGGTCGGAGCGAGAGGCCGGTTCCAGGCGCAAAAAGGCAGAAGAGGAAGAAGGACCGAGCTGTGCTGGGGGTGAGCAAGAGGCATTTCCGTGGAGCCCCATGTCAAAGGGAGTGGGATCATTCTCCTGGAACCTGGGCAGCCAAGAAGTACCAATGAGTGGGTGTGAATGTAACCCGGGCAGGAAAGTAGGCATCTTCCATTGTGCCAGATTCAAAAGATAGGGAGGCGATAGTCCTCTGTCACAGGCACAGGTGAACTTTGTACCGCCCTCCAGGTGTTTTGGACTTCAACTCCCACAATTCCAAACAGATTCTATAGCAATCTATATAAATAAAAATAGATGAGGAGCGGCTTAAGGAGCTGGGCATGTTTAGCCTGTTTAGCAAGAGAGGAGATCCCATCTGAACATGAGGAAGAACTTCCTGACTGTGAGAGCCGTTCAGCAGTGGAACTCTCTGCCCCGGAGTGTGGTGGAGGCTCCTTCTTTGGAAGATTTTAAACAGAGGCTGGATGGCCATCTGTCAGGGGTGATTTGAATGCAATATTCCTGCTTCTTGGCAGAATGGGGTTGGACTGGATGGCCCAGGAGGTCTCTTCCAACTCTTTGATTCTAGGATTCTATGATTCTAATGTTTGTTTGTGGGATGAGTATAACTCAAAAACCACTGAATGAATTGACACCAAATTTGGACACAAGACACCTATCAGGCCAATGAGTGCCCATCATCCCTAAAACACACACAAAAAACCCACCAGAAACCATATATACACATACACATATACACATGCATACATACATGCAGACAGACAGACCCACACACACATATATACACAAGCACACACAAATATACACATACATATACACATGCACACATACATATTTACATATAGATATGCACACATACACACTAGGGCTGGGCGGTTTCGTTTCGTTAATTCGTAATACGTTAATAATTCGTTAATTTTTTTCAATTACAAAACGATAACGAACCATTCTGGAGCAATTATTAAAAAAAACGAATTTTCAAAAGCGTTTTGTAAATGCTTCGTATTTCGATATTGTATTCGTTTCGTTATTGTTTTGAGGTCGTTTCGTTATTATTTCCGCATGTCTGGGCCAGTTTTATGGTTTAATTAGTGAAAAAAAATTATAATATCACACCAACAGTCAACAACAGAGGGAGAGGGAAGCTTCAGAAGGTTTTGGAGGTTTTTTAGCGTATTTCACGGTCGCGGCTGCCATTAACGAATCGATTCGTTATTGTTTCGGAAATCGATTCGTTAATTTTTTACCATTTACGAAATTTCGTAAATATCGAACTTTTTAAAAGGAAAATTTTGTAATTATTTTAAATATCGAAACAAAAAAAACCCCCAAATACAAATTGATTTTAGAAACAAATTTTTCCGTTGTTACCCAGGCCTAATACACACATATACATATAAACATACACACACATACACAAATACATATACATTAGCCGGCGTGAGTCCCTCTTCGGAGGTCGAGAAGACCGAGTTATAAAAGCTCTAAATAAATAAATAAATACACATATAAACACAGAAATAAACAAATATATGCACACACATATACACCTATCTATCTATCTATCTATATGCAAACACACATATGCAAAAATATACACACACATATACACACACACACACAAAACATATACACAGACTGGGCCATGGCAAAGCGTGGCAGGGGGCGGCTAGTCTATATAAATAAAAATGTAATGTTTGTTTGTGGGATTAACATAACTCAAAAACCACTGGATGAATTGACACCAAATTTGGACACAAGACACCTTATCAGGCCAACAAGTGACCATCACATAAAAACAGTGAAAAACACAGCAGAAGAGACTTAAAAAGCAAAAAAATACAAAAACCCAAAACTTTACAATGCATGCACAAAGCCACACACACACACACGTTGTTCATTCGTTGTTCATTCGTTCAGTCGTCTCCGACTCTTCGTGACCTCATGGACCAGCCCACGCCAGAGCTCCCTGTCGGCCGTTACCACCCCCAGCTCCCTCAAGGTCAGTCCAGTTACTTCAAGGATGCCATCCATCCATCTTGCTAAATGGACACACACACACACACACATATATATATACACACACAGACGCAAACACATATATACACACAGATATACACACACAAAGCATATATACACAGACTGGGTCACAGCAATGCGTGGCAGGGGACGGCTAGTCTATATAAATAAAAATGTAATGTTCGTTTGTGGGATTTACAGAACTCAAAAACCATTGGACGAATTGACACCAAATTTGGACACAAGACACTTATCAGACCAACAAGTGACCATCACATAAAAGAGTGAAAAACACAGCAGAAGAGTCTTAAAAAGCAAAAAAAAAAAAACCCCAAAACATTACAATGCATGCGCAAAACCACACACATACACATATATATATGCAAACACACATATATACACACAGATATACACACACAAAGCACATATACACGGAATGGGCCACAGCAACACGTGGCAAGGGACGGCTAGTGGAATATGAGATAGTAATGATGTGATAATGGCCGCTCTTTCTGGCTGGTCCTTCCTCAGGAGGCTGCCCGGTGCTTCATCGAGGACGAGGCCGCCCTTTCCGAAGAGGGAGCCGCGGGGGTCTCGTCGGACGAGAGCCTGACCTCGGAGGACGCCACGAGCAGCTCCATCGCCCAGTTCCTGAACGACGAGACACAAGACCTGAATGGTAGGCCGTTCCGTTTGGCCCGATCTCTGGTTTGGCCTTCTCTTGGTGAGCCCCTGGATCGGGAGATGTACTTTCGTACATGCCTCCTTCGGGTTCCCAAAATTGTAGTATATAATTATTATCTATATCAATAAAAATGTATAATGTTAGTTTGTGGGATGAACAGAACTCAGAAACCACTGGACAAATGGACATGAAATTTGGACACAACACCCCTAACAGATCAAGGAGTGACCATCACTCATAAACCATCGCAAAAAAAAAGAGTGGAAAGGACTTTAAACCCCCAAAAAGCTAAATGATGAAAAGCTAAATGACATTACAGAAAAGGGAAGGAAGAGGGAGGGAGGAGAGGAGGAGGAGAGGGAGGAGGGAGGGAGGGAGGGAGGGAGGGATGGAGGGAGGGAAGGAAGGAAGGAAGGAAGGAAAGGAAGGAAGGAGGAAGGGAAAAGAAGAGGAGGAAGGAAAGAGAAGAGGAGGAAAAGGAAGGAAGGAAAGAGAAGAAGAAAAGAAGGAAAAGAAGGAAAAAAGGAGAAAGGAAAGGAAGAAGAAGGAAGGAGAAGGAAAGAAAAAGGAAAGAAGGAAAGGGAAGAAGGAAGGAAGGGAAGAGGTACAGAAGGAAGGAAGGAGAGAAGGAAAGAAAAGGAGAGGAGAAGAGGAGAGAAGAAAGAAAGGAGAAGGAGAAGAAAGGAGGGAAGGAAGAGAAAGGTAGAGAGAGAAGAGGAAGAAGGAAAAGAAAAGGAAGGAAGGAAAGGAGAAGGAAGAGGGAAAGAGAAGGAAGGAGAGAAAGAGAAGGAAGGAAGAGAAAGATGGAAGGAAGAGCAAAAGAGCAAGGGAAGAGGGAAGGAGAGAAGGAAGAAATGGAGAGATGAAGGAAAGAAAAGGAAGGAGGAGAGAAAGAAGGAAAAAGAAAAAGGAAGAAGGAAAGAAGGAGCGCAGGAAGGGGGGAAGATGTAGAGAAAGAGAAGAAAAGAGGAGAAGAAAGAAGAAAAGAAGAAGAAGAGAAAGGAAAGAAGGAAGAAAGAGGAGAAGGAAGAAGAGAGAAGGGAAGGAAGGAAGAAGGAAGAAAGAGGGAGGAAGGAAGGAAGAAAGAGAGGAAGAAAGGAGAGAAGGATGGAAGCAAAGAAGAGAAGGAAGGAAGAAAAGGAAAGAAGGAGAAGAAAGGAAGGAGAGAAGGAAAAAAAAGAAAGGAGGAAGAAAGGGAAGGAAAAGGGAAAGAGGAGAGAAAAGAAGGAAGAAAGGAAGGAAAGGAAAAGGAAGAAGGAAAGGAAGAAGGGAGGAAGAAAGGAAGGAGGAAGGAAAGAGGGGAGGAAGGAGGGAAGAGAAGAAGGAAGAAAGAAAGAGGGAGGGAAAAAGAAGGAAAGAGAAGGATGGAAGCAAAAAGGAGAAGGAAAGAGAGAAGGAAAGGAAGAAGGAAGGAAAGAAAAGAGGAAGGAAAGAGGTAGAGAAGAAAGGAAAGGAAAAAAGGAAAGGAAGGGAAGAGGGAACGAAGGAAGAAGGGAAAGAGGTACAGAAGGAAGAAAGGAGCGAAAGGGAAGGAAAAGAAAAGAGAGAGGAGAGAAGGAAGGAAGAAGAAAAGGGAAGAAGAAAAGGGAAGGAAGGAAGGACGGATGGACGGAAAGAGGGAGCAAATGAAGGAGGGAAAGGAGAGAAGGAGGGAAGGTTGGTCACAGCAATGCATGGAAGGTACAGCTAGTATAATTATTAATATTATAATATTATAAATATTATCTAATTATATACATAATTATATTTGGAACCACTGGAAGCTTCCCTTATAGAGCATGCATTAATCAGCCTGAGGGTGGCGTAGAGTGACTTTGACGGGATCCACGACTTTTTTAACAGACCTTTAGAGCCATTGGTGGAGGCGGTTTCCACCTAGAAGTGAAGTATTGACTGATGGGGTGGCCATCTGCAGGGAGGGCTTTGATTGTGCTTTTCCTGCCTGGCAGAAGGGGGTAGGGCTGGATGGCCTTTGTGGGTCCCCTCCAACCTTAGCATTCTGAGATTTCCAATCTTCTTCCATTGGACTGGGTTGTGGCACAGCTGGTTGAGAGTCAGCTGCATTAAAATCACTACTGACCGAAAGGTCATGAGTTCTAAGCCAGACCAGGTCAGAGTAAGCTCCCGACCCTTTGTCTAGCTTGCTGTCGACATTTGCAGCCTGAAAAACAGTTGCATCTGTCAAGTAGGAAATTTAGGTACCGCTGATGTGGGGAGGCTAATTTAACTAATTTACAACGCCATAAAACTCTCCAGCAGGGTGCAAAAGAATGAGGAAGTACTCCATCGGTGCCACAAGTGGGCAGTGAAGCGACAGCTCCCCTTGTAGCTGGAATTAAAAAAGCATACCCTCATGAAGGTGGAAAGTTCAATAGCCTTTGCGTGTCTCTGTATATGTTATGTGTCTATGTCATTGGATGTTTGCCATGTCTGTGTGCATTGTGATCCACCCTGAGTCCCCTGCGGGGTGAGAAGGGTGGAATATAAATACTCTAAATAAATAAATAAATAAATTTCTCCTCCTCCTTTCAGAGTCTGAGATGCGAGGTGTCTACTTAGAATCGGTGCGCAGCCCAGCCGTGGGCAACCGGTACAAGATGGTGATGCGCAAAGGAGGGCACCATGCGCTGCCCGTCTTCTCTCAGGTGGGGCTCAAGGCAAGGAGGGCAATGCTCCCAGACTTGGAGACCAAAGCTAAGGCAGGGTTGGGTTTGATCTGCCATTTCCCAAAGAATCTCGTCTTCCCCTTTCGACTAAAATGATAAAAGGTCTGGAGAACAAGCCCTATGAGGAGCGGCTTAAGGAGCTGGGCATGTTTAGCCTGAAGAAGAGAAGGCTGAGAGGAGATATGATAGCCATGTATAAATATGTGAGAGGAAGCCACAGGGAGGAGGGAGCAAGCTTGTTTTCTGCTTCCCTGAAGACTAGGACGCAATGGAACAATGGCTTCAAACTACAAGAGAGGAGATTCCATCTGAACATGAGGAAGAACTTCCTGACTGTGAGAGCCGTTCATCAGTGGAACTCTCTGCCCTGGAGTGTGGTGGAGGCTCCTTCTTTGGAAGCTTTTAAACAGAGGCTGGATGGCCATCTGTCGGGTGATTTGAATGCAATATTCCTGCTTCTTGGCAGAATGGGGTTGGACTGGATGGCCCATGAGGTCTCTTCCAACTCTTTGATTCTAGGATTCTATGATTCCTCTTTTGAGCTTTTATGCTTGGAGATGAACGTGTGCCCTTTGTGCACCTTTTGAACGAGGCACGTCATATATACCCCTTTGGATCCTGGGCTGAAAGGACTGCCTCAATGGCAGCTGATTGTGGAGGAGGCCGGAGCCACCGCCTTCACAGTCTGGGATTCTATTTAATATTATTTCCCAAAGTATGTTATGTTCCCTGCCCCCTCTCCCTTTCAGGTTTACTTACTTTTAATTACAAATATGGGAGCCAAGCACTGAAAGGGTTTAATGAATGTATGAGCATGTGTGTCTGGAGCTTAGTGCGCCTCAGTGTTAGTTGCCCTCAGTCTGAGAGAGGCCTCAGTGTTGAGATTAACTTCACAATTCAGCAGCAGATCAGTTGCACAACTTCAGTGCTTTCCAGTAGCTTCTTCCTGCACAGTATTTTCAGTCAACTGCTCCCACGGCCTGCAGCCACGCTGGAACCTTTTACAGACACTTGAGTACACAAAGTGCTGGTGTTAACCTATAAAGCCCTAAACGACTCCGGCCCGGTTTACCTCTCCGAACGTATTCTCCCCTACGAACCATCAAGATTACTAAGATCGTCTGGAGGGGCCCTGCTCTCAGTCCCGCCGGCCTCACAAGTGCGGCTGGTGGGGACGAGGGACAGGGCCTTCTCGGTAGTGACCCCGCGACTCTGGAACTCTCTCCCACCAGAGGTTAGAACCGCCCCAACAATCCTGACATTCAGGAAACAGGTGAAGTCGTGGTTATGGAGACAGGCTTTCGAAGAATGAGACAATGATCTGGATGGAAGACGGTGTATATTCGATTTTAGTATGACGACTGACCACTGTAGTTTTAAATATATGTGCTTTTTAAATGTTTTATTGTCATGTGTATTTTGATATTTTACCAATTGTATGTGTTTTTATGGTTGGAAACCGGGCTGAGTCCCTCTTATGAGGTGAGAAGCTCGGTATATAAAACTTTGAAATAAATAAATCTATATATATAAATTTGTTAGGGGCATCCAACGAGGAAACAAAACTCAAAAACCCCCCAACGAAACTTAACCAAAATTCCCATGCCCATAACACAACCCACAAGGTACAAACATATCTACTCAAAATGAAAAACAACACAACAACACACTCACAAAACGGCAAAACAACAAAACTCAAAAATCCCCCAACGAAACTTAACTAAAATCCCTGTGCCCATAACACAACCCACAAGGTACAAACATATCTACTCAAAATGAAAAACAACACAGCAACACACTCACAAAACGGCAAAACAACAAAACTCAAAAATCCCCCAACGAAACTTAACCAAAATCCCCGTACCCATAACACAACCCACAAGGTACAAACATATCTACTCAAAATGAAAAACAACACAACAACACACTCACAAAACGGCAAAACAACAAAACTCAAAAATCCCCAACGAAACTTAACCAAAATTCCCATGCCCATAACACAACCCACAAGGTACAAACATATCTACTCAAAATGAAAAACAACACAACAACACACTCACAAAACGGCAAAAGAACAAAACTCAAACATCCCCCAACGAAACTTAACCAAAATTCCCATGCCCATAACACAACCCACAAGGTACAAACATATCTACTCAAAATGAAAAACAACACAACAACACACTCACAAAACGGCAAAACAACAAAACTCAAAATCCCCCAACGAAACTTAACTAAAATCCCCGTGCCCATAACACAACCCACAAGGTACAAACATATCTACTCAAAATGAAAAACAACACAACACAGTCACAAAACGGCAAAACTGAGCATGCACATTGGCGCCCAGCCGCAAGTTCCATCGCGCGCGCACATGGCCTTCCGGCCAACGTTCCCTCTGCGGAAACCATGCCCACTCCAAGCCCCGCCGCGCTGCTTCCCACACACACACACCCCCTGCCGCACACACACACGCAACCCCACCTCCATCACTCCCCCCGCCGCCGCACACACACACGCAACCCCACGCTCCATCCCTCCCCCCACCGCCGCACACACACACGCAACCCCACTCCCCCCGCCGCCGCACACACACACGCAACCCCACCCTCCCCCCCCGCCGCACACACACACGCAACCCCACGCTCCATCACTCCCCCGCCGCCGCACACACACACGCAACCCCACGCTCCATCACTCCCCTGCCCCAATCTTACCTCCTTTTACTTCACGCCACCTCCAAACCCCACCCGCCCTCCCGCCCTGCAAAAAGAAGAGAAGGAAAGATGGGAAGGAAAGAAGGAAGAAAGAGAAAGGGAGGTAAACAAAAAGGGGGAAGGAAGGAAAGTAAAAGAAAAAAGGAAGAAAAGAAAAGGAGAGAAAGAAGAAAATAGAGACAGCAGAAGAGAAAGAAAAGGGGAAGGAAGGAAAGAGATAGAGAAGGAAATAAGAAGAGAAGGAAAGACGGGAAGGAAGGAAAGCGGGAGTGAAGGAAGGAGGGAGGGAGGAAGGAAAGGAAGGAGGGAGGGATAGGGAGGGAAGGAGGGAGGGAGGGAGGGAGGGGGAAAGAAGGAGAGAAAGAGGGAAGATTGGCCACAGCAACATGTGGCGGGTAAAGGTTGTTATTTCTATTATTATTATTATGCTATTGTTCCTATGAGACCCTTTTAGGGGGAATGGGAGAGGTGTCAGGTCCCAGAGGCAATGCATTGCATTATTGTTATTGTTATGATGGTGGTGAAATAAAAGGAAATAAAAAGTGAAAGAAGGAAGCAAACAGGGAGGGAAGAAAGGCAAAGGAAGAAAGGGGGAGGGAATGAAGGAAAGAGAGAAGGATGAAACCAAGTAGTGAAAGAAGGAAAGAAAGAGGTAGAGAAGGAAGAAAGGAGAGAAAGGGGGAGGAAAAGGGGGAAGGAATAGGTAGGTACCTCTCTTTCATAATAGTCCAGATATCTACCTCAACTTTGATAAGTTTTACTATAGGCCACAGCAACGCGTGGCAGGGCACAGCTAGTTATTTCCCCCAGTCTAGATGATATTACAAACTTACCACAGCACACAGTTATATCTTGTCTTAGCAGACAGGTTCTTTTAATTACATATAGCCTTCGACGAACAACATCACAGCACAAGGAGAAGTATACACTGTACATGACTTCCTTATATACAATTCTATACAATTACACATAGCAATCTCTGATTGGTTCCCAACTCATTGACTTAACTCAGACCCAGGATTACATCATTCACAATCCCCTGGACTAGGCCAGAACACATTCCCCAAATGAAGTTCTATATACAGTTAATGCATGACTCAGCATTTCCAATAGAAGCCTATTAGTAGTGCATGAGTCAGCTATATTACATGACAATACACTGTAAAACCTGACAGCCTCAGTGTGTGAAAAGGCCTGGTTTGAGAAGGCTTTGGTGAGAGAAGCCCCAGGTTGAAGGCCTCGTGTGTAAAGCTCACGTATGAAGGCTGCTGTGTGTAAAAGGCTACTTTGTGAAGCTCCTGTGTAAGTTTGGTGTGAGAGGAAGCTCAATGAGAGCAAATCTGTTCATCTGCATGAGAAAGAAGCCCAGCTTCGAAGCAAATAAGCTGGCTGCTGCCAGGAAATGGCAGGAGTCTTCCTCCAAATGTGCTTGGCTCTAGCATAATACATGTGCTCATGACAACACCCAGGAACATGCCAGAAATACTTGCCAAACCAAGAACAAATGATGTTGATGTTGATGGTATTTATTTATTGTTTCAGCATTGAGGGTGCAGTTAAAATGCATTTAAAAACACAAACAAAGGTTTTAAAACTTGAAATGATGCTCAATGTCCTTTGAAACTACTGCAAATCCCATCATCCATGGTCCATCCTCCCCCATACCACACCAGAACATAGAGGAGGTCATGGGGGTTAAGTATCCCTATCAAACCTTGCCAGAGCCTCCTGCGTATTTCCTTTCCTGTTTCCTACCATCAGGTCCTTTATAGCATTAGGAAGAACTTCCTGACTGTGAGAGCCATTCAGCAGTGGAACTCTCTGCCCCCGAGTGTGGTGGAGGCTCCTTCTTTGGAGGTTTTGAAACAGAGGTTGGATGGCCATCTGTCAGGGGTGATTTGAATGCAATATTCCTGCTTCTTGGCAGAATGGGGTTGGACTGGATGATGGCCCAGGAGGTCTCTTCCAACTCTAGGATTCCATGATCCCAACCAAAGGAAGTCAACCACTCTTGTGTTGCATGAGCAGTGTGCAGACGCGCATTGTCATGAAGGAGACAGACTCCTGCTGTCAGCATCCCATGAGGTCTCTTCCAACTCTAGAATTCTGTGATTCTATGAGTTCTCCATGCCACACTCTTCTCTAGAAACCAGACTTCTTTCCGCTGCATAGACCGGCCTCAGCGCTTTCTCCTTTGCGTTCCAGGTTCCGGAGCAGGACGAGAGCTATCTCGCAGATAGTTTCTGCGTTGAGGACAACTTGGAGGACGACCCCTGTGAGGAAGAGGAAGAGGAGGAGGAAGTGCACATCAATTTTGACCTGTTGCAGGAGGAGAGCTTTGCCAACGGGAGGAAGCTCTACTGCACTCGCCGCAGGAAGAAGCTGAAGTGTATGGAAGAGGCCAGGGGCGCTCCCCTCTTGGCAAGGAAACCCTCTCGGGTTCGGATCCTGGAGGACTCCAGCGAAGAGGAAGGCGGGGTCGGGAGAGAAGAGAAGGACTCTCACACGTCTCCCTCCCTGGGTGACGGGGACGCCTTCCGCCCCCGCCGGACGTTGGCCCCTCTGGCCCCGGAAAGCAGGGCCCACCGCCTCCTGGAGATGAAGGCTTCCCTGGCCGAAGAGATGGACTTCCTCCCTCAGCGCAAAGGCCACGGCCAGAAGGAGTTCCTGGCTGGAGACCAACGGGATCCTACCAAGGTAAGCATTTGGACTGAACTCTGCAAGAACTAAGATCTGGGCACCTCCAAGAAGTGGAGAAAGGGGACAGGAAAGAGAGCCAGGTCTCAATCTTTGAAAGGAGGTCCCATTGGGGAGGAAGGGGACAGCCTGTTTTCTGCTGCTCCAAAATCTAGGACAGGAAGGAGTCAAAGAGATTCCACCCAAACATTTGAAAGAACTTCCGGATGTATAGTTAAATGCTTTCATGGCTGGAATCGCTGCGTTGTGGTGAGTTTTGCAGGCTACATGGCCATGTTCCAGTACCATTCTCCTGTTTCGCCTACATCTGTGGCAAGCATCCTCTGAGGTTTGTTCAGAGGTCTGTTGGAAATGAGGCAAGCGGGGTGTATATATCTCTGAAAAGTGTTGGAGTTATGGATTCCAGTTAAGTAGGGTCCTGCCTGGTAAGCACAACGAAGCGCCAATAGACCCTACTCAAATGTGGCACAGCTGGTTGGGAGTCAGCTGCATTAAAATCACTATGTTTATGCATGTGTACATGTATATATGTATGTGTATGTGTGTGTATGTATATAGCACTGGGTGCAGCTGGGTGGGAGTCAGCTGCATTAAGATCACTATGTTTATGCATGTGTACATGTATATATGTATGTGTATGTGTGTGTATGTATATAGCACTGGGTGCAGCTGGGTGGGAGTCAGCTGCATTAAGATCACTACTGACTGAAAGGTCATGCGTTCGAAGTCAGCCTGGGTTGGAGTGAGCTTCCAACCAATTTGTGTAGCTTGCTGTCAACATTTGCAGCCCAAAAGACAGTTGCGTTTTTCTACTTTGTACATGTTGTCTGCTGCTTTGAGTCCCGATTCGGGAGAAAAGCAGAATATAAATAAATAATTAGCAAGCTCGAATTAGCACTTGAGTAGCTATGAAGTTTGGAAAGTCAATCAGTGAGGGCATCTGCATAGAGGTAGCCTGGCCTTCCTAATGGTTAGGGCTGTTCAGTCAGGTGGACCCTCCTTCTGTGGAGGTTTTTGAACTGGATGGCCCTCTGGTTGAGGTTGGACTGGATGGCCCTTGGGGTGCCTTCCAACTCTTACGATTCTATGAGAAGAGCCTTGGTGGGCTAAAAGTCATCATAGGTTTGGCTTAGTGATGAGGAGACCTTCTGTTGCTCTCTGCAGGTGGAAGGACCTTTGAGCGCCCCCTCCTTCTCTTCTTCCTCTGCGTTGGCCACCCACCCTTCCTCTTCCTCCCTGAAGGACCCAGCTGCCCTGTGCATCCTAGTGGACAGCCGCGAGATCTCCTCTGGTCCAGAGGTCATCTCTGCCCTGAAGGCTGCCCATGGGGTCAAGGTGCAGGTCTGCTCCCTGGGCATCTGCGATTATGTGGTCAGCCACCGGATGGCGGTGGAGAGGAAGTCCCCGGTGGAGCTCCTCCACCCAGCGCAGCGGAGCAGAGCGGCCCAGAAGGTGCGGGAGATCAGGAGGAAGTTTGACCGCATCTGCGTCATCGTGGAAAAAGAGAGGCCCAAGGCAGGTAGGTCCCTGGCCGGAAGTGGGTGTTGGGGCTCAACAGGGAGAAGCTGGGGGTGTGGAGGATGGATTTTTCACTGAGTCTGTGTGTGATTAGCCTGAAACACAGACAGAAGTGCAGGCCATAGATCAGAGTGAGGTGCTGACAGCTGCAGAAGAGTTAGTTTGGGATTCCGTTTCCCTTGAGAATCTGCCTTCTCGGTTTCAGAAGATGGGGAGTTACCCCATAATATGAGATTAGGCCTCTGCTTGGAGAGAGCAAAGGAAAGGTTAATTGGAAGGTCAGAAAGACTCTGTGAGAAGCAGTCCTTGAAACCCAGGTGCCTAAAGGATGATCTCTTGGCTTCTTGGTGAGGTTTGAGCTGAAATTAAGGGATGTTTTCCTGGTCCCTCCAGAGCAGACAACGTTGCCATAAAATCCACTTCATGTTCAGCTCTCAAGTTTGCCTTTGTTCCTCAAATAGCTTTGTGTTGGAAAGGTTCATGTTTTCATGCTTATGGATATATGCCTATGTTCTTGACCAGGGGGCCGAATGCAGCCCTCCAAGGTCATTTACCCGGCCCTCGCTCAGGGTCAAACTTGAAACTAGAAAGCACAAAACAACAACAATCCTATCTCATCAGCCAAAAGCAGGCCCACACTTTCCATTGAAATACTAATAAGTTTGTATTTGTTAAAATTGTTCTTCATTTTAATTATAGTATTGTTTTGTTTTTTGCACCACAAATAAGATATGTGCAGTGCGCATAGGAATTCATTCATGCATTTTTCAAATTATAATCTGGCCCTCCAACAGTTTGAGGGACTGTGACCTGGCCCTCTGTTTAAAAAGTTTGAGGACCCCTGTTCTTGACCATGGATTTCTTGTGCCTTGCTAACTTGGACTATTGATCTTTGTATTTTGGACGACTGCTATTTCATAGCACCTTTCCTACTGCTTTTTTGGGAAATGCCCATTTTCCTTTTGGTATATGCTTGTGTAAATATACTGCTGTAGTTAGCTACTACTGAACTCTGTGTGGTTTTGGGTGTGACAGTGGGATTTAACCCAGGCACGGGCCAACTTTGGCCCTCCCTCCAGGTGTTTTGGATTTCCAACTCCCTCAATTACTAGCGTTTAGGCCAGGGGTCCTCAAACTAAGGCCTCAAACTAATACGGCCCTTAAAGATAATTTACCCAGCCCTGGCTCAGGGTCAACCTAAGTCTGAAATGACTTGAAAGCACACAACAACAACAATCCTATTTCATCAGCCAAAAGCAGGCCCACACTTATCATTGAAATGCAAATAGGGTTATATTTATTGAAATTGTTCTTCATTTTAATTATTGTATTGTTTTAAAGTGTTTTTTACACTACAAATAAGATATGTGCAGTGTGCATAGAAATTCATTCATGTTTTTTTTTTCCAAATTATAATCTGGCCCTCCAACAGTTTGAGGGACTGTGACGTGGCCCTCTGTTTACAAAGTTTGTGGACCCCTGGTTTAGGCTGTTAGAAATTGCAGGAGTTGAAGTCCAAAACACCTGGAGGGAGGGCCAAAGTTGGCCCATGCCTGTGCTAAATTGCACTGCCAGGCCTCAGTATCCGAAGAAGCCTTAACCACTTTCTGATCTGTTTCAGGAGAGGTCAGCAGGGCCTTCCGCCGGACCCAGCACTACGACGGCATCCTCTCGGCCTTTGTCCGGGCCGGGGTCCGCCTCCTCTTCAGCTCCGGCCAGGAAGAGACGGCCGGCCTGCTGAAGGAGCTGGCCTTGGTGGAGCAGCGGAAGGCGGCGGCCATCGCGGGGACGACGGTGGAAGTGGGGCCCCGACAGGAAGGGGCGCTGCGCTTCTACCTGAGCATCCCTTGCGTGGGGCACCCCCTGGCCCTGGCTCTCTGCCACGCTTTCCGCTCCATCCGGGAGGCTGCCAGTAGGTACGTATGGCCCGTGGAGGGCTTTCTCGGTCAGCCCTCATGCACCATGCAGGTTTAGCAGGTGAGGGAGGGATGGAGGAATACTTGGGATCTCTGGTAGAGCAGAGTGCAGTGGAACCAGCACTGTATGCAATCTCCTCATAGGCAACAGTGTCATGAATCCTTTTTGAGTCATAAACATGTTCTTTAATCCATTTTCTGTGAGACTGAGTGCATCAGGCACTTTCAGAGAAAGAATTAGACATACAGATTCCAGTACTGGGATTTGTAATGGCTATATTGGTTACACAGACATCTCACACACTCCAAAATTCACTCATAATCCACCCGTTTACTCATTCATACTCACCATCCTTCACCTGTCAGGATTCTTGAAAGGACGTGGTTGTTCAAAAGGCTTCATTCCTCAAGTACAGGATTAGAGGATTAGATAGCAAGCGAGACAGCGGCCCTATTGTTATGAATAACTTTTCAATAACTTTAAAGCATAAGTTCTTTTAATTGCAATTCTCCAGTAAGAGAAACGGTATCAGATTACAGAACTTTTGTTCAACAACACTGGACATACAGATTCTAGGCAACTACACTGGATTCACAAACAACCTACAGTTACATTGGCTAACACACAAAGCAAGTTACCCTTTTAGTCAGCATTCACACGTAATGGTTGCTTACCTGTAACCTTGTTTTTCCGAAGGCACCCGACTATTTGGCCCTATTCTGATATGGCTGGAATCTATCCCCCGCCCCAAACTGTTGTTTGCGACCCTTCCAAGGTCTAGCATTATTGACATTACGGCTCCTAGACCCAAAAGTAGGGGCATTACCGAAATTCCTCTTGTAAAATGAGGAAGTGGGTTGCCAACGAGGCCTTTGTTGGTAAAAAGGTTGCCAGGGTTAGCCAAATTTATGTGCCGCCTGGCACACTTCCTGCGTATGCTTAAGTTTGTCGTCAGTCAAAGGATTAAAGAGTCCTTCTTTATGCATCGGCAAATCTTCGGGCAAAGACCGACCCTCCTCAGACAATGTCGAGGAACGCAACCAAGCGTGGCGGTGGATGGAGGTCGCCGTGGCAAAAAGTTTGCTCACAGACTCAGCTAGATGTTTTGCAAAGTCTTTTTGGAGGCAAGAGAGGGGTAGAGCCTCAGCTTGAACCCCTCTAGGAAGGAGCCAATCATCCTGGGGCAACCTACCCAAATAGGGCAAGATCTTCTTCCACAGGAAAGATTGATACGCACTCATGTATGCGGCGTAGTGGGACATACGAGTGAAAAGACTCCAAAATAAGAAAAAAAAGTCTATATATGTGTGTGTGTGTGTATATATATATATATATATAGAGAGAGAGAGAGAGAGCTAGTAAAAAAAGAAGAGATTCCATAACTGCTGCGAGAGCGCGGATGAAAGGAACTGAGGCAGTAGCCCCTCCCACTAGCTATAAACTCCATGGGGGAGTGGGCGGGGCTACCGCCTAAAAGTGTCTAAAAGATTTCTAGAAGATTCCAAACTGTCTGCGCAGCCGCAGGAAACACCATATGTGCAGTTTCACAGGGACCACGATGGAGAAACATATATTCATTCATCCTTCCATCAGCATGCATACATCACTATTCTTCCTCCTGCTGTCACCTGGAGAACACCTCTTAGGCCAGACTACTTCTTCTGCAGCCTGCCAACGCAGTTCCAAAACTTCCCTATCTTCTTAAATGCGTCCTTTCCCTAAGCACAGTGACAAGGATCAGAACTGTTTTCCCTACAGCAGAAACTGACTTCCCTGCACATTGTATCATGACTTGAAAACCACACTCCTTCCTCTTCCCTTGAGAAAAGGAGCCCAAATTGTGCAGAATCCTGCTTCCCCATAGCAGATCTGACACTCTCCATACACCACCTCTGTCTTTCCCATGGAGCAGAGAGGCGATGAACTCTGCTGTCTGTCACAATTTTTGAAATGTTAGATCTCTTACATAACAATATTTCGCTGATGTCCCAAAGTTGTGAATTAATCGTATTTTCCATCCTGAGACTTCCTGGCTTCATTGCAGTTTCCGGACAGATGTTGACTCTTCTTGATTGGTGTTGGTCTTGTGTCGACTTCCTTCTTAACACTATAAACTAGAAGAGTCATTGTCTCTGGTTGTTTTCCCCCAAAAGGTCAACAGTTAACAATCTCACAGTTCATCAGCAATTAGTCTAGTCTAGCAAGCAGGTAGTAAATTATTTAGAACGTTGTCTTGAGCCAAATTAGCTCTCATTCATTCACCTTTCATACAATTCTACACATATGCATACATATTAAATCTACATTTATCAAATCTGCACATCATATTTTAATTTACCACTATTTGGGTCCCATTTGGATCTGTGTCAGTTTGCTCATTGACCCTTAGGGCAGGCATGGGCAAGCTTCACATGATGAATACTGTACGGCCCCCTTATGTACACCTCCTCTTTCTCTTCTTTCCCTGAGAGCAGTGTTTCTCAAGCTAGGGGTCAGGACCCCTGCAGGGGTCGGGAGGGGGTGTCAGAGGGTTAGCCAAAGACCATAAAAAAACACAACATTTTCTGTTGGTCAGTGGGGGTTCTGTGTGGGAAGTTTGGCCCAATTCTAAAGTTGGTGGGGTTCAAAACGCTCTTTAATTATCGGTGAACTATAAATCCCAGCAACTACAACTCCCAAATGTCAAGGTCTAATTTCCCCAAATTCCACCAATGTTCACACTTGGGCATACTGAATATCCATGCCAAGTTTGGTCCAGATCCATCATCTTTATTAGAGTCCACAGTGCTCTCTGGATGTAGGTGAACTACAACTTCCAAACTCAAGGTCAATGCCCACCAAACCCTTCCAGTATTTTCTGTTGGTTGTGGAAGTTCTGTGTGCCAAGTTTGGTTTGATTCCTTTGTTGGTGAAGTTCAGAATGTTCTTTTGATTGTAGGTGAACTATAAATCCGAGCAACTACAACTCCCCAATGACAAAATCAACACCCCACAACTCTACGTGTATTCAAAATTGGGCGTACTGAGTATTTGTGCAAAATTTAGTCCAGTGAATACATCCTGCACATCAGATATTTACATTATGAGTCATAACAGAAGCAAAAGTAGTTATGAAGTAGAAACTAAAATTTTGTGGTTGGGGGTCACCACACCGTGAGGAACTGTATTAATGGGTCGCGGCATTAGGAAGGTTGAAAACCACTGCCTGAGAGTGTTGGTGGGCCTCTTTAGATCCTCGAGTGATTCCATGGGATGCTTCCATCCCACATATAAATCAGAATACAGGGTTTGCCATTATCCACAGATTCATGTTTATGTGGGGATCTTGAGAGGTGTCCCATGTGGATATGGGAGTCATATTGTTGGAATGGTGGGAGATGAAGTCCAAAACACCTGGAGGGAGGGCCAAAGTTGGCCCATGCCTGGGCTACAGTAAGTGCTGTCCGTCAGCAGCCCTCCCTCCATTGCGCTTCTCTGCTCCTCTCCAGCTCTCCCAGTGAGATGGCAGCCCGCGTCCAGGTGAGCCAGCAGAAAGCAGAGGAAGTCTTCCAGTACCTGCGCCACCCCTTCGACGCCCAGATGCTGCCCAACGGGAGCCCCTGACCGGCCCACGGACCTTAGAAGCAAATGCACTTTACTGTAAGATATGTAAATAAACTTGGGCATGGAAAAGGGTAACGCAGGCTCTTGGACGCCTCTTTTTTAAGGAGGGAAGGACAGCCAGGAGTGCTGCATGCTATTTGCCCCAAAAGGAACACATACACACACACACAAAACAGCTTTCCTAAATGTATGGTGCTTCATTTGAAAGTAGTTGTCACATTCCCGAAACGTTGCTTTTGCAGCTGCCACAAAAGAGGTTGAATTGGTTGAAACTCAATGAGATATTCAGTAAAAGAAAACCTAGAGCAGGCATAGGCAAACTTGGGTCCTCCAGGTGTTTGGACTCCAACTCCCACCATTCCTGAAAGCCTCAGGCCCCTTCCTTATCCCCCTCAGCCGCTTAAGTGGCTGAGGGGGAAAAGGAAAGGGCCTGAGGCTGTCAGGAATGGTGGGAGTTGGAGTCCAAAAGACCTGGAGGACCCAAGTTTGCCCATGCCTGGTCTAAACATTGACTTAACATTGGTTATGGGCCCAGCACTCAGCTTAAGTGGGTGAGGGGGGAAAGGAAGGGCCTGAGACTATTAGGAATGGTGGAAGTTGAAGTCCAAGCCACCTGGAGGGCCCAAAGTTTGCCCATGCCCGGTCTACACACTGACCTTACGTTGGTTATGAGCCCAGCACTCAGCTTAAGTGGCTGAGGGGGAAAAGGAAGGGGGCTGAGGCCGTAAGGAATGGTGGGAGTCGGAGTCCAAAACACCTGGAGGGAGGGCCAAGGTTTGCCCATGCCTGACCTAGAGCAAAATGTGCTGCAGGATATCTTTCCCAGGAACAGAAATCATGTTACATAGCATATATGTAGTCAGGCTTTGCACCTGTATTTATTTGCTTTTCGGTGGGGCTTGTTCTGTTGATGTTTGGGTCACGGGAAAAATAATCTGCTGCCATCTTGTGGCTGTCCTTTGGAATAAATCCTGACTTGGCCAATGTAAGGAGAAGTATGGTTTGCTTACCTGTAACCATGTTTCTCCGAGTGGTCACCTGTGAATTCGCACATATGGTATTTTATATGAACTGAGCACAGGCGCAGGAAATACCATTTGTGCAATTCACTGGCTGTTAGGAATTGTGGGAGTTGCAGTCCAAAACGCCTGGAGGGAAGGAGGGCCCAAGTTTGCCCATGCCTGTTCTATGGCTATTCTGGATAGGAAAAGGATGTCTTCCCAGTGCCCTGGAAAGGGGAAACATGCACGAGCCCCCTTTCCTTCCATGCATGTGAGGCCAGCATACGTTGCAGCCCAGCACCATAACTTGCATCAAAACATGTAAAAAGATACGGAGAAAAAAATGAGATTTAATACAAAAATACATCATTGCTCTTCTTTATGCAGTCAAGATCCCTTGCGAGTATAAACACGGCACTCGGAGGTTTATTATACAGTAGCATTAAAAAAAAAACCCACATTGTTTTGCTTCTTTAAAAAAAATATCCCCCTATGGAAAAAAAACCCTCAAAAGTGTCTAATCCCCGACAGCAAGGTCTCAGGAAACAGTCCCAGGCCAGAGAGAGAGAGAGAGAAGGAAGAGGCCTCCTCGCCCGGAAGGCCTTCCTGGGACACAAGGAAACTCTGAACTGGGAAAGCAAACGCAAACCAAGGAAAAGATGAGGACAAAACACAAAGCTTTTCCTCCAAATTCATCCAAAGCAGGCCAAAAAGGGAATGAAGGTTTTGGAGGGAACGAAGAAGGACCCGCCACTTCTTACGTGGAAAAATACGTATCGGCCTCGTCGCAAGACTCCATTTCTTGGTCCTCCGCTGGGAAGAGCTGCTCCACGCTGGCCGAGCCCACTGCAGCCCAAGGAAGGAAGGGAAAAGAAAGAGGGCTTACTTCCAAGTCACAGACAGCCCAGGATAGGCTGAGCCCCAAGGGTAGTCTAACATGGGCAGTCCCTATTTATTTATTTATTTATTCAAAATATTTGTAAACCCCACCCCCCCCACCCCTCTTCTCTACCCCTGAAGGGGCACCCAGGGCGGCTTACAGCCAGCAACAATTCAATGCCCCACATATATGACAAATAAACAACAGTTACACAATAAGTTAAAACATTAAAATTAGATTAAAAGTCATTTAAGATAGTACACATTGAATTAGTTGACATGTCAAGGCAACAGCTTAATCCCGTGATGGTGAACCTATGACACGTGGGTCAGCACTGACATGCATGGCTATTTTTGATGACATGCGGCCACATACACGGAAGTACACCTTACAAGAGCCAATCTAATTCCATCCTTAAATTTGTAAAAGGCTCTACAAATTTGACATCTGCACGTTTGAGCATTGTTCACTCCATAACTCAGCATGGAATATACATTTTTCTTACTTAAACTATAAATATTGCAAAATTATGTGTTTGTTTTTTTTTTTTTTTGAAGTTGACACCCCACCCAAGTTATGCTCAGGTTTTTGGCAAATTTTGACACACCAAGCTCAAAAGGTTGCCCATCACAATCAGAAGCCTATCCATAGTCTTTTTTCCATAGCATTGTTGTCATTTCTATTGTCAACCTGCTATCTGAATGCCTGGTCCCATAGCCATGTCTTCCACTTTTTCCTGAAGGAAAGGAGGGAAGCCGCTGACCTAATTTGCCTGGGGAGCGAGTTCCACAGGTGAGGGGCCGCCACCGAGAACACCCTGTCCCTCGTCCCCACCGAGCGCATTTGCGACAAAGGTGGGATTGAGAGCAGGGCCTCCCCGGAAGATTGTAAGTTTTGAGGTGGGACGAAGGGGGAGATACGTTCAGAGCTTGGCTGCCTTTCCGTATAGACACTTCCACTCTCCTGGAATATTCCAGACGTGACCCTTGGGTCTGAAAACACCACCTGTTTTAGGGGCCATGTTTCAGAAGGGGGTGGTGTGTGACAGTGCCGCAGGATGCGCCAGCTAAGCGGCTGCATAGCAAAAGAGCCCAGTTTCCCTGAGCGGCAGGCATTGCTCACCTCCAAAAGTAAAGACACCCTTCCGTGAAGTGGGGGTCGTGGAGATGGTCCCAACCTGGAGGCAGGAAAAGAAAAGTCATTGGATTTAACCTGATTTTAACCACTTTGATTATGACTCTACATCAGGCATGGGCAAACTTTGGCTTAAGCGGCGGAGGGGGAAAAGGAAAGGGTCTGAGGCTGTTAGGGATGGTGGGAGTTGGAGTCCAAAACACCTGGAGGGAGGGCCAAAGTTGGCCCTTGCTTGCTCTGCATGGACACAGGAAGGGAGAAACACAAGAATAAATACGGTAACCAGAAGTCAGGACGAAAGAAAGAAAGAAGCGCCAGCAAAACGAATCAAGTGCAAGGCGACCGTACCGGTTTCTTCTTCACGTTCTGCCAGGTGCGCTCCTTGCCTTTGATGTTCTTCTGCAGCTGGAAAACACGCTTCTCACGGTCCTTCCTGAAAGGCAAAAACATTTTAAAGACCCAGAGAAAGGTGGGTGACCTGGACTGTTCTGGTCGAATGTGGCTAAAGGACAGTGCTGGCTCACGCTTCACCCTCCGCAAGAGATCAAGAGGGAGCATCCACTGAAAGGAGTGGAAAAGGAAGACCAGCAGCAAAGCTTGCTTGGAAAGCCCACTCCTGTTTGTGGGATGCAAATGGCCTCACAAACAGGAGTGGAGTTTCCAAGCAAGCTTTACTGCTGGCCTTCCTTGGCCCTTCTTTTCACCAGCATGATTTGAAACTCTTGGACCCTGGACAAGCCTGGCTTTAGGGTTGGAGCCGCCATACGTTCCATCAGAAAGTGGGCTTCCTTCCTCCCTTCCATCCATCCTTCCCTTTCCTTCCTTTCTTCCATCCATCCATCCTTCCCTTCCTTTATTCCATCCATCCATCCATCCCATCCCATCCCATCCATCCTTCCTTCCTTCCATCCATCTATCCATCCACCCATCCACTCACCCTTCCATCCCTTTCCTTCTGGCCCCAATTGCGTTTGCAGTGGCTAAGGAGTAAAAACAGGCCTTTGGAAACAACAAAGACGAGACAAAACTTTCAGCAGAAGGATAATTCCAGGCTCCCTGCTCACTACTATGTTCCCTTTCCTTGAACCTCTCAGAATCCTAGAGTTGGAAGAGACCTCATGAGCCATCCAGTCCAACCCCATTCTGCCAAAAATCACATTCAAAGCACCCCCAACAGGTGGCCATCCAGCCTCTGCTTCAAAGCCTCCAATGAAGGAGCCTCCACCACACTCCGGGACAGAGAGTTCCACTGCTGAATGGCTCTCACAGTCAGGAAGTTTTTCCTAATGTTCAGATGGAATCTCCTCTCTTGGAGTTTGAAGACATGGTTCCATTATGTCCTAGTCTCCAGGACAGCAGGAAACAAGCTTGCTCCCTCCTCCCTATAACTTCCTCTCACATACTTATATATTGCTATCATGTCTCCTCTCAATCTTCTCTTCTGCAGGCTAAACACGCCCAGGTCTTGAAGCCGCTCCTCATAGGGTTTGTTCCTTTGAGTCACCCTCTTCCTCTGGACACCTTCCAGCTTGTCAATATCTCTCTTCAATTGTGGTGCCCAGAACTGGACACAATATTCCAGGTGTGGTCTAACCTCATCTGGAATAACCACATCTTCCTTTCATGAAGGAAATCCCAAATGCCAGGTGAATGCCAGGCTTGTGGCCTCAAAAGCAGTGGCTTGCAAGCCCTGAGACTTTCTGGCAAAACAAGAGAGATAGGGTGGCATTCCAAGAGCCATTCCCCTCCAAAAAAAAGATCCTTTTCTGTGTGTTCAGTCTTTTGATACTACAGTCACCCACTTTTTTAGCTTTATGAAATAAAGGAATTACTTACAAAGAGTTATGCAAGTAGGTCTTGACCCAAAAGCGCAAGTATTAAGAAAGGCTGCATATAAAACAGCAGCCTGAGGTCTCCGTTTGGGAGGAAGGCAGCCTATAAACCTATACCTTTTCTAACCCAAGATAATGTCTGTCTAGGAATGTCTAGGTTGGCCAGTAGGACTCCATTCCCCAGAAACTCACAGAAGGACCTAGCCATTCCCAGAGAGGTGTTCTCTCCAGAAATCTCTTGGTCCTCTGTCTTAACTGGAGAAACTTGACCATAAGAGCATCCTGGAGAACCTAGGGATTTCTAGAGAGAACATCCTTCGCAGGCGGGTTTGGCGGGACGAGAGACAGGGCATCCTCAGTGGTGGCCCCTCAGCTGTGGAACTCGCTCCTCAGCCCCCTCCCTCCTGACTTTCAGAGTGAAAACGTGGCTCTGGAATCAAGCCTTCCGAGAAAAACCATAGTGCAATAGGACTGGAATTATGTGCAATGACTACAGGAATGATCTGGATTATGATGGCGGGTAGTATGGTTTTATAGTGATTTTAATGTTTTTAAAATATTGTAATGTATTTTAATTTTGATTTTAAATTTCAATTAAAATGTTTATTTAATTGCATATTGTTGTTAAGGCACTGAATTATTGCCTATCTGTAAGCTGCCTTGAGTCCCCTTCGGTGTAGAGAAAGGCGGGATAGCAGTAAAGCAAATAAATAAGATACATTTAAAAATCAAATCTGAGAATAAGATTGCAAAAGAGATGGTGGCAATAATAGTAAAAATGCATGCAGTTAGAAAAGGGGGTGAACAGTAATGAATGTGTATACTGGACCCTCCTCTGCACATGGGGTTATCCTTCTGCTTCTCCAGAATAGTCTGGAATATATCTTGGAGCTGGCCAGCCCCCCATGTGTAGGGGCTGGACCTGATTTGGGGTTGCTTCTGGGTGACCCACCTGTCCAGGGACTGCAGCATCATCCCGGGGGAGACGTGCCTGCACTGCGGGGTCTTGACCAGAGGGAAGATGGCCGAGCCGGGCGTGATGGGGTGGCCCTCCTTCAGCTGGAAGACGTCCTCCTCCGGGACCGTCAGGAACTGCGGCAGCTGCAGAGCACACCCATGTCATTACCCTACAACAGAAAGCGAGAAGCCATCCCCTCCCAGAGAAACAAAGAGCTGGAAGGGGCCTCTAAAGGCCATCCAGTGCAGTCCAATTCAGCCAGGCAGGAAAAGACAATCCAAACATCCTTGACAGATGGCCATCAAGCCTCTGCTTAAAAGCCTCCAGAGAAGGGGACTCCCGAGGCAGTGAGTTTCACTGCTGAACAGCTTATTGCCATTAGAAACCATTGTGTCCTAGTCTCTACAGCAGGGGTTCTCAACCTTCCTCATGCTGTGACCCCTTAATACAATTCCTCATGTTGTGGTGACCCCCAACCATAAAATTATTTTCCTTCCTACTTCATAACTGTCATTTTGCTACTGTTATCAATCATAATGTAAATATATGGTTGATGGATTTTCATTCACTGGACCAAATTTGGCACAAATACCCGATACGCCCAAATCTGAATACTGGTGGGGTTGGGGGGTGGGGACTTGATTTTGTCATTTGGGAATTGTGGCTGCTGGGATGTGTAATTCACCTGCAATCAAAGTGCATTCTGAACTCTATCAACGATGGAATTGAACCAAACTTGGCACACAGAACAGCCATGGTCAACAGAAAATACTGGGTTTGATGGGCATTGACCTTGTGTTTTGGAGTTGTAGTTCGCCTACATCCAGAGAGCACTGTGGACTCAAACGATGATGGATCTGGACCAAACTTGGCACAAATATGCAATATGCCCAAATGTGAACACCAGTGGAGTTTGGGGAAAATAGTCCTTGACATTTTGAGAGTTGTAGTTGCTGGGATTTGTAGTTCACCTACAATCAAAGAGCATTCTGAACCCCACCAATAACAGAATTGGGCCAAACTTCCCACATAGAACCCCCATGACCAACAGAAAATACTGTGTTTTCTGGTGGTCTTTAGTGACCCCTCTGACACTCCCTTGTGACCCCTCCAGGGGTCCCGACCCCCAGGTTGAGAACCACTGCTCTACAGCAAGCTCATCCTCTTCTTCTCAATGGGACATCCTTCCCAATATTTAAATATGGCTCCCATAGTTTCCCTCCGCTTTCTTTTTCTTCAAACTAAACATCCCCAGCTCCAGCATCTCCTCCTCATAGGTCCGTGATGGTGAACCTATGACACGCGTGTCAGTACTGACACACGTAGCCATTTCTACTGACACGCGCCCGCCGGATATTATTTGTTTATTTATTTTATGCCATTTTAAAAAATAAATAGGAAAGAAATTATTATTTTGCAATGTTACCTAAATATTAAGGAGTTTCATATTTAAACTGAATGATAAATACTGTTACTTTGCTATATTATTCAAATATTAAAATGCATTAAATTAAATGTCAAATTTAAAAATATTTAATTATTATTAATATTTAGGTAACATTGCAAAATAATATTGGTTTATTTAATTATTAAGTAAACGAATATTATTTTGCATTGTTTCCTATGCAAAATAGGAAACAATGCAAGTTAAATTAAATGATAAATAATAATTATATTTTTATTAAACACTCCAAAAAGGATATTATTTACATAAAGAGAGGTAGAACAACATGATAAGAGAGAAAGTGGGAATTACAATTATATATTTTTTGTTATTTAAACTAAATATTGCGAAATTATGGTTTTTTTTCTTGAAGTGACACACCACCTGAATTATGCTCAGTTTTTTGGCGAATTTTGACACACCACGCTCAAAAGGTTGCCCATCACTGTCATAGGTAGTCCTTGTGTTCAAACCCTTGGCCATCTTGTCCTCCCTTCTCTGGACCCCTTGTGCGACTGTGGAGCTGAATAGACAACAACTCCGTCTCTAGAAGCTTCTCCGCAATGTCCTGCCTCATGGACAGAGGAAGAATTGTTGGAGGCTACAGACAACGCAGTTGCTGTTGCCCGTTATTTGTCATAGCTGCTTGTGCTCCTTATCAGTTTTATACTAATTTACATGCAATGCTTTTGACATGAAATAAATATATGGGCCTCTTCCATCTTGCTCATTTCCTTCTTGAATTGCTTGGCCCACAAGGGAACGCAGGGAGAAAGTCTTACCAAAGCAGAACAGGGTGGGACTAGGCCTTTCCTTGATCTCTATGGATGCAGCCTGGGATTTCATTAGCTCCCCCCACTATTGAACAGCTTTTCCTGTTCAGAAGGTCATAGAATCCTAGAATCCTAGAGTTGGAAGGGACCTCCTGGGCCATCATCCAGTCCAACCCCATTCTGCCAAGAAGCAGGAATACTGCATTCAAAGCACCCCTGACAGATGGCCATCCAGCCTCTGTTTCAAAGCTTCCAAAGAAGGAGCCTCCACCACACTCTGGGGCAGAGAGTTCCACTGCTGAACGGATCTCAGAGTCAGGAAGTTCTTCCTCATGTTCAGATGGAATCTCCTCTCTTGTAGTTTGAAGCCATTGTTCCATTGCGTCCTAGTCTCCAAGGAAGCAGAAAACAAGCTTGCTCCCTCCTCCTCCCTGTGGCTTCCTCTCACATATTTATACATAGCTAGCATATCTCCTCTCAGCCTTCTCTTCTTCAGGCTAAACATGCCCAGCTGCATAAGCCACTCCTCATAGGGCTTGTTCTCCAGACACCTGATCATTTTAGTCGCCCTCCTCTGGACACATTCCAGCTTGTCAATATCTCCCTTCAATTGTGTTGCCCAGAATTGGACACAATATTCCAGGTGTGGTCTAACCAAGGCGGAATAGAGCATGGGGAGCATGACTTCCCTAGATCTAGACACTAGGCTCCTCTTGATGCAGGCCAAAATCCCATTGCCTTTTTTTGCCGCCACATCACATTGTTGGCTCATGTTTAACTTGTTGTCCACGAGGACTCCAAGATCTTTTTCACACGTCCTGCTCTCGAGCCAGGCCTCATTGTCCCCCATTCTATATCTTCGCATTTCGTTTGTCCATTTCCTTCTTGAATTGCTTGACCCACAGTGGAACGCAGGGAGAAAGTTTTACCAAAGCAGAACAGAGTGGGACTAGGCCTTTCCTCGATCTCTATGGATGCAGCCTGGGATTTCATTAGCTCCCTCCACCATTGAACAGCTTTTCCTGTTCAGAAGGTCCTTCTAAAGAGCAGTGACAATCCACCCTGCTCCATCTTCCAATCATGAGGCTTTCTTCTCCTTTCTGAGGCAGTTCCCCTCCTCCTCTGTGGCATCAGCAGCCCCTGGGCATGTACTGTGACTGGATGGATTTTCTCAAGACCGTTCTTTGGTCTCATCGTATCATTCCCCAAAAATGAACAGGGAGCTGTACTCCCGGACGTGGCATCCGGTCACCAGTGGAGTTGCCAGAGTAATTAAAGCCAGTCCTAAGTTGCGATCCTTACCCCAGCTACCCCACAGTGAAGGTTCCCATCTCACCAACTTCTCCCTGCTTCAGATGATGCTTCTGCACCTCTTCCAGTCTTTGGTTTCATCATGTCATTCCCCATAAATGAACAGGGAGCTCCCAGAAGTGGCATCCGGTCACCAGTGGAAATATCCAGAGGGGCTGCCAGAGTCATTAAAGCCAGCCATTACATTGTGATCCTTCCCCCAGCTACTCCACAGTGAAGGTTCTCATCTCATCAACCTCTCCTTGCTTCAGATGATGCATCTGCATCACTGAAAGAAAGCAGTTTGACACTGCTCAAACTGCCATGGCCCAGCACAATGGAATAATGGGAGTTGTCATTTTGGAGTCTTCGAAACAGTACCAGTGCCTTACCCAACGACAGGCAGCTCCCAGGACTAAACCATGGCAGGGAAAGAGGAATCAAATTGCACTCCTTCCACAGAATATCCTTAGGCACAATTCAAGAAGGAGATGGACAAGATGGAATGTGTCCAAAGAAGGGGAACCAATACAATCAACAGTCTGGAAGCCACAAATCTCTCTGAGGAGCGGCCGAGGGGGCTGGGTAGGTTCAGCTTGGAGAAAAGATTGAAAGAAGAGGACATGGCAGCCTTGTTTAGATGTTGAAAAGGATGTCACATTGAGGAAGGAGGTCAGGTTGCTTTCTGTGGCTCCAGAGAGTGGGACACAAGGGATCCCACCTCATAAGCATTAAGAAAGATTTCCTGGTGGTTAGAGCTGTTTAGCAGTCGAATCTGCTGCTGCCGCTGCTGCCTGAGGGGTCTGATGGAGTCTCCTTCCTTCTCTGGACTTTTTCAACCAGAGGCAGGATGGACATCTGTTGAGAGAGCTTGGATTCTGTCTTCCTTTGTGGCAGAAAGGGATTGGGGCCTCTTTCAACTCTAGGATTCTGTGAAGATTGGGAAAGGTCAGGAGTGAACCTCTTTCCTCTTTCCATTCTCAGGGTGGCAATCTCTCCCCACTCCCCTTCCCAAACCAGTGACATTCCCAAGCCCCCTGGAACACACACACAACCAGAGTTAAGAAGAAGCAATGTCCTAAGACTGGCTCAGCAACAAAAAGAAGTAACCCAGCAGGCAAAACTAAGAATGTCCAAGAAGAGAAAGAAAGAAAGAAAGAAAGAAAGAAAGAAAGAAAGAAAGAAAGAAAGAGGAAGAAAGGAAGGAAGGAAGGAAGGAAGGAAGGAAGGAAGGAAGGAAGGAAGGAAGGAAGGAAGGAAGGAAGGAAGGAAGGAAGGAAGGAAGGAAGGAAGGAAGGGAGAAAAAAGAAAACTAAAAGGATACAAAGACTTATTAAAAGAAGAGATGAGCAGTAGATTTAAAGAACAACAAGATCCCTCCTTTATACAGAAGGAACACTGATTTTTCAGAAAACTTAGTAAGTTTAAATAAAGGATGTCAAGATGGTAAAGTTTTCCCCTTAAGTCCAGTCAAGTCCGATTCTGGGTGGTGGTGCTCATCTCCATATGTAAGCCAGAGATGGCATTGTCCATAGCCTCCTCCAAGGTCATGTGGCCTGCATGACTGCATGGAGCGCGGTTACCTTCCCACAGAAGCAGTACCTATTGATCTACTCACATTTGTGTGCTTTCGAACTGCTAGGTTGACAGAAGCTGGGGCTAGCAATGGGAGTTCACCCCGTCCTGCGGATTCGAACTGCCAACCTTCTGGTCAGCAAGTTCTGCAGCTCAGAGGTTTAACCCACTGCACCACCGCAGCCCCTTTTCAATGTCAAGATAAATAGACCAAAACTTGGATGTGACATAATATAGTGTTATTAAATGTCTTGCCCTTCACAACATTTCTCCTTTCCGTGATGATTACTTACACTTGTGCTAAAACCTATTAAACTACTAACAATGACTTGAGTAAGTTTTCCCATTCCTGAATATAGACTGTGGAAAATAACAATTAAACAACATTTTGGAGAGAAAAAGCAGAAGCAGGATCCCTTTTGCATGTGACCGGGATGATATTTACTTTGGTGTTCCTGTTCTGAAAGGGGGAGGCGGCGAAGACGTCGTCGTGGTCCTCCTTGGGCATCTGTTCGAGGAACATCCGCATCTGCTGCTTGCGCTTGAGGGTCCCCACTTTGGCCGCCACCGTCACGGGATGCTTGGCCCGCTCCTCCTCCTCTTCCACCACCTCTTCTGCCAAGAAGCAGGACACACAAGGAGAGCCCTCAGCAGAAACAAGGAGCCATTGGGGAAGGGGCAAGGGAGAGGCCCATCAGCCTCTGGTCACCCAAGGAGATCCCCCTTGCCCCCCCAAACACACACATATGGGGTCTTGCTGGGGAGAGTGCCACATGAACCACACAACACAAGTCTGTAGGGTTTGGAAACCATTTTAAAGAGCCTTTGGGAAGTGGCTGCCCACAGAGCTCTGTGTGACCCTGAACCTGAATCTGTAACTGTATTGCTTAATGTTGATAATATTGATGTAAACTTGTTTTCTGCTTCCCTGGAGACTAGGACGCGGAACAATGGCTTCAAACTACAAGAAAGGAGATTCCATCTGAACATGAGGAAGAACTTCCTGACTGTGAGAGCCGTTCAGCAGTGGAACTCTCTGCCCCGGAGTGTGGTGGAGGCTCCTTCTTTGGAAGCTTTTAAACAGAGGCTGGATGGCCATCTGTCAGGGGTGATTTGAATGCAATATTCCTGCTTCTTGGCAGAATGGGGTTGGACTGGATGGCCCAGGAGGTCTCTTCCAACTCTTTGATTCTAGGATTCTATGAAATGCTGAAGGGCCTAGTTTGGATAGTGAGGCTGAAGTGATCAATGAGGACGAGGTTCAAGATGGAGACACTTTGGGAAGTAAAAATCCTACAGGCTTTTATTTAGAGGCTTCAAGGGAAAAGCCAAGTTCTCATGAGAAAGACAATTCACTCCCTTCTTGTCAGGTTTTACAACGTATTGTAATGTAATGTAGCTGAGTCATGCACTGCTAATAGGCTTCTATTGGAAATGCTGAGTCATGCATTAACTGTAAATAGGGAATCATTTGGGGAATGTGTTCTGGCCTAGTCCAGGGGATTGTGAATGATGCAATCCTGGGTCTGAGTTAAGTTAATGAGTTGGGAACCAATCAGAGCTTGCTATGTGTAGTTGTATGGAATTGTATATAAGGAAGTCATGTATAGTGTATTCTCTCTCCTTGTGCTGTGATGCTGTTCGTTGAAGGCTCTATGTAATTGATTAAAAGAACCTGTCTGCTAAGACAAGATATAACTGTATGCTGTGGTAAGTTTGTAATATCATCTAGACTGGGGGAAAGAAATGGTAAAACTGACAATGGCCGGGCATGTGCTCAAGTGTCTGTAAAAGAGTTCCAGAGTGACTGCAGGCTGTGGGAGCAGTTGACTGAAAATACTGTGCAGGAAGAAGCTACTGGAAAGCGCTGAAGTTGTGCAACTGATCTGCTGCTGAACTGTGAAGTTAATCTCAACACTTCTCCTTCTGGCTCGGGCTTGGAAGATAACTTGACACCTGGTCAGGTCAATTATAACAGCCGCAGTTTAGAGATAAGCCAGAACCGCAGGGAGACTCGATGTTTACGTAGGTCCGAGAGAATTCGACAACTGTAACCAAATATTAGAGTTAGCCGGAATCAGTTTCTGGGATTTAAGAGTGGCCGTGAGGGGAATTTCCTCAGACCAAGCATTGTTTAGTTTCAAGTACAAAGCTCCAAGGTTTTCCAGTTTCCAGCGGCCTGGTCTCCAAGGGAATTTCTAGCTTCAGGTGAGATTTACCAGGGGATAATGTATTGTCGAAGGCTTTCATGGCCGGAATCACTGGGTTGTTGTAGGTTTTTCTGGGCTATATGCCATGTTCTGGAGGCAATTTTTCTCCTGACGTTTCGCCTGCATCTATGGCAAGCATCCTCAGAGGTAGTGAGGTCTGTTGGAAGTAGGAAAAATGGGTTTATATATCTGTGGAATGACCAGGGTGAGACAAAGGACTTTTGTCTGCTGGGGCTAGCTGTGAATGTTTCAGCTGATCACCTTGATTTGCATTCAATGGCTTGGAAGAGCCTGGGGGGAATCTTTTGTTGAGAGTGATTTTATGTGCCTGTTTGTTTCCCCTCTGTTGTTTTGCTGTTGTAATTTTTGAGTTTTTGAGAAAAAGTCCTTTGTCTCACCCTGGTCATTCCACAGATATATAAACCCATTTGTCCTACTTCCAACAGACCTCACTACCTCTGAGGATGCTTGCCATAGATGCAGGCGAAACGTCAGGAGAAAAATTGCCTCCAGAACATGGCCATATAGCCCGGAAAAACCTACAACAACCCAGGGGATAATGTGTTCATGGATTTCTATTGAGAGAATTCTGGATATTATTGCTTTAGATTTTCTGCAAGCTTTCTGGACATTGCTGTTTGCTGTTACATTTTGACTTCTTTACCTTTGGACTTTTATCTTTTTTATATTCATCATTCAATAAAAGGGGATTGTATTTTTCCTAAACCAAGGTGTGGTGTATTAGTGACAAGAGGGCCCTGTTTCCTAAGCTGGAGTGCAACAGGAGCCTCCCGTGGAAGATAGTGGGTGCAGGGTCACAGGACGGTACCTCTGTCTTCCTTTCTTCTCCTCGGCTTGGTGGTTTTCTTTGGGGCCCGCGCCTGGCCCTCCTGCTCCGCCAGGTTCCTCTGCTGGCATTCCTCTGCCGTGCGCGAGCCCACTCTCCGCGCCACCTCCAGCCAGAAGCCGCTCTTGTGCTTTGGAAGGGAAGCTATGGCCCTGCAAGGCAGGAAGGAGAGACATCAAGCGTAAGCACACCCACACACACTGACTCAGGTATGACCAAATGAAGAGGAGCAACTTGGATCCTGAAGATCAGGTTGGGAGGAGGAGAGGGCACTGCTAGCAGAGCTGGAAAAGCTTGAAATTTTGTAAGTGTGGCAAAATGTATACCAGTGGTCCTCAAGCTTCCTATTCTGCTTTGGTTAGACCACATCTGGAATGTTGTGTCCAATTCTGGGCACCACAATTCAAGAGAGATATTGACAAGCTGGAATGTGTCCAGAGGAGGGTGACTCAAATGATCAAGGGTCTGGAGAACAAGCCCTATGAGGAGCCGCTTAGGGAACTGGGCATGTTTAGCCTGAAGAAGAGAAGGCTGAGAGGAGATATGATAGCCATGTATAAATATGTGAGAGGAAGCCACAGGGAGGAGGAGGGAGCAAGCCTGTTTTCTGCTTCCTTGGAGACTAGGACGCAATGGAGCAATGGCTTCAAACTACAAGAGAGGAGATTCCATCTGAACATGAGGAAGAACTTCCTGACTGTGAGAGCCGTTCAGCAGTGGAACTCTCTGCCCCGGAGTGTGGTGGAGGCTCCTTCTTTGGAAGCTTTTAAGCAGAGGCTGGATGGCCATCTGTGAGGGGTGATTTGAATGCAATATTCCTTCTTCTTGGCAGAATGGGGTTGGACTGGATGGCCCATGAGGTCTCTTCCAACTCTTTGATTCTATGATTCTATGATTCTAATGCCGTGACCCCTTAATACAATCCCTCATGTGGTGGTGACCCCCAACCATAATATTGTTTTCGTTGCTAGTTCATAACAGTCATTTTACTATTGTTATAAATCATAATGTAAATATCTGTAAATATCATTGGACCAAACTGGGCACAAATACCCAATACACCCAAATGTGAATGCTAGTGGACTTTGGGGAGGATTTATTTTGTAATTTGGGAGGTGTAATTGCTGGGATTTATAGTTCACTTATAATCAAAGAGCATTCTGAACTCCACCAGCGATGGATTTGAACCAAACTTGGCTCCCATGACCAATGGAAAACACTGGAAGGGTTTGATGGGCATTGACCTTGAGTTTGGGAGTTGTAGTTCACCTATATCCAGAGAGCACTGTGGACTCATGCAATGGTGGATCTGGACCAAACTTGGCACAAATACTCAATATGCCCAAATGTGAACACTGGTGGAGTCTGGGGAAAACAGATCTTGACATTTGGGAGTTAAAGTTGCTGGGATTTATAGTTCACTACATTCAAAGAACATTCTGAATTCCACCAACGATAGAATCGGCTCAAACTTCCCACATGGAATCCCCATGACCATCAGAAAATACTGTGTTTTCTTATGGTCTTTGGCGACCCCTCTGACACCCCCTCGTGACCCCCTCAGGGGTCCCAACCCCCAGGTTGAGAAACACTGCTGTATACGAATGAAGTTTTGTAAAAGTTAGGGAAGAGGAAGCTAAGGAGTGAGGAAGGCAGTGTTTGCCAAGCACAGTGTGAAAAGAAGTGTGTGAAAAGTTCAGAGAGTTTGCAATCAATATGGCAGTTAATTGAGTGTGGAAATTGCCTAGGTAAAAATCCAAGCTGGAAGTAATGAAGAGTTAAACCTTTGGAATGTTATGAAGCATTGATTCTATGATTCTATGCGTAGAACAGACAAAGAAGAAGTTGCAATAGACAATGAGGCTGAACACTGAATTAATGAGCTGATAATAGTTTGGTATAAATATAGTAGACTCCATTGTTCTGCCCCTTTTTGCACTGTGAACAAGAAGCATGTAAATACAGAATGGGGGATGCCTGGCTCGAGAGCAGTACGTGTGAAAAAGATCTTGGAGTCCTCGTGGACAACAAGATAAACATGAGCCAGGAATGTGATGTGGCGGCAAAAAAAGCCAATGGGATTTTGGCCTGCATCAAGAGGAGCCTAGTGTCTAGGTCCAGGGAAGTCATGCTCCCCATGCTCTATTCCGCCTTGGTTAGACCACACCTGGAATATTGTGTCCAATTCTGGGCACCACAATTCAAGAGAGATATTGACAAGCTGGAATGTGTCCAGAGGAGGGCGACTAAAGTGATCAAGGGTCTGGAGAACAAGCCCTATGAGGAGCGGCTTAGGGAACTGGGCATGTTTAGCCTGAAGAAGAGAAGGCTGAGAGGAGATATGATAGCCATGTATAAATATGTGAGAGGAAGACACAGGGAGGAGGAGGGAGCAAGCTTGTTTTCTGCTTCCTTGGAGACTAGGACGCGGAACAATGGCTTCAAACTACAAGAGAGGAGATTCCATCTGAACATGAGGAAGAACTTCCTGACTGTGAGAGCCGTTCAGCAGTGGAACTCTCTGCCCCGGAGTGTGGTGGAGGCTCCTTCTTTGGAAGCTTTTAAGCAGAGGCTAGATGGCCATCTGTCAGGGGTGATTTGAATGCAATATTCCTGCTTCTTGGCAGGGGGTTGGACTGGATGGCCCATGAGGTCTCTTCCAACTCTAGGATTCTATGATTCTATGAAATCTCAATCACACCTTCCCACTTTTGCATAGGGCTGATATTAGTTTAAAAAAAAGATTTTGCCAAGAGTTTGTTTTAATGCATTTTTATATCTTTTTAATGTTTACTGTTAAAAAATATTATTGTTAAAGTCTTGGATTGGCTTTAAAAACTCATACTGTTAATGTCTTTTTATTGTCTTAATACGCTGTTGGCCACTTGAGTCTCAGCATTGAGAGAAATGAACATACAGGCTGTTTCAAAATGATGGACCCCACTTTCAAAGAAGTATATGTCACAATGGTAACAACGGCACAGTAGTTTTATGAATTATCAAGTTAAGACTAATCATCTTGAGCCAGAAGCACATCTCAAAAATAACCCCAAAAACAGGATATCTTGTCGAAGGCTTTCGTGGCCGGAATCACTGGGTTGTTGTAGGTTTTCCAGGCTATATGGTCATGTTCTAGAGGCATTTTCTCCTGAAGTTTTGCCTGCATCTATGGTAAGCATCCTCAGAGGTAGTGAGGTCTGTTGGAAGTAGGAAAATGGGTTTATACATCTGTGGAAAGTAGGGCTGGGCAACCACGGAAAAATTTGTTTCTAAACTCTATTCGTTTTTAGGGGTTTTTTGCGTTTCGTTTTTTAAAAGAATTCTGAAATTTTTCTTTAAAAAAGTTCGATATTTACGAAATTTTGGAAACTACAAAACGATTTCAAAACAATAACGAATCGATTCGTTAATGGCAGACGCGATTGCGCAATACGCTAAAAAAACCCTCCAAATGGGACAGGGGGGACTTCTGAAGCTTCCCCCTCCCTCTGTTGTTGACTGTTGGTGTGATAATTTATTTTTTTATCACTGATAAAACAAACAACAACCATAAAACTTGCACCAGACATACGGAAATAATAACGAAACAATTTCGAAACAATTACGAAATAAATTTTAAAAATTTGTTTCGATTTTTAGTTGCTCCTGAATGGTTCAATATCGCTTCGTTATCAAAAAAAATAACGAATTAATAACGAATTACGAAATTAACGAACGAAACCGCCCAGCCCTAGTGGAAAGACAAGGGAGAGATAAAGGACTTTTGTCTGCTGGAGCTAGGTGTGAATGTTTCAACTGACCACCTTGATTAGCATCAACAGAAAGGAAGAAACCATGAAAATGAACAAAATCTGGCTACCAGTATAAAAACTCAAAAATTACAACAGCAAAACAACAGAGTAAACAATCAGGCACATCAAATCACCTCTCAAAGAAAGATTCCCCCAGGCACTTCCAAGCCATTAAATGCTAATCAAGGTGGTCAGTTGAAACATTCACACCTAGCTCCAGCAGACAAAAGTCCTTTGTCCCACCCTGGTCTTTCCACAGATATATAAACCCTTTTTCCTAGTTCTAAGAGATCTCACTACCTCTGAGGATGCTTGCCATAGATGCAGGTGAAACGTCAGGAGAAAATGCCTCTAGAACATGGCCATATAGCCCGGAAAACCTACAACAACCCAGAGAATATCTTCTGAATATATTTGAGCAATAATAATTTGGAAATTTATGCCACCTCTGGGCCAACTTCGGCCCTCCCTCCCGCTGTGTTTTGGACTTCAACTCTCACATTTCCTCACAGCCGTTTGGAGAGTTGAAGTCCAAACCCTTGGAGGAGGGTCAAAATGGACCCATGCCTACTCCGTGCCTTTCAAGTGGCAAGAGTTTTGTCCACTGGTAGTTTGTGATTGGAGACAGAAGGATTTCAAACTTTGGAAAAACCCAATTTATGCACACCCCGCAAAACAGCCTCACTTGCCTGTGCAGTTTCCGCACTTCCTTCTCACTCCACTCTTCGTTCGTCTCCAAGCGGGGATCCCGGACGGCCTGCCGTGTCCTTTTGCCGGCTGTACTTCTGCCTGGAGCCGGGGACCCTTCCCTTCTACTGGCCGCCCCTTTCTTCCATCCTTCTTTGAACTGGCACTCCCCGACACTCGCTTCTGACTCCGACTCCGACTCAGATCCCAGGCCATTGTTTGTGGAGGTCTTTTGGGCCCCCTTTTGAGACCCGTTCCTTATGTTCCATCCCTTGTGCGGCGTATCCAGAGAAGCGGCCATTCCAGGCGGCTCCTCCTGACTGTCGCACGGCACCGTCACCCTTCTGCTCTGGAGGGCTGCAGGACCCACTTCCCGAGGCCGAGATCTCAAAGCGTCCCTTTTGAAAGCCGGCTGGGTTTTCCTCTTGATGAATGGGCCGTAGTCCTCGTCAGAGTCGTCTTGGCTGCTGACAGGGAGTCTCTCCACACTTGGGTCTCGGCAGAGGACTGTTTTTGGGCGTTTGGAGGCGGAGGGCTTCCCTTCGGTGGCCCTGCTGGTTCTGCCACCACCGCCCTGGGACTCCCTGTCTGGCCGCGGCGTGTTCCGCTCCCTCCTGGCCAGGAGCTTCGGGTTCAGAGGTGTCAAGGGAACCACAGCCTTCCTTTTGCGGACCTCGATCAGGGCCCTCTCGGAGTCACTTTCTTCAGAATCGGAAACGAAATTGTGCTGCTCTCTGTGCCCAGGATCTTTGGTGTCCTGATCAGCTCTTGTACTTGTTCTTTCTTGGAATGAGAAGAAGACAGAGACTCTTTATACACCAGTAAGATCACAGGCTTAGTCCAGACTCTTAGACTATGAATAGTATTAGTATTATTATTATTATTATTATTATTATTATTATTATTATTATTATCTTCTGCCTATATCATCAGTTGGGAGGCTCCTTCCCACTCTGGCACCAACGGCTGCTCTGGCCAGAGTGAAGACAGAGAGGAGCAGAAGATAGTTCCATCTTGTCTTTACTAATAATATAATATAGTATATTATATTATTAGTAAAGACAAAATGGAACTATCTTCTGCTCCGTAGCCATGGTATTCCCTGTAGTAGCCTACGGAGGTGAGAGCTGGACCTTAGGGAAGGCTGAGCGAAGGAAGAGAGATGCTTTTGAGCTGTGGTGTTGGAGGAAAGTTCTGAGAGTGCCGTGGACTGCGAGAAGATCCAACCAGTCCATCCTCCAGGAAATAAAGCCCGGCTGCTCACTGGAGGGAAGGAGACTAGAGACAAAGTTGAAGTCTTTGGCCACATCATGAGGAGACAGCAAAGCCTAGAGAAGGGAATGATGCTGGGGAAAGTGGAAGGCAAAAGGAAGAGGGGCCGACCAAGGGCAAGATGGATGGATGGCATCCTTGAAGTGACTGGACTGACCTTGAAGGAGCTGGGGGTGGTGACGGCCGACAGGGAGCTCTGGCGTGGGCTGGTCCATGAGGTCACGAAGAGTCGGAGACGACTGAACGAATGAACAACAACAAAATAATTATATTGTATATACATATAATATTTATAATATTATAATGTAATACAATATAATACTAGTAATAATAATAATACAATATTATAATTATACATTTACATTACATGTAATATTACTAATAATATTACAATATAATGGTATTGTGCAATATCTATATATATAAATTTGTTAGGGGCATCCAACGAGGAAACAAAACTCAAAAACCCCCCAACGAAACTTAACCAAAATTCCCATGCCCATAACACAACCCACAAGGTACAAACATATCTACTCAAAATGAAAAACAACACAACAACACACTCACAAAACGGCAAAACAACAAAACTCAAAAATCCCCCAACGAAACTTAACCAAAATCCCTGTGCCCATAACACAACCCACAAGGTACAAACATATCTACTCAAAATGAAAAACAACACAACAACCCACTCACAAAACGGCAAAACAACAAAACTCAAAAATCCCCCAACGAAACTTAACCAAAATTCCCATGCCCATAACACAACCCACAAGGTACAAACATATCTACTCAAAATGAAAAACAACACAACAACACACTCACAAAACGGCAAAACAACAAAACTCAAAAATCCCCGAATGAAACTTAACCAAAATCCCTGTGCCCATAACACAACCCACAAGGTACAAACATATCCTACTCAAAATGAAAAACAACACAACAACACACTCAAAAAACGGCAAAACAACAAAACTCAAAAATCCCCCAACGAAACTTAACTAAAATCCCATGCCCATAACACAACCCACAAGGTACAAACATATCTACTCAAAATGAAAAACAACACAACAACACACTCACAAAACGGCAAAACAACAAAACTCAAAACCCCCAACGAAACTTAACCAAAATTCCCATGCCCATAACACAACCCACAAGGTACAAACATATCTACTCAAATGAAAAACAACACAACACACTCACAAAACGGCAAAACAACTGAGCATGCGCATTGGCGCCCAGCCGCAAGTTCCATCGCGCGCACATGGCCTTCCGGCCAACGTTCCCTCTGCGGAAACCATGCCCACTCCAAGCCCCGCCGCGCCGCTTCCCACACACACACACACCCTGCCGCACACACACACGCAACCCCACGCTCCATCACTCCCCCCGCCGCCGCACACACACACGCAACCCCACTCCCCCCGCCGCCACACACACACGCAACCCCACTCCCCCCGCCGCCGCACACACACACGCAACCCCACGCTCCATCACTCCCCCCGCCGCCGCACACACGCAACCCCACGCTCCATCACTCCCCCCGGCCCAATTTTACCTCCTTTTACTTCAGGCCACCTCCTTGTTTTGCCGTTTTGTGAGTGTGTTGTGTTGTTTTTCATTTTGAGTAGATATGTTTGTACCTTGTGGGTTGTGTTATGGGCATGGGAATTTTGGTTAAGTTTCGTTGGGGGTTTTTGAGTTTTGTTGTTTTGCCGTTTTGTGAGTGTGTTGTTGTGTTGTTTTTCATTTTGAGTAGATATGTTTGTACCTTGTGGGTTGTGTTATGGGCACAGGGATTTGGTTAAGTTTCGTTGGGGGATTTTTGAGTTTTCTTGTTTTGCCGTTTTGTGAGTGTGTTGTTGTGTTGTTTTTCATTTTGAGTAGATATGTTTGTACCTTGTGGGTTGTGTTATGGGCACGGGAATTTTGGTTAAGTTTCGTTGGGGGATTTTTGAGTTTTGTTGTTTTGCCGTTTTGTGAGTGTGTTGTTGTGTTGTTTTTCATTTTGAGTAGATATGTTTGTACCTTGTGGGTTGTGTTATGGGCACGGGGATTTTAATTAAGTTTCGTTGGGGGATTTTTGAGTTTTGTTGTTTTGCCGTTTTGTGAGTGTGTTGTTGTGTTGTTTTTCATTTTGAGTAGATATGTTTGTACCTTGTGGGTTGTGTTATGGGCATGGGAATTTTGGTTAAGTTTCGTTGGGGGATTTTTGAGTTTTGTTGTTTTGCCGTTTTGTGAGTGTGTTGTTGTGTTGTTTTTCATTTTGAGTAGATATGTTTGTACCTTGTGGGTTGTGTTATGGGCATGGGAATTTTGGTTAAGTTTCGTTGGGGGATTTTTAGTTTTGTTGTTTTGCCGTTTTGTGAGTGTGTTGTTGTGTTGTTTTTCATTTTGAGTAGATATGTTTGTACCTTGTGGGTTGTGTTATGGGCACAGGATTTGGTTAAGTTTCGTTGGGGGATTTTTGAGTTTTGTTGTTTTGCCGTTTTGTGAGTGAGTTGTTGTGTTGTTTTTCATTTTGAGTAGATATGTTTGTACCTTGTGGGTTGTGTTATGGGCACAGGGATTTTGGTTAAGTTTCGTTGGGGGATTTTTGAGTTTTGTTGTTTTGCCGTTTTGTGAGTGTGTTGTTGTGTTGTTTTTCATTTTGAGTAGATATGTTTGTACCTTGTGGGTTGTGTTATGGGCACGGGGATTTTGGTTAAGTTTCGTTGGGGGATTTTTGAGTTTTGTTGTTTTGCCGTTTTTTGAGTGTGTTGTTGTGTTGTTTTTCATTTTGAGTAGATATGTTTGTACCTTGTGGGTTGTGTTATGGGCACGGGGATTTTGGTTAAGTTTCGTTGGGGGATTTTTGAGTTTTGTTGTTTTGCCGTTTTGTGAGTGTGTTGTTGTGTTGTTTTTCATTTTGAGTAGATATGTTTGTACCTTGTGGGTTGTGTTATGGGCATGGGAATTTTGGTTAAGTTTCGTTGGGGGGTTTTGAGTTTTGTTTCCTCGTTGGATGCCCCTAACAAATTTATATATATATATATATATATATATATATATATATATATATATAATTATATATTTACATTACATGTAATATTAATATTACAATATAATAGTATAGTGCAATATAGTAATATATAATACTGATATTGTACTATGCTAATAATATAATATATTGTATGAAAATATATTTTGCAAGCCGCTCTGTGTCCCCTTCGGGGTGAGAAGGGCAGCATATAAATGCCATAAATAAATAAATACTACAACAGCAGATTCTCGGTGAACCCATGCTCCCCATGGGGATTGGTAGGTGCCGGATACATGTAGTTTCTGCTTGCTTGAGAGTTACTATTAAGTAATAATAATAATAATAATAATAATAATAATAATAAACCTTTATTTGTACCCCGCTATGACTCGGTGCAGCTTACAAGAGGCCGAGCCCAAATACAACAATAAAAACAGCAGCAACTATTAAATATAGGTCTAACTCACATTATACCACATACTATACCAAACCTTATACTCTGTATTGATATCATATTGAACTGCAATCATTACAGTTAAATAATGTTGCATTCCAGGCCAGGAAATACCTCTGAACATAACCACCACGCTCCAGTCCAAGTTAAATAAGCAAAGATGTTTATTGAAGGTTATATAAAAAGGCGTCCGGCAAGGCTGCATCCTCTCACCCAACCTTTTTAACTTGTATGCAGAACACATCATGCGAGGATGTGCGGGGCTTGAGGAATGCAAAGCTGGGGTGAAAATTGCTGGAAGAAACATTAACAACCTCAGATATGCAGATGACACCACTCTGATGGCCGACAGCGAGGAGGAGCTGAGGAGCCTTCTAATCAAGGTGAAAGAAGAAAGCGCAAAAGCCGGGTTGCAGCTAAACGTCAAAAAAACCAAGATTATGGCAACAAGAATGATTGACAACTGGAAAATAGAGGGAGAAAATGTGGAGGCCGTGACAGACTTTGTATTTCTAGGCGCAAAGATGACTGCAGATGCAGACTGTGGCCAGGAAATCAGAAGACGCTTCCTTCTTGGGAGGAGAGCAATGTCCAGTCTCGATAAAATAGTAAAGAGTAGAGACATCAGACTGGCAACAAAGATCCATTGCCTAGTCAAAGCCATGGTATTCCCTGTAGTCACCTACGGATGTGAGAGCTGGACCTTAGGGAAGGATGAGCGAAGGAAGAGAGATGCTTTTGAGCTGTGGTGTTGGAGGAAAGTGCTGAGAGTGCCTTGGACTGCGAGAAGATCCAACCAGTCCATCCTCCAGGAAATAAAGCCCGACTGCTCATTGGAGGGAAGGAGACTAGAGACAAAGTGGAAGTCCTTTGGCCACATCATGAGGAGACAGCAAAGCCTAGAGAAGACAATTATGCTGGGGAAAGTGGAAGGCAAAAGGAAGAGGGGCCGACCAAGGGCAAGATGGATGGATGGCATCCTTGAAGTGACTGGACTGACCTTGAAGGAGCTGGGGGTGGTGACGGCCGACAGGGAGCTCTGGCGTGGGCTGGTCCATGAGGTCACGAAGAGTCGGAGACGACTGAACGAATGAACAACAACAACATACAAAAAGCACTTCAGCAAGAATAGTAAAAACTCCAAAGTCCCTATGATTGATATAGTCCATAAGGTTCATGGTACAAGAATAATCAAGAGCCCCAAAAGCACAGGTAATCCAGCACAGGAGTACAAAGAACAACAAGAGTTCAGAACAGCATATAAGTTAATATAAAAATCCAGGAACTATCCTTCAAACTTGGAAGCATGGAACATGAACAATCATAGAATCATAGAATCAAAGAGTTGGAAGAGACCTCATGGGCCATCCAGTCCAACCCCCTGCCAAGAAGCAGGAATGCATTCAAATCACCCCTGACAGATGGCCATCCACCTCTGTTTAAAAGCTTCCAAAGAAGGAGCCTCCACCACACTCTGGGGCAGAGAGTTCCACTGCTGAACGGCTCTCACAGTCAGGAAGTTCTTCCTAATGTTCAGATGGAATCTCCTCTCTTCTAGTTTGAAGCCATTGTTCCGCGTCCTAGTCTCCAAGGAAGCAGAAAACAAGCTTGCTCCCTCCTCCCTGTGGCTTCCTCTCACATATTTATACATGGCTATCATATCTCCTCTCAGCCTTCTCTTCTTCAGGCTAAACATGCCCAGTTCCCTACGCCGCTCCTCATAGGGCTTGTTCTCCAGACCCTTGATCATTTTAGTCGCTCCTCTGGACACATTCCAGCTTGTCAATATCTCTCTTGAATTGTGGTGCCCAGAATTGGACACAATATTCCGGGTGTGGTCTAACCAAAGCAGAATAGAGGGGTAGCATTACTTCCTTAGATCTAGACACTATGCTCCTATTGATGCAGGCCAAAATCCCATTGGCTTTTTTTGCCACCCCATCACATTCCTGGCTCATGTTTAACTTGTTGTCCACGAGGACTCCAAGATCTTTTTCACACGTACTGCTCTCGAGCCAGGCATTTCCCCCATTCTGTATCTTTGCATTTCATTTTTTCTGCCAAAGTGGAGTATCTTGCATTTGTCACTGTTGAACTTCATTTTGTTAGTTAGAACAAGGCATGGAACTAGAATTCCCTTGAGTAGGACTTGCTAAGAGCTGTTGTCTCAGTTACCAACGTTGACCAGACTGGCTGGGAAACATTCCTGGCCTCTCTAATAAAGACATGAAGTCATGCCTCCTCCCATGAGTTTCTGCTATGGGTTCCTTCTGTAAGAGGTGCTGTGTCCTTCAGAGGTCCTGCTGAGCAGCCGAAAGCTGATGAAAACTAAGTCTTCTATCAACCAGCTCATTATCTTGCAACTCATTATTTACTGCACCTGGGATTTCAGCCTCTGAACTCTTTTCCCTAGAGAACAGCTATTCTGCACCATTTTGGGAGCACAGACTGCTTGTTTTCAGGACTTAAAATCTCATGATGGCTAGGAGGCCCAGAACCCTCATAACCTATGTCCACAATAACATGGGTGTCAGGCACAATATCAGACACAATCATTGGCTGAACTACAACAACTAAAGTCAAGCTTAACTTAATATAACACTGTTTTATTATAAAAAAAACAGCTTTGTGGATTTATTTTAATTTTTATTTAAAGCATTGTTTCTTTGATTTCTTTGTCAACTGCTTGAATTCAAGCTAACCGAGAGTCTATATTATTATTATTATTATTATTATTATTATTATTATTATTATTACTACTATTATTACTATTACTACTTCTATTGGGCTGTGTAATTTCTAAGTGCACTTTTAAATGTATTTTATTATTTTTATGTTCCATAACACAAAATATTTGATTTTTTTTCTAATTGTTTACTCTGTATTTAATGGTATTGTGCTATGTTTGCTGTTAGCCCCCCTTGGGTCCCAATGCAGGGAGAAAGACAGGGGAATAAAGGGAATAAACAATATAAATCAAGGAACATGGAAGGCACTGCAGACTACTTTAACCAGAGAAATCAGCCATAGCAGAGCACCTGATGAACCAACCTGGACACAGCAGATTATTATTTGAGAACACAGAAATGCTGGACCACTCTCACAACTACCAGGTCAGGCTACACAGAGAAGCCATTGAAATACACAAGAAGCATGTGGACAATTTCAACAGAAAGGAAGAAACCATGAAAATGAACAAAATCTGGCTCCCAATATTAAAAAACTTCTAAAATTACAACAGCACAACAACAGAGAGGAAAACAAACAAGGACATCTAATCACCTCTCAACAAAAATTTGCTCCAGGCACTGTCAGGCCATTATATGCTAATCAAGGTGGTAAGTTGAAACATTCACACCTAGCTCCAGCAGACAAGAGTCCTTTGTCCCACCCTGGTCATTCCACAGATATATAAACCCTTTTTCCTAATTCCAACAGACCTCACTACCTCTGAGGATGCTTGCCATAGGTGCAGGCGAAACGTCAGGAGAGAATGCCTCTAGACCATGGCCATATAGCCCGAAAAAACCAACAACCGAAACAATATAAAATAAACATATTTCTTAATATCCCACTTTCCTCTCTTAATTGAGATTCAAAGCGACTCACAACACTAAAAGCAACACTTTTTGTTATTTGTTATCTCGTATAAACATTAAAATAGAATTAAACATAGCCTTGCTAAAACCAATAGTTGAAATCACAGAAAAACAATGTAAAACTTGAAATCATCCATACATTACTCAACACGCCTAATCTGAACTCGCTTCAGAAAGGAGAGCCATTTTCAGTGGGGAGAAAAATGGTGCAGCTGAGCCAAGAACAGGATGTTCAACATCCCTAAGAGTCCATTGGCCTCCTTTTAGTGCTTCGTTTCAGTTGGCTCTTATATCTTCCTGGACACATGTTGCTGCCTTCTTGGCAACTCTTCCGGGGGATGAAATGCAAGGTGGAAATTAATCTGGAATGCTGGCCTCTCCTCCCGAGAACCCCATTTGCTAAACTATCAAACACATACACAAATCGATGCATCTTGATCTTTAGCCAATCCCTTCCTAGCCCTGGATTGGGCCAAGAGAGACAACAACCCCTGACTGTCATGTCTTCTTCCGTGGATAGTTCTCAAATCCACCCACCATTTGACTCTTCAGTTTCAAAGCCTAAAGAAAAAGGTGCGCAAACAATTTTTTTACCTTTGGCTTGACTTGGAGGTCCTTCTTTGCTCGCCTTCATCTCACCCGCTGCACTTTTGTTTTGGGACCGGAAGCTTTCCCTGGACTGCGACCGTGTGCTGCTCGCTGTCTTGGGAAACAAGGCGAGGGACGTAAGCACAAGGAGAGCCAGGCCTGGGAGGCTCTTAACTCTGAAGCCAACCGCCATGAATAAATGATATGGTAAAATGCCATCGCAAAGGCAAACATGGCAGACCTTCATGATTGGGATAGGGGCTGGTGGGAGGAAGGGACCCCTGTGTGTCCACGTACATGGGTGTGGGGTGTAACATTGCACATAACTGAATACGTAATGCCACACCACATATGTAGTTTTCTGTCGCCACTTTAATACCTGGGACGTACTCTGTTCCTGTCCTTTTACAGGTGCCTTTCTTCTGGATTCATTGAGGGGAAAAAGAATTTCCTTTCTAAATCCCTCTACAGCCTTGTACTGCTGCAGTTTCCCTTCTAAATTGGCTGGGGCTTTCTTGTGAGCTGTTAAACCTTTGTGCTTTACATCACATGCTTGAGACACTCCGGTAAGCAATGAAGTAACAAAGTTTATTTATAGCTTCTGGTTCCAATGCTTTATGGTTACATTTGTGTTTTGTTACAGTCTCGAGACTTACATTCAGTATCATTCACTCAGTTAACTTTTCTTATGAAACCCTCACTATCTCACATCAACAAATATCTTACTTTCTTCATATACCCTTGGCTGAACTATTTTCTGACTTAGGCCACGCTGGCGCCTTCTTATTTTTCCTTCAACCTTGAGCTCTATTTTCCTGACTGCTTCTCTCTAACCGAGGTTTTTAACTCTCCCCACTTTTTTTTTAACTGACAAACTCTAATTGCTTCTTTCAAACTTAACTCCAGCCCTTTAGAATGTTCAGTTCTGTAACTGCCATTCTGGCTCAGCGGCCTTTTCAAATCCTGGCATACTCTCATCTGCATACGACCGATCGGCTTCACATATGCAAATTAATTCTGCCTTCGCTGTTGCTACCCTATTTGAGCCAATTCTTCCCTATCAGCCATATTGTAACCTAGAGCTACACACGAAAAATACAACATAGATCATAAAATTGACTACAGTGGGTTTATGTGTTTTGTCCATTTTTCCCAGCCCAAAAGACATACATCTTTTTGAGATCCGGGTTCAGCTTATTCACTGCCGTCCATCCCAAAATTGCTATCCGGCCCCCGTATGGAAGCTCTGCCTATCCTAACCAAGAGCAAACAAACAAGGAGGGGAAGGGGAATTAAATCTTACCGACAAGTAGTTGGTTCCTCCTCTGGCCACCATGACGTTGAGCTCTTGGTCGACCAGGATCCGCTCCCCGCACCAGTACTGCAGGGGGGGCTTCACGCGTCGGCCGCTGCGGGTGACGCTGACGTTGGGGTCGCTCTGGGGAAGGGGCGGCCTTTTCCCTTGGCCTGCCCAGCAAAAGAGCCACAAAAAAATCAGGGGGGCTCTTCCTTCGGGGAACAGCCACAACCTTCCTTTTCTGCCTAATAAGTGTAATAGTGTAATAGTTGCCATGCATGTTTGAGGGTTTTGGAAGGAGTAACTTGCAAACTCCAGATAGTCCTCAAAACTGAAGCTCTGAGGATATTTTCACAGTGACAACAAACATTGCATTTTCTGCAATAATAAATAAATAAATAAAATAATTCTGTTCTATTTTTTTCGAGAAAATAAGCCTCAAACTGTGAACAATCCATCCAGAATTACTCAACCCCAGGGTTTCCCCATGCTTGGAAAACCCATTTTTCATTCGTTTTGGAAATATTTTCAAAGAATCATAGACTCCTAGAGTTGGAAGAGACCTCGTGGGCCATCCAGCCCAACCCCATTCTGCCAAGAAGCAGGAAAATCACCTTCAATGCACCCCTGACAGATGGCCATCTTTTTCAAAGCCTCCAAAGAAGGAGCCCCTCTCCACCACATCCAGGGCAGAGAGTTCCACTGCTGAACAGCTCTCTCTCAGTCAGGACGTTCTTCCTCATGTTTAGGTGGAATCTCCTTCCTTTCCTGTAGTTTAAAGCCATTGATCTGCATCCTAGTCTCCAGGGCAGCAGAAAGGAAGCCTGCTCCCTTCTCACTATGATTTCCCCAATCTCACATCTTGATCCCTGGCCCTCATCATGAAAAGCACAGACAAGCATCCCGAGCTCTGAGGATCACCTGGGAAGGAATCCCACTGGAGCACTGCAGCGCACCCAAATACCTGGGAGTCACTCTGGACCGTGCCTTGACCTACAAGAAGCACTGCCTGAACATCAAGCAAAAAGTGGGTGCCTAGAAACAATATCATACGAAAGCTGACTGGCACAACCTGGGGATCACAACCAGACACAGTGAAGACATCTGCCCTTGTGCTATGCTACTCTGCTGCTGAGTAAGCATGCCCAGTGTGGAACACATCTCACCACACTAAAACAGTGGATGTGGCTCTTAATGAGACATGCCGCATTATCACGGGGTGTCTGCGCCTACACCACTGGAGAAATTACACTGCTTAGCCGGTATTGCACCACCTGACATCCACCGGAAAGTAGCAGCCAATAGTGAAAGGACCAAGGCAGAGACATCTCCAGCTCATCCCCTGTTTGGGTATCAGCCAGCACGTCAACGACTTAAATCAAGAAATAGTTTTCTAAGATCTACAGAGACACTCGCTGGAACACCTCAGCAAGCGAGAGTCCAAAAGTGGCAGGCTCAAACCCAGAACCTCAACCAATGGCTGATACCAAATGAGAGACTCCCCCCTGGGCACACAGAAGACTGGGCGACTTGGAAGGCACTGAACAGACTGCGCTCTGGCACCACGAGATGCAGAGCCAACCTCAAGAAATGGGTCTACAGGGTGGAATCCACGACATGCGAGTGTGGAGAAGAGCAAACCACTGACCACCTGCTGCAATGCAACCTGAGTCCTGCCACATGCACAATGGAGGACCTTCTTGCGGCAACACCAGAGGCACTCCAAGTGGCCAGATACTGGTCAAAGGACATTTAATCAACTACCAAGCTTGCAAACTTTGTGTTTTGTTTGTTAAAAAATGCAATACAACTGTTTGGTTTGCCCCTGACACGACAAATAAATAAATAAATAATGTCTCCTCTCAGCCGACTCTTCTGAAGGTAAACATGCCCAGATCTCTAAGCCTCTCTGTCTTCATAGTGCTTGTTCTCCAGACCCTTGATGCTTTCAGTCATGAAGTCATGCCTCCTCCCATGAGTTTCTGCTATGGGTTCCTTCTGTAAAAGGTGCTGTGTCCTTCGGAAGTTCTGCTGAGCAGCCCAAAGTTGACAAAAACTAAGTCTCCTATCAACCAGCCCGTTCCTCTGGACACATTCCAGCTTAGAGTCAACATCTCCCCTTACAATTGTGGCGCCCAGAATTGGACCCAGTATGATTCCAGGTAAAGTGGCCTGACCAAGGCAGAACAAAATAAAGGGGGAGCATGACTTCCTGGATCTAGGCACTAGACTCCTTTTTGTTAGTATTTTTTTTTCATCTCTATCAATTCCTTGGGAGAAATAACCCAATTAAAGACATGTATTTTAAGACTATTTTAAAAATACAATGCGAGTTTGAATGTAATGCTACCATTGTGCTTATTCTACTTAATAGGAGGAGTAAAATGGTTGCCAGCATCCTTTCAAAGGAAGCATGGACTTACCAGGTGTTTTACTACTGCGCAGGTCTATGACGTCATACGTGATGTTTTCTGCTTTCGCCTTTTTCTCCACATCTTTGGGCAGATGCCCCTGTTCCTCCAAGGCCTCCGTTTCCATAGGATCCTCCCGGTCATTGCTATCGTCGCTTGAATGGAAGGTTCTCTTCTCTTTCCTGGTAGTTGAGATGGTTTGGAGGAAAGGAATAACACACTGAGGCACTTGAAGCCGATCTATAAAATGTGCAGAGACTGGCAACAGCAATAGCTCCACAACCACAGCCTTCTGAGTCCAGTGTTTCTGGCACTGTTTGCCCTCAAGGGCCCCCTTGGAGGCTTTAAAGCAGCAAGAAACAATGCCCAGAAAGCAACGCAAGGAGGGAGAACCTTCAGATGCTCCAGCGCTCTTTCCCTGTGGAACCTACTGCTACTGCACCTGGATTGTGGCGCAGCTGGCTGAGTGTCAGCTGCATTAAGATCACTTCTGACCACAAGGTCATGAGGTCGAAGCCAGCCCGGGTCGGAGTGAGCTTCCGACCAATTGTGTAGCTTGTTGTCGACCTTTGCAACCCGAAAGACAGTTGCATCTGTCAAATAGGGAAATTAGGTACTACCTATGTGTGGGAGGCTAATTTAACTAATTTACGAGGCCATAAAAAAGACTCCAGAAAAGCATGTGGGGAATGCAGAAGTACTTCATCAGTGTCGCAGATGGATGATGAAAGCGGCAGCTCCCTTGGCGGCCAGAAAAGTTAAATAGCCTCTGACTGTCTATCTATATCTGTTGTGTGTCTTTGGCATTGAATGTTTGCCATATATGTGTACATTGTAATCCGCCCTGAGTCCCCTGTGGGGTGAGAAGAAGGGCAGGATATCAATACTGTAAATAAATAAATACCCAGGAAACTCACTTCAACATACAGAATATAACCCAGGCATGGGCAGACTTTGGCCCTCCCTCCAGACTTTGGACGTCAATTCCCACAATTCCTCCCACAAGTCCCAAACACCTGGAGAGAACGCTGAAGTTGACCCATGCCTGGTATAAAGGCAACTGGTTTGATAGCAGGTACACTGTTCCTGATCAAATGTTAGGCTAATAAAAGCCCAAGATGCTGACAAGTGCTTGCATTGGTTATTTAGCTATGTAATCATCATCATCAGACAGAGAATTTCATCTATGCTGATGATCGTGCCATCACCGCTCAAGCAGGGAGCTTTGAGATGGTTGAACAGAAGCTCTCTGAAGCTTTAGGTGCTCTTACTGCCTATTACAGAAAGAAAACAGCCGATTCCTAATCCATCTAAAACACAGACATGTGCTTTCCATCTTATGAACAGACAAGCATCTCAAGCCCTGAGGATGACCTGGGAAGGAATCCCACTGGAGCATTGCAGCACACCAAATACCTGGGAGTCACTCTGGACCATGCCCTGACTTATTTATTTACGACATTTATATGCCACCTTCTCACCCCAAAGGGGACTCAGAGCGGCTTACAAGGTATTTAGACATACAATATATTATATTATGATCATAGTGCAATATCAGTATTAAATATTACTATATTGTACTATACCATTATATTGTATATATTTGGTGTGTGTGTGTGTGTTTATGGATAGATAGATAGTTTTACAATTTCTGATGATTGAAACGTACTTAAAACTTGTGTTTTATTTAAAACGTTGTGTAAAATTACCTTCAGGCTATGTGTATATGAAATGTAAACAAACCTGTGTTTTGACTTGGGTCCTGGCATCTGTAAACTTTGTATCTATGTAAATGAAGGCATTCCAAAATCATCCCCCACCCCCCAAAATTGCCATAAATTCTAAATAAATTCTGGTCCTAAGCATTTTAATAAATTCTCATGGGGAAAAGAATGACTGATGCATCTACACTAGGCATGGGAAAACCTGGGCCCTCCTGGAGTTTTGGACTCCAACTCCCACAGGAATTGTGGGAGCTGAAGTCCAAGACACTTGGAGGGAGGGCCAAAGTTTGCCCATGCCTGACCTAAAGGCACTCAGTCTGAAGCTGAACAGGGGGAGCAAGAGGGTCAATCACAGCATCAGGCTTTACCCAGCTTCTCCTTCACAAGGAGGAAGGAAAGCTTCCAAATTGTAATTAGCTACTGACAACAACAGCTAGTTGCTTGAGATTTTGCATCATCTCCCTCCTGGCAATTCCAGAAGGCCCACGGACTATCTCAGCCGCACTTACCTCCTCAAGTAGAGAAGCAGTTCTTCAACAAACTCTTTCCATTTTTTTGGAATTCCAAAACTAAACCTCTTGATGAACGTCGATGGTATTCCTGTTTGAAACACAGGTCCTCCATTAAGTTTTGGACAAATATTACGTTCCTGAGAGAGTTATTTCATATATGTGTTTTTTAAAATAATTTGTGGAGAGGATAACAACAGGGAGGACATTATTTTTCTGCTTGAACTGGCCAGCATTAAATTTCCGCTCCATCTGAAACGTTCAAGGTAGGAATGAGGGAACGGTGCCCCCCTGAAGATACCTTTGAAAATCAGGCTCATATTCAGGCCTTAAATGCAAGGAAAAGTCCTGAAACACAGCCATTTAATTTTCCCATCCTTGTGTGTGCATGCGCAACATCAGAGGATACTATACTTATTTAAATGCACTCCTTTTAAAGAACTTTTATTACTTCTAATCGTATGTTCTAAATTGTTCTCAGGATTTGCATTAGTTTTATTTGTTTTAAGGTGGATCTATCATATGTTTCAACCATAGAATCATAGAATCAAAGAGTTGGAAGAGACCTCCTGGACCACCCAGTCCAACCCCATTCTGCCAAGAAGCAGGAATATTGCATTCAAATCACCCCTGACAGATGGCCATCCAGCCTGTTTAAAAGCTTCCAAAGAAGGAGCCTCCACCACTCCGGGGCAGAGAGTTCCACTGCTGAACGGCTCTCACAGTCAGGAAGTTCTTCCTCATGTTCAGATGGAATCTCCTCTCTTGTAGTTTGAAGCCATTGTTCCATTGTGTCCTAGTCTTCAGGGAAGCAGAAAGGAAGCTTGCTCCCTCCTCCCTGTGGCTTCCTCTCACATATTTATACATGGCTATCATATCTCCTCTCAGCCTTCTCTTCTTCAGGCTAAACATGCCCAGCTCCTTAAGCCGCTCCTCATAGGGCTTGTTCTCCAGACCCTTGATCATTTTAGTCGCCCTCCTCTGGACACATTCCAGCTTGTCAATATCTCTCTTGAATTGTGGTGCCCAGAATTGGACACAATATTCCAGGTGTGGTCTAACCAAAGCAGAATAGAGGGGGAGCATGACTTCCCTAGATCTAGACACTATGCTCCTATTGATGCAGGCCAAAATCCCATTGGCTTTTTTTGCCGCCACATCACATTGTTGGCTCATGTTTAACTTATTGTCCACGAGGACTCCAAGGTCTTTTTCACATGTACTGCTCTCGAGTGGGGCGTCCCCCATTTTGTATCTTTGCATTTCGTTTTTCCTGCCAAAGTGGAGTCTCTTGCATTTGTCCCTGTTGAGCTTCATTTTGTTAGTTTTGGCCCATCATCTCTCTCATCTGTGGAGATCCCTTTGAATCCTGCTCCTGTCCTCTGGAGTCTTGGCTCTCCCTCCCCATTTGGTGTCGTCTGCAAACTTGATGATCCTGCCTTCTAACCATTCATCTAAGTCATTAATAAAGATGTTGAACAGGACCGGGCCCAGGACGGAACCCTGCGGCACTCCGCTTGTCACTTCTTTCCAGGATGAAGAGGAAGCATTGGTGAAGGCCCTCTGGGTTTGCCCATTTAACCAATTCCAGATCCACCTCACCGTAGTTTTGCCTCGCCCACATTGGACTAGTTTCCTTGCCAGAAGGTCATGGGGGACCTTGTCAAAGAAGGCCTTACTGAAAATGCTGTGCTTAGTTTAATTTGTAAGCCACCTTAGAATGCTAGAATCCTTGAGTTGGAAGAGACCTGGTGGGCCATCCAGTCTAACCCCCTTTCAGCCAAGATGCAGGAAAATTGCTTTCAAAGCACTCCCAACAGATGGTCATCCACCATGTCAGACAATAATAATAATAATAATAATAATAACTTTATTTATACCCCGCTCGATCTCCCCCAGGGGGACTCAGTGCGGCTTGCATGAGGCCAAGCCCATCAGTGCAGTATATACATTGTAATACAAAAACATAACAATACCAGAACATATATATATCAAATGCAAAGAAATGTAATAAACGACACAGGCAATATAAAACATGCATTTAAAAACATTCACTGGGCAGGGCCACATTCAAGGCTAAAAATTTTAAAAACTAGGAGGTAGGACAATATAAATAATCAGGATGATGATCCGAGAATGAGGGAGGATTCAATTGCACGAACCATAAATAAAGTGCTTCTAAGGATGTTTAGTGCAAAATTTGGAGTTCTTACATTCAATCACTGAAGGCACATTGGAATAGCCAGGTTTTCAGGTGCCTCCTGAAGATTGCTAGCGTGGGGGCTTGCTTAATATCTCTGGGGAGTGAGTTCCAGAGCTGGGGGGCCACCACAGAGAAGGCCCTCTCTCTCGTCCCCGCAAGACGCACTTGAGATGCAGGTGGGAGAGAGAGAAGAGCCTCTCCGGAAGATCGAAAAGATCGCGTGGGTTCGTCAATGGAGATACGGTCACGCAGGTAGGTGGGTCCCAAACCATTCAGGGCTTTGTAGGTCAAGACCTCCACCTTGAATTGGGCCCAGAAAACAAATGGCCGCCAGTGGAGCTCCTTAAACAGGAGGGTTGCCCGCTCTCTGTCATTACTACACAGAGAAGCCATTAAACTCTACAAGCACGTGGACAATTTCAACATTAAGAAGGAAGGATTTTTTTTTTTTTAAAAAAAATGGCAACCAGTATTTAAAGTAAATAAAGAGCAATACTGAAAAACCAGGGAAATGAATAGCACAGATTATAGGTATACATGTAAATCTCTATATGCTTCAGGTCCACCCTATCTTCAAAACCCTGTCTCCTTCTATGAACCGGTGGAGGCTTTGAGATCTGCTGGGGAAGCCCTTCTCTCAGTCTCACCACCATCACAGGTGTGGTTGGTGGGAACCAGAGACGGTCTTCTCAGTGGTGGCTCCCCAGATCTGGAATGCCCTACCTAGAGAATTAGATTAGTCCCAAATCTCCAAACCTTCTGTTCAAGCCTAAAATCATGGCTACTTACACGGGCCTTTGACCTGGAGTAATGTACTATGTTCATGTGAAGACGTCGACCATAGAATCCTAGAATCCAAGAGTTGGAAGAGACCTCCTGGACCATCCAGTCCAACCCCATTCTTCCAAGAAGCAGGAATATTGCATTCAAATCACCCCTGACAGATGGCCATCCAGCATCTGTTTAAAAGCTTCCAAAGAAAGAGCCTCCACCACACTCCGGGGCAGAGAGTTCCATTGCTGAACGGCTCTCACAGTCAGGATTGTTATTCAGCACTTTAGTTCATGTTGAAGAAACCCCATGGCCCACAAGTACGACTGTGTTTTAGAATTTTTAAAATTTTAAATTTGATTGACTGACGTTGTCCATCCAGTCAAATTGTGCATTGTTTTGATAATATGTATTTCATGTGTGGCACCTTGAGTGCTTTGTGAGCCACCCCGTATCCCTCCCTACAAATATTATTATTATTATTATTATTATTATTATTATTATTATTATTATTATGTTGCATTAGTTATAGTTGCCTTTTCAATATTAAGAAAAAGTGTTTGTATGGTTTTGCTTTCCTGGGGTGGGTGGTTCCATGTATTTTGTCTACAGCATTTTATATATTTCTTGATCTGTGTTTGATTGAATTAAAAACAACTGTTCCTGGTCGTACAAAGAGCTGTTCAACAGAGGAACACCCAGCCTGGGAGTCTGGTGGAAGTAGTTTGCCTGTGCCTGCTCTAGGCCCCTCCAGTGTCCCTCTTACCTTCCTTCTTCATGGTGCTTGCATTCAAATGCCCTTCCAAGACGTAGATGTTCCCAGACAGCGTTTTAACTTGCTTGTAGGCAATTCTTTCCACAATTGCATTGCTGTGCCACTCACTGTCGTGCAGGTCCCTGAAGACAAAGGAGACAAAGCAAGAAGTTCCAGGCTCGCTTTCCTTTGGAGGTGAAGATCAGGGAAATAGCGCATAGCCAAATCAAGCATCGTACATACAAAACAGAGAAAGAAAACGAATGTGGCAGGGCTTTGCTGCTGACATCTCTGCCATGTCAAATGGGGTGTAATAATAATAATAATCTTTATTTATACTCCGCCACCATCTCCCCAACGGGTTTGGCTCTGCCCTGCCTGGCTGCATAGTGCTGCACCCCCTTCCACCCAACAACTCTCAAGCCATGCAAGGGCCTCTGCCCCCTTTTCACACAGCAGCCCCTCCTAGATGGTTGGAAGGTTTTGGATGGACTGCAAGGATAAGGGGAAAGCGCCCTGGGGACTTACTCACACAAGCGTGATGCTAGCCCATGTGCGTTTGGCCCATCATATAGCATGGATTATATATGAGGGGTATTTTTTAAGTAAGGTCCATTGGAACTTAAGTACACAACGAAAGTTTATTTCAAAAAAGTAAATTTATTTTCAGAAAGTACATGCTTCATTCTATTTTTCGACATAGTTGCCAAGTTTGTTCAAACACTTATCATACCTCTGAACCAATTTTAAAATACCCTCTTAATAAAAACTTGCCACCTGCTCCGATAACCAAGAGTTCACTGCCGTCTGTAATCAAAGAAGGGCGACCGGAGCGGTCCTCATCATGGACGTTGTCACGACCATCTTTGAATTGTCATACCCACTTACACACTTTGCTTTCACTTATAACAGTATCACCATACACTTCACAAATCTGCTGATGAATTTCTGCAGCAGGCAGGTTCCTTGCTGACAAAAACCGTATCACTGAGTGAACCTCACATGCAGAGGGTGAGTTGATAGTCTTATACATTTTTAAAGCACAGAACAGAAGCGTACAGGTTAGCTACAGAGCGGAGCACAGTTGTTCCTGAGGCATGCTAGTACACGGCACACACGCTCGTTGCGGTATGCGCGCGAACTACTAGTGTCTACAACAAAACGGACCTTACTTTAAAAAACCCCCTCATATTTGCACCTTTCAAGGAAAAGAGTCTTTCCACAGAACCAAGGGACATTTAAGGCATGCAATCAGTGGTCGATCCCACTCTACCGAGTCACATAAAGCAAAAGCACCTTTGAACCAGAGTCACACAATATCAAGAGAGTCACTTGCCTCCTTTTTCCTTCCAGGCACACAGCAGTGTTGTTGTTGATCACTTTGATTCGCCACTCACTAATATGGATCACCTGCTGTCCCTTGGAGAACAACATTAGATGATTAATTAAGGGCTACGGTTGTTTCTGTCACCACCCGAAACAAAAGCTTGGCTAATACCAGCTCAGAACCTGGACTCGCAAGTGCAAAAGTGAATGCAATGAATACACAACAAAAGCAATAGATCTTGTATTGCTGGGTTCAGCAGCCAAAAATCAGAGCACGATGTATGGCACCTTACAGAATCACCTTACTTAAAACTCCATGAGGAAAATGGGGAGTATTGTCAAAGGCTTTCATGGCCGGAATCACTGGGTTGTTGTAGGTTTTTTCGGGCTGTATGGCCATGGTCTAGAGGCATTCTCTCCTGAAGTTTCGCCTGCATCTATGGCAAGCATCCTCAGAGGTAGTGAGGTCCTCAGAGCCCGAAAAAACCCACAACACCTCAAAATGAGGAGTGTGAGATAGTACAAAACGGGAACATTCCACGAAGACTTCCTCCAGCAGGAGCCAAAAGAGCTGGGCTGTCCTCCTGCCAACAACAGCTTGCCAACTGTGTTGTCTTTCTCACAGACATAATTCTGGATAAGCAAGAGCCCAGAATGCTCATCCTCCTGGCTGCTTAAATAATAATAATAATAATAATAATAATAATAATAATGGGATTTTGGCCTGCATCAAGAGGAGCCTAGTGTCTAGATCCAGGGAAGTCCTGCTCCCCATGCTCTATTCCGCTTTGGTTAGACCACACCTGGAATATTGTGTCCAATTCTGGGCACCACAATTCAAGAGAGATATTGACAAGCTGGAATGTGTCCAGAGGAGGGCGACTAAAATGATCAAGGGTCTGGAGAACAAGCCCTATGAGGAGCGGCTTAAGGAGCTGGGCATGTTTAGCCTGAAGAAGAGAAGACTGAGAGGAGATATGATAGCCATGTATAAATATGTGAGAGGAAGCCACAGGGAGGAGGGAGCAAGCTTCTTTTCTGCTTCCCTGGAGACTAGGACGCAATGGAACAATGGCTTCAAACTACAAGAAAGGAGATTCCATCTGAACATGAGGAAGAACTTCCTGACTGTGAGAGCCGTTCCGCAGTGGAACTCTCTGCCCCGGAGTGTGGTGGAGGCTCCTTCTTTGGAAGCTTTTAAACAGAGGCTGGATGGCCATCTGTCAGGGGTGATTTGAATGCAATATTCCTGCTTCTTGGCAGAATGGGGTTGGACTGGATGGCCCATGAGGTCTCTTCCAACTCTTTGATTCTAGGATTCTATGAATAATAATAATAATAATAACTTTATTTATACCCCGCCACCATCTCCCCAAAGGGACTCGGAGCAGCTTACATGAGGCCAAGCCCAACAACACATCAGTAAAAACAACAAAGCAATAAGCAAATAAAACAATACAATTAATATAACTTACATATAGACAATAAACACGCAGCAATTTTAAAAACCTCTCTCAGAAGATGCACTATCTTAGATGAGGAAAGAGTCAAGAACTACAACTAAAGACCGAGCTATGTCCTTTGGGCCAGGGATTTTAAAACTTTTCCCACCCACAACCCTTCTTGGTCTGAGACATTTTCACACAGCATACAGGTTAACAACTACTGCAAAGCCTGACTATTACACTATGCAACACAGTTTTTGTTACTGGGTTATAAATTCTTAATTTTTACCCCCCTTTTCTCCCATGGGTGGGATTCAAAGCAGCATAAATGTCATTATATACTAATTTGTTCTATCATAAAAAGCATGGAAAAGGTTTATTCGACTGCACAAACTTTGTTTTTGTTGTAGGGAAATAATCCCGCAGCACATTTTGCTCTAGTTTTTCCATGAATCTCCCAAGTCTCCACCAATTCAACACAGCTGTGGCAGCCACAAAAACAAAGTTTCTGGAGCAGAAAAACAAATTTCAAACTAAATGTCAAACAATTAAACAGGAAATAATATATTGTCGAAAGCTTTCATGGCCGGAATCACTAGGTTGTTGTAGTTTTTTTCGGGTCCTGTTCTAGAGGCATTCTCTCCTGACGTTTCACCTACATCTATGGCAAGCATCATCACAGGTAGTGAGGTATGTTGGAACTAGAAAAAATGGGTTTATATATCTGTGGAATGACCAGGGTGGGGCAAAGAACTCTTGTCTGTTGGAACTAGGTGTGAATGTTTCAACTGACGACCTTGATTAGCATTTGATGGCCTGGCAGTTTTTTGGCGTGGCTTGTTAGTGCCTGGGGGAATCCTTTGTTGAGAGGTGATTAGCTGTCCCTCATTATTTCCTCTCTGTTGTACTGCTGTTGAAATTTTAGAGTTTTTTAATACTGGTAGCCAGATTTTGTTCATTTTCATGGTTTCCTCCTTTCTGTTGAAATTGTCCACATGCGTCTTGTGGATTTCAATGGGTTCTCTGTGTAGCCTGATATGGAGGTTGTGAGAGTGGTTCCAACAGACCTCACAACCTCTGAGGATGCTTGCCACAGATGCAGGCAAAACGTCAGGAGAGAATGCCTATAGAACATGGCCATATAGCCCAAAAAAACCCTACAACAACCCAGGAAATAATAGTTTCAAACCAGGAACAGGGGGAAAAATCCAATGTTGTTACCTAGTGTAATACTAAATCAGCATTTGCAAGGCTTGCTAAACAGACTGATTTTTTTCCTTTTTGTGGAGTACAGCTAAAGCATTTTCTGCAGACTCCAGTGTAAACACTGCAGATTCATGAAAATGTCTAGGTGGTGTTCAGAAACCTTTTATTGTTGCCAATTTTTTTTGTGAGTGAAGGGGCCTCTGCAGTTTAAGAAGCAGTGCCTTCGGCAACCTCTCTCCCCCGATGGTGTAAAAAGCAAGGATGCAATAATGCATGCAACCCCAAAAGAATAATAGAATCCTAGAGTTGGAAGAGACCTCCTGGGCCATCATCCAGTCCAACCCCATTCTGCCAAGAAGCAGGAATATTGCATTCAAATCACCCCTGACAGATGGCCATCCAGCCTCTGTTTCAAAGCTTCCAAAGAAGGAGCCTCCACCACACTCCCTCTGGGGCAGAGAGTTCCACTGCTGAATGGCTCTCACAGTCAGGAAGTTCTTCCTCATGTTCAGATGGAATCTCCTCTCCTGTAGTTTGAAGCCATTGTTCCCTTGCGTCCTAGTCTCCAGGGAAGCAGAAAGGAAGCTTGCTCCCTCCTCCTCCCTGTGGCTTCCTCTCATGTATTTTACATGGAAAGAATAAGAAAAGACAGTATCCTACCCCTTTCTTTCCATCAGTGGTTTTATCTGCATAAGGAATTTCCAAGACAGGATTGCACATGACCCGTCCTGTCTTTTGCTTCCTTGGGATGTGGGCTCTTGGTGTAGCAAAGACAATATCACACATCTGTTGTGCTGGTGCCGGTGACCCATGTTCCAACGCTTGAGATCCCCTTGGGCCAAACGTCTTGCCGGATGGGTGCACTGCCCTTCCTTCTTGGGGAAGCTTTCCAGGGGCCGCTCCTTCTAAAAGTTTGGCAGGCTCATCGGGGTAGATGCTGGTGTCCATCCCATCAGCTGCCAGGTTGAAAGTCTCTGATCCTGGCTGTACTGGCTCCACGATGAATGTGTCCACGTCAGAGGCTGCGGGATTCACACACGCTCCATTGAGATCATTTAACTGCTGGGCTGAAGTGGGCTTCACAGCAGCTGGAGGAGGGTCAGGTTGCTTGTTTTGGCAAAGCAAAGCATCTACCACAGAAAACACAAGAACAGGGCCAGGCTTTAGCACAGCTGCTTAATCACCAGCAGCAATAGATTTTACTAGTCTTACTAGAGGCTTGACTACTGTAACACTCTCTACATTGGCCTTCCTTTGTCAGTGATCCGGAAACTGAAGCTGGTGCAAAATGCGGTGGCTTGTCTTCTCGCCGGGGTGCCGGCGAGGTGTCGTATTACCCCAATTCTCCAACACCTGCACTGGCTTCTGATTGAGTACCGGATTACTTTCAATGTGCTGGTACTAACCTTGAAGGCCTTATATGGTCTGGGGCCAGCGTACCTGAGGGCCCGCTTATCCCCCTACTAACCCCAGAGATTACTTCGGTCCGAAGACCAAAATTTGCTTGCAGTCCCCAACATCCGGACTTATCATCTGTCCTCTACTAGGCAGAGAGCCTTCTCGATCGTGGCCCCTTATTTATGGAATGCCTTGCCAGTTGAAACCCGAACCATTCGAGAGCTACTTGCTTTTCGGAAAGCCTGTAAGACCTTTCTTTTCCGACAAGCTTTCGATGGGTGAATAACTCGGGACTATGTCTGTTCTCGTTTTTATTGTATTTTAAAGTTGTTTGTATTGTTTTAATCTACTGCTGTAAACCGCTCTGAGCCAAATTGGGAGTGGCAGTATACAAGCCAAATAAATAAATAAATAATAAAAGGTCGGCAGTTCAAAGCCTGGATCAGAGTGAGCATCTGACCTTCAGCCCAGATTACCAAGGAGTTTTGAAAACAGCTGTGAGCTGTGAGTAGAAAAATTAAGCACTAGTTAATTGGGGAGATATTTTACAACGCCATAAAAGAAATACCAGAAAATGCCAGCAATCAAAAGGAAGGAGGAAGTCTGTGATCAAGGCTCTTCGTCATAGAAGATGGATCGATAGCACCCCCATGTGGCCGGAATCGACCTCAACCTCCAGGAGGCTGAAGTTGGGAAAAATGCCAACATATACCTCTATCTGTTGTCTGTCCTGTCTGTTTAACGGCATGGAATGTTTGTCGCCTATGTGTTCTGTAATCCACCTTGAGTCCCCTTTGGGGTAATAAGGGCAGAATATACATGCTGTAAATAAATAAATAAACAAACTCTATACAGATCTATTTCACTGGCGGGCCAGTCCCTGAAGGTGGTGCTGGGGGACACCTGTTTGAACCCCTGTCCTTTGACCTGTGAGGTTCCTCAGGGCTCCGTTTTGTATGTCATGTTGTTTAATATATACATGAAACCACTGGGAGATGTCATCTAGAGTTTTGTGCCACCTATATGTGGATGAAACCCAACTTTACTACTGTTTCCCACCGAAAGCCAAGAAAGCTGCCTTTCAAGGCAAAATTCAATGCCACAAAAACAAAAGTACAATATCAAAACGTTAACATCAATAAAATCATAACACTATAATAAAATATAATTCAATAAATACTCATTAAAACAATGTCCGGTCTCATCATGTAGTTGTTCTGTTCTTACGTCCATTACTCAGTATTCGCAAATGCCTGCTCAAATAGTCATGTCTTAAGTTTCTTTCTAAATAATAGAAGTGAAGAAGCCGATCTGATCTCCCTAGGAAGGGGGTTCCGTAGCAGAGGGGCCACCATTGAGAATTGAGAAGGCCCTGTCTCTCGTCCCTGCCAGCCGTGCTTGTGATGATGACGGGACCGAGAGCAGGGCCTCTCCAGACGATCTTAAAGTCCTCAAATTCTTGAATCAGCACCGAAAAAAACCAAACTAAATTAAAGTTGACCAAAAACTGATTCGTAACCCTTTTGGTATTAATGGAAAGTGGTCCCTGATTAAAAAAAAAAAGCTTAGGAACCACTGCTCTAATGCAAGGAGAATATTTATTTATTTTATTTTGGGCACTTCTCCCCCACCCTTCTCAACCTCCAAGGGGGGACTCAGGGTGGCTTACAACCGGCACAATTCGATGCCAACAATTCAACAGATAAAATGCATAACAACAATAACCACAATAGTTAAAACATTCAATTAATACAACTAAAAAGCCAATCTAGTGGCCAACGTTCACCGAGTTCTGATATCCGTAAGTCCATTCAGCATTACCATAGTCCTTTCCAATTTCTGGTCGTCATTATCTTGTCAGTCTGCCAGATTACCCAAAGGCCTGGTCCCATATCCATGTTTTCAGCTTCCTTCTGAAGGAGAGGAGGGATGTTGATGACCTAATTTCCCCGGGGAGTGAATTCCACAGGCGAGGGGCCACCACTGAGAAGGCTCTGTCCCTCGTCCCTACCAGCCTCACTTGTGATAGAGGCGGGGCCGAGAGCAGGGTCTCCCCAAATGATCTTAAACTCCGAGGTGGGACATAGAAGGAGATACGTTCGGACAGGTATGTTTGATGTCCGAACTGGGTCACCGCACCGTCCCCCAACCAGAAGGAACAGAGCTCAGTAGCAGAGCGGGAACGGTAATGTGCTAAGAGAAGGGCAGAAGCATGCCCTTAGGATACTGTGAGAGAATAGGAACATAAAGTATGGCTTGTAGTTGAATGCACCATGGCCCCTGCCACTTAACAAACAGCCTGAGAGGAAAGGTCTCCAAGCCCAGATCGAAACATGGGGGGGAGAAGTACCTCTTTGAACCAGTTTCTGCTGCAGCTGCTGCTTCATGCGTGAGAAGAATTTATGAGGTGATTCCAAAACCTGAGACACTGCAACTGGGTCGCATACATTTTTATTCGTTGCAATATGACTGGGCGCTGAAAGAGAAGAAGAAAACTCAGCATGTCCTCAAATCTAGAAACAAGACTTGTAATTAACACAGTAGACTCTGTTAACCCATGGCTGCCAATGGGATTGGTATGCGCCTCATAAACGTAGCTTCTGGTTGCGAGGGAGCAACAATTAAAAATAGGCCTAACTAATACCATATCCCATACTATACCACATCATACACTGCATTTAATTGATGTTAATACTGAAATAAGGTACTTAAAAGCAAATAAAGACAAACTGAACTTAATGTAAGAGTTTTACTGTATTATCAAAACAGCGTTGAGAATGCAGAATGCAATTTGTGTTTTTTTTAAAAATGCAAATGTCTTGATTTCTAGTTAATTGTGGGTCTGCTGTAGTTTAAGTGGCTGAGGGGGAAAGGAAAGGGCCTGAAGCTGTTAGGAATTTATTTATTTATTTATTTATTTGGAGCATTTATTAACCGCCATTCTCAGCCCACTCGGGCGACTCACGGCGGTGTACAGTACAAAAGGCAATTCACACAAAGACAAGTACAACAGCATATTAACCATACAACAATACAACAGTTAAAATTACACTAACTAATCCGCTTTGTCTCGTAATAGAATCGTGACCAATCTCGTATTCCTTGTACCATTCCAGTCGTCTTTACCACATTACTATAGCACTTAATTAAATGCCCTCTCGAACAGCCACGTCTTGAGGCTTTTTCGGAAGGACAAAAGAGAGGGCGCCTGTCTGATGTCAGCAGGGAGGGTGTTCCACAGCCGGGGGGCCACCACTGAGAAGGCCCTCTCTCTCGTCCCCGCCAGGCGTGCCTGTGAGGCGGGTGGGATCGAGAGAAGGGCCTCCCCAGATGATCTCAAGGCCCTCGTGGGCTCATAGGCCGAGATGCGGTCTGAAAGGTATTTTGGGCCGGAACCGTTTAGGGCTTTGTAGGATAACACCAGCACCTTAAATTGGGCCCGGTAGCAAATCGGCAGCCAGTGGAGCTGGGACAACAAGGGTGTTGTGTGCTCCCTGTATCCCGCTCCAGTTAGTAACATGGCTGCCGCACGCTGAACCAGCTGAAGCTTCCGGGCCGTTTTCAAGGGCAGCCCCACGTAGAGAGCGTTGCAGTAGTCAAGCCGGGATGTGACCAGAGTGTGTACCACCGTGGCCAAGTCAGACTTCCCGAGATACGGGCGCAGCTGGCGCACGAGCCGAAGCTGTGCAAATGCTCCCCTGGTCACCGCTGAAACCTGGGGATCCAGGCTCAACGATGAATCCAGGGTCACACCCAAGCTGCGAACCTGCGCCTTCAAGGGGAGTGCGACCCCATCCAGCACAGGCTGTAACCCTATATCCCGTTCGGCCTTGCGACTGACCAGGAGTACCTCTGTCTTGTCTGGATTTAGTTTCAGTTTGTTCGCCCTCATCCAGACCGTCACAGCGGCCAGGCACCGGTTCAGGACCTCGACAGCCTCCTTAGTAGCAGGTGGAAAGGAGTGACAGAGTTGGACATCATCTGCGTACAGATGACACCGCACCCCGAAACTCCGGATGATCTTACCCAGCGGCTTCATGTAGATATTAAACAGCATGGGGGACAGTATGGAACCCTGTGGAACCCCACAAGTCAAAGGTTGTGGGGCAGAACAGGAGTCCCCCAATAACACCTTCTGGGTGCGTCCCTCCAGGAATGAGTGGAGCCACTGCAGAGCAGTGCCCCCAAGGCCCATTTCCGCAAGGCGCCCCAGAAGGATACTGTGGTCGACAGTATCGAAGGCCGCTGAGAGGTCCAGGAGCACCAACAGGGACACACTCCCCCTGTCTAGCTCCCGGCGCAGATCATCCACTAAGGCGACCAAGACCGTCTCGGTTCCATGTCCCGGTCTGAAACCAGACTGTGCCGGATCCAGATAATTCCGTGTCTCTCAAGAATACCTGGAGTTGTGAGGCCACCACGCTTTCCATGACTTTGCCCAAAAAGGGGAGATTGGAAACAGGCCGAAAGTTGTCAAATTTAGTGGGGTCCAGTGATGGTTTCTTCAACAGCGGTTTTATAATTGCTTGTTTTAAGCACGCTGGAATCTTGCCTTCCCGAAGGGAGGCATTAACCACCACCGTAACCCACTCAGCCAATCCCCCTCTGGCCTCTTTCAGAAGCCAGGATGGGCAGGGGTCTAGGATGGACGTGGTAGGCCTCATTCCTCCAAGTATCTTGTCCACATCCTCGGGTTTCACAAACTGAAAAGAATCCATCAAAATAGGACAAGCAGGTGCTCTTGTTACATCCTCAGAGACTGCATTTAACGCGGCGTCCAGCTCAGAACGGATCAAAGCGACTTTGTCTGCAAAGAACCGAGCAAATGCTTCACAGCGCGTGACCGAATTGTCAGGGCTCCCGCCTGAGGTGGCGGGAGTTAAAAGACCTCTAACAATCCGAAACAACTCCGCCGGACGGTTCTTTGCAGACGCAATAGTGGCCGCAAAGAAAACTTTCTTTGCGGCCTTTATTGCCGCGGCATATGCCCTAAGAAAGGACACAAACCGTGCTCGGTTTGACTCGCTTGGATCCGAACGCCACACGCTCTCTAGTTCCCTCTTCCTTCGCTTCATCACTGCCAGCTCCTCGGTAAACCAAGGGGCTGGTTTAGCTCGGCTACTTGAGAGGGGACGCTCCGGAGCGATCATGTCAATTGCCCTGGTCATCTCCCCATTCCAGAGAGCGACCAAGGCCTCGACATGGTCACCTACCGAGGTGGCAGGAAAATCCCCAAGAGCCGTCAGGAATCCATTCGGATCCATCAGTCCTGGGGCGGACCATCTTAATGGGTCCTCCACCTTTGCAGAGGTTAGGGGGCGCAGTGAGCCTAAATCTGATCAGGAAGTGGTCGGTCCATGGCAACGGAGAGATGGACAACTCCTCCACACCGCCACCCTGCTCCCATCCCTGGCAGAAAACCAAGTCCAATGTATGTCCAGCACAGTGGGTAGGGCCAGTTATTCGTTGGGACAGCCCCATGGTTGCCATGGCGGACATGAAGTCCTGAGCTGCTCCTGTGAGGGTCGCCTCGGCATGGATGTTGAAGTCCCCCAGCACAAGAAGCCGTTGGGACTCCAACGCCAGGCTCGAGACCACCCCCGCTAGCTCAGGTAGGGAGACTGTAGTGCAGCGAGGTGGACGGTACACTAACAGAATTCCTATTCTGTCCCGGTCACCCACCCTCAGGTGGACACATTCAAAATTTGTGTTCTGCGGGATGGGACTCCTGGTCAGATGGATGGAATCTCTATAGACCACTGCGACACCGCCTCCCCGTCCTCCGGATCTCGGTTGGTGCTGCTAATAGCTTACTAAAAGCTGGGTAAGATTTACGCCCCCCGCTTCATCCAGCCAGGTCTCCGTAATGCACGCCAGATCTGCCCGCTCATCCAGGATTAAGTCCTGGATCCAGGTCGTTTTTCCGTTGACAGACCTGGCGTTCAGCAGCACCACCTTCAATCCGGAGGGCCCGCTCACCTGGTTACACCAATATACCTTAGGAGACCGGTTTAGGGTTGTTAATGTTGGTAAGCGGTCCGAATTAAGCCGAATTTGAGGTCTCCTTTTACCGCATCTCCTCCTCCCCACCACGACCTCTATGGGGGCCCCTCGGCTAGTGGAACACCTCCCCTCCTCCATGCCGCAGTCCAGCACCAAGGTCTTATTTCCAATATCGCTCGAAGTTTGGATTGTTGGCCTTTGCCATCTCCCTTGCCTCCCCTCCTCCCCCCTCCCCCCCTCATTATTGTTCACAGGCTCCAGCCCTCCTCCTCCCCTGCCCCCTCCACTAGTCAGCAGTAACAGGGACAGAACAAATAGGGGGATGGGGAGCCACATGGATAACAATAGATTCAGGTGGGGCTAGGCGTTCAGCCACACCAGTTAAACAGTTCGTAAAGTGCAAGAGACTTAAATGCCACCCAGTCAGTAATATCACTCAATCAACAACATACTGCGTACCGTTGGGCACATACATAAAGTGCAAGATCTAAGGTGCAGTACATAAAGTGCAAGATCTAAGTGCAATAGATACCCAAACTGGTTCTCTCAATTAACTAAAGTGCGGCATAGAGGAAAAGGATGGGGGCGTAGTGCTGGTATAATTTAGCAGCAGTGGCAGGCGCCTTAAAGTGCTATTGCGTTCTTGATCAAATTAGCAGCAAACGACAACCAAGGGGTAACTGAGGTAGTGATATGTAATCACACTCTCACAAGGATGATGGTAATAGTAATTGGATAAGGTTATTAAAATTGTTATGATTCAGATGTAATCCCTAGACGGTTGGTCTAAAAGCGGATGGGTCATCCGGCGATGTCAACACAGCGGCGGTCAGCACAGTTGAACTACGATGATATCTCTTCATACAAAGAGGCCAGCATAAGAGGTCTACACAAACGGTCTACACAAGAGGTCTACACAAGAGGTCTACACAGTAACAATCAGCAGTTCAACACAGTCAACACAATCAGCAGGCACTGCTGGACCATGAAAGATCACACAATTTGTCCAATTTGGAATTGTGGAAGTTGGAGTCCAAAACACCTGGAGGGCCAAAGTTTGCCCAAGCCTGGTGTAGACACACAATATAGATTAAACCATTAAACAAACTACTCTATTAACATGCTTCAGAAGAAAGCCTTGGCAAACCACCTCAGAATATTCCTTGCCAAAGGAAACCTATGACATTGATGAGGTTGCTATAACATGATGGGTGACTTCAAGGCTCATACAAACACATATTAAAAAGAGTACTAATTTAAAGCAAACTCAACAACACAGCACCCGTTCTCTTTGAAAACCACTCTGCATCTTTGCCTCCTAAGCTCTGAATTCTTTACAACCACAACCAAAGGCACTTCATGCTCTTCTCGCTAGTGAGCTGATGCTCAACCTTTGTATCCTGTTTGATTTTTGGATGCATATGTGGTGGGACTGCAAATATGTAAAAGATTTTTGGGGATTGGTTATAACAGAAATAGAAAATATTATGGATATAAAAATTAGGAGGAATCCAGTAGAAATATCACTTTTAATTAAAAAAGAGGATGGGAAAGATAAGAGGGAATTTTTTTTAGTAGAAATGCTATTAACAGCAGATAGACTATTAATCGCAAAATATTGGAAAGGGACAATGAAAATACAGATTAATTAATGGTATAAAGAAATCTAGAAAATGGCATTGAATGATAAGCTAACATCAAACTTAAAAGTAAAGAAGGGATTATGTAAAAAATGACTTTGAAAGTATCTGGAGAAAATTTCTAGAAAAATTATTGGAAAGAGAAGATGGGAATTTATCTCCAAATGAAGAACTGATTTTTTTGGTGGGACTTTAGGAAAAGAGATGGCTCTGGAGAAGGGGAGCACAGGGGTGAATGTAAATAAAAGAGAGGGAAATGTATAGTATATGTCTATATAATAGGGCTGGGTAACAACGGAAAAATTTGTTTCTAAACTCGTTTCATTTTTAGGGGGTCCATTGCGTTCCGTTTTTTAAAAGCATTTCGAATTTCTCTTTAAAAAAATTTCATTATTTACGAAATTTCGTAAATTTCGAATTGATTTGTTAATGGTGGACGCGATTGCGCAATACGCTAAAAAACCCTCCAAATGGGACAGGGGGAACTTCTGAAGCTTCCCTCTCTCTCTCTGTTGTTGACTGTTGGTGTGATAATTTATTTTTTTTATCACTGATAAAACAAACAACAACTATAAAACTTGCACCAGACATACGGAAATAATAACGAAACAATTTCGAAACGATTTCGAACCAATTACGGAACAATTACGAAATAAATTGAAAAATTCGTTTCGATTTTTAGTTGCTCCTGCATGGCTCAATATCGGATCGTAAGCTAATTTAAATATGAATCAATAACTAATTACGAAATTAACGAACGAAACCACCCAGCCCTACTATATAATTGTATTTTCTCTTCTCAAATAAAGTTTTTAAAAAGGAAATGGATGAGGGACGTTTATAGACAGGAATGGAAGAACACACCTTTTCCCGCCTTGGCCTCCTCATGTGGCTCGTCATCCAGCAGTTCCTTTAGCTTCTCCTCTTTGGCGCTTGGTTTCTCGCCTTGCCTTCCCAAAAGGCCTGGGTGTCTTGCAGGAGTGAGGATGTAATCCGTGGTGCTGTTTGTGTTGGTGAGATTCCTTTCCAGAGGCGTGCCCTGGTGCACAGCCCTAAGAGCTGCCCTGATCTTCATGGCTGAGAAGATTTTTGACGGAGACTGAAAAGGTGGCCGCTCGCAAACCTTACTTTTGAGGTAGGTGCTCCCTGTCGGCGATATGGCTTCCTGCTTCACATCACATAAAGGTGGCCCCTGTTCTTCAGTAACTGGCTTTATCTCGCTGAGGTCAAGAAATAATTTATCAAAAGGAGCACCAGCTATGAGAGTTGACTGGAGGGTTTTCCCCCCTTTAACCTCTTTTCTCAAGCCATTTTTTCTGCAGGGAAGAACCACTGAAGGAAAAACAGCTTCTTTGGCAACTGAAGTTCTATCCTCCCGAAATTTCCCCAAGTCTTTTAGAGGCGTACCTCCAGGGATGATGCTGAGGGAAACTGCTTTCATTTCTCCTCTTCTACCAGAAGGAAATGGAGACAACAAAATCCCTCAAACTTTTTGCGAGGTAGCAAGTACCTTAACAAAACATGACTCTTCCATGTTGTTCCAATGGCAAAGTCTTTCAACTTGATGTCTTTTTTATTACTATGAAGAGAGGGTCATAAATTCCAGGTTTGTGCTTTCACATTTTAGCTAAAAAGAAAAATGCCGTGGTTAGTTTTGTGCTTAAGAACAAGTAACATTATTTGCATCAGACTCAAGTGACAAATACTGATTTTTATCCTAATTTTCAGGATACAAAACTCCCCACGTTGGCTGACAAGTGATCATAACAAGCTACCCATAATCTGAGGAAAGGACTGGATGGCAGACCAGGAATGCAGCAAACTTAATGTGTTAAGTTGTTAACTGTTTTCACACTGTTGCATTGAACTTTTGCTGTTCTTATTGGTTGTGAACCGCTGTGAGTCGCCTTTGGGCTGATGTTTCGCCTGCATCTATGGAAAGCATCCTCAGAGGTAGTGAGGTCTGTTGGAAATAGGGAAATGGGTTTATATATCTGTGGAATAACTGGGGTGGGGCAAAGAGCTCTCTGCTGAAGCTAGGTGTGAATGTTTCAGCTGACCACCTTCATTAGCATTTGAAGGCCTGGCTGAGCCTGGGAAAATGTTCTGTTGAGAGGTGTTAAGAGGTGTTACCTCTGCAGAAGTCTACTGTGTACCATGCAGCTGTGGACAAGTCTACATAGGGACCACCCAATGCAGCGGAATTGCCCAAACACGCATCAAGGAACATGAAAGGCACTGCAGACTCCTTCAACCAGAGAAGTCAGATATAGCAGAGCACCTGATGAACCAGCCTGGACAGAGCACCTGATGAACCAGCAGGATGTCACAGCAAACGAGATCTATATGCTGAATTTCTTATCACAGAATCAAAAGTCGAACACTTCCCAAGCGGGTTGTTGTAGGTTTTTTCGGGCTATATGACCATGGTCTAGAGGCATTTTCTCCTGATGTTTCGCCTGCATCTATGGCAAGCATCCTCAGAGGTAGTGAGGTCTGTTGGAAGTAGGGAAAAGGGTTTATATATCTGTGGAATGACCAGTGTGGGACAAAGGACTCTTGTCTGTTGGAGCTAGGTGTGATTGTTTCAACTGACCACCTTGATTAGCATTTGATGGCCTGGCAGTGCCTGGGGCAATCTTTTGTTGAGAGGTGATTAGATGTCCTTGTTTGTTTCCTCTCTGTTGTTGTGCTGTGCTAGCACATTATTTGAGAACACAGCATATTATTTGAGAACACAGAAATGCTGGACCACTCTCACAACCACCATGTCAGACTACACAGAGAAGCCATTGACATTCACAAGAAGCATGTGGACAATTCAACAGAAAGGAGGAAACCATGAAAATGAACAAAATCTGGCTACCAGTATTAAAAAAAACTCTAAAATTTCAACAGCAAAACATCAGAGAGGAAACAACCAGGCACATCTTGACACCTCTCAACAGGGGATTTTCCCAGGATCAGCCAGACCTTCAAATGCTAATGAAGCTGAAACATTCACACCTAGCTCCAGCAGACAAGAGTCCTTTGTCCCACCCTGGTCATTCCACAGATATATAAACCCATTTTTCCTCGTTCCAACAGACCTCATTACCTCTGAGGATGCTTGCCATAGATGCAGGCGAAACGTCAGGAGAGAATGCCACTAGACCATGGCCCTATAGCCCGAAAAAACCCACAAGAACCTAGTGATTCCAGCCATGAAAGCCCTCGACAATACATTGACTCAATAATAATAATAATAATTATGACTACTATTACTATTGTGTCTCTTCGTATCCATCCTCACCGTCAGCGGCTTCTTCTCCTCACAGACTAACCGCCGTTACGTTCGAATCTCCACCGCGTAGAATCCGCCGCCGCTGATTGGTCGGAAAGCCGGACGTGACGCCATCACGTCGTCGGGGACGGAAATGCCTCTGTCAGCCATTTTGGAGACGGGCAAAAAGAAGAAATAGGCCAAGAGACACTTGTCAGGCCTTTCGCTTACAGTCATGAAGACACCAGTTAATGCTACTGCGGGGGGGACTACGTAATCTGTATTAAACGAAATGCCTCTAAAAGAGGAAGAAAGGCCTCTGAGGAGAGATTCCCAGTGCGCATGCGCAGTTGACTTATAGCGCTGCAGCAGTAGTGGGCGGGGCCCAGTTCTAGCGCATGCGCACATCCAAGTCTCGTTCTCTCCTGGAAGGATCCCAGTGCGCATGCGTAGTTTCCTCCCTTCGTTGCCGAGCCTCTGGCTGTATTGAGCAGTGCCTGGGTGTAGCGCATGCGCACATCCAAGCCTCTCATTCTCTCCTGGAAGGATCCCAGTGCGCATGCGTACTTTCCTCCCTTCGTTGCCGAGCCTCTGACTGTATTGATGTGTGTGGGTTTAGCGCATGCGCACATCCAAGCCTCTCATTCTCTCCCAGTGCGCATGCGTAGTTGACTCCCTTCGCTGCCGAGCCGCTGACTGTATTGAGTGGTGCCTGGGTTTAGCGCATGCGCATATCCAAGCCTCTCATTCTCGCCTGGATGGATCCCAGTGCGCATGCGTAGTTTCCTCCCTTCGTTGCCGAGCCCCTGACTGTATTGAGCGGTGCCTGGGTTTAGCGCATGCGCAGATCCAAGCCTCTCCATCTCTTCCCAAGTTCTGGGAAGTGTCCCGGTTTCTTTCTTTCTTTCTCCCTTTGCGCTCAGCTTCCATTCATTTCTGTGCAAAAGAAGTGGAGAGGAAGAAGGAGAACACACATTGCAGATACTGTGTATCAAATAACCTTAAAGCTATGCATATATGTATCTGTTATATAAAACTTAAATGAATATTTGGTCTAGCATTTGATGGCCTGGCAGTGCATGGGGCAATCTTTTGTTGAGAGGTAATTAGATGTCCTTGTTTGTTTCCTTGCGCTGTTGTAATTTTAGAGTTTTTTTTAATACTGGTAGCCAGATTTTGTTAATTTTCATGGTTTTCTCCTTTCTGTTGAAATTGACCACATGCTTGTGGATTTCAGTGGCTTCCCTGTGTAGTCTGACAACAACAAAAGATTGCTCCAGGCTCTGCCAGGCCATCAAATGCATTTGGGTTGAGGCTTTGGAGCTTTGCTGTTGTGTATTGGGGCTCATTTTGCATAGAGGCACATTGCATGTGGCTATTATAATGCAGCTTGAATTTCTGCATTTGGTTTAAGACTGTGGAGTCATGCTATTGTGCATTGGTGCACATTGCACATAGAGGGACATTTCACATGGTGATTACACACAAGTATTAATACAGTTTGAATTTCTGTATTTGGTTTGAGACTGTAGAGTTGTGTTGTTGCGCATTGCTGCGTATGGTGCATTGAGGCTCATTGCACATTGAGAACATCTACCCTGTCAAATTAATACAGTTTGAATTTCCACATTTTGTTTAAGGCTGTGGAGTTGTAGAGTTGTACATCGGTGCACATTGTGCATAGAGGCGCCCTGCACATGGTGATTGTTTATTTATTTATGTACCATATTTGTATACCGCCTTTCTCAGCCCAAAGGTGATCTACATTGTAGAATTAGTGCAATTTGAATTTCTGCATTTGGTTTGAGGCTGTGTAGAGTCATGCTGTTGTGCATTGGTGCACATTGTGCATGGAGGCACATTGCAGATGGCAATTATTTACACTATAGAATGAATGCAGTTTGAATTTCTGCATTTGGTTTCAGGCTGTGGAGATGTGCTGTAGAGTTGTACATTGGTGCATAATGTGCATAGAGGCCCATTGCGCATGGAGATTACCTTCACTGTAGAATTAATACAGTTTGAATTTCCACATTTGTTTTAAGGCTGTGCAGCTGTGCTGTTGTGTATTGGTGCACATTGTACATAGAGTCACGTTGCACATGGTGATTATCTACATTGTAGAATTAGTGCAGTTTGAATTTCTGCATTTGGTTCGAGACTGTGGAGTCATACTGTTGTGCATCGGTGCACATTGCGCATAGAGGCACATTGCACATGGAGAGCACCTACCCTGTCAAATTAGTGCAGTTTGAATTTCTGCATTTGGTTCGAGACTGTGGAGTCATGTCGTTGTGCATTGCTACACATTGTGCATAGAAGCACATTGCACATGGAGAGCATCTACCCTCTCGAATTAGTGCAGTTTGAATTTCTGCATTTAGTTCGAGACTGTTGAGTCATGCTGTTGCTCATTGGTGCACACTGAGGCGCATTGCACACGGAGAGCATCTACCATGTTAAATTAGAGCAGTTTGAATTTCTGCATTTGGTTTGAGGCTGTGGAGTCATGCTGTTGTGCATAGAGGCACATTGCACATGGCGATTATTTACACTATAGAAAGAATGCAGTTTGATTTTCTGCATTTGGTATGAGGCTGTGGAGTTGTGCTGTTGTGCATAGAGACACATTGCACATGGCGATTATTTACACTATAGAAAGAATGCAGTCTGAATTTCTGCATTTGGTTTGAGGCTGTGGAGTTGTGCTCTTGTGCATTGATGCACATTGTGAACATGAAGCAGGCACATTGTGCACCAATGCACAATGTGCACCAATGCACAAGAGTTGTGCTCTTGTGCATTGGTGCACATTGTGAACATGAAGCAGGCACATTGGATGATGCACCTTCGGTTGCACCGCATTGATGTCCAGCCGAAAGACACTGTTGTTGTTGTTGTTCCTCCGTGTAAGGAAAGGTGTGCACATTTACGCCATGCAAATGTGGCCCCTGAACTTGGGCGATGTTTACTCTCTGGGGCTCCCTCCCCCCCTTTTCCATGTTAGGAGTTCCCCCTGCGCCAAAGCCCCTTCTAAGTCCCACTAAAACCATTCCCCTCCCTCTTAGGTTTTAAATCAATCAGAGCGCCTTTGAAATGAGCCGAGGGTTCCACAAAGTGCTTTGCTTTGACTGGATTACGGAGGAACACAAGGCGCTGCCTTATCTGCAAGGCTTCAGGCTCCGGGAGAGGGGCAAAGGGGCTTCTTATCAGCCAGAGGAAGCCATGTGCTCCGCTTTAGAGATCCCTTTGCAGGGGAACCAGCACCGCATGGGTTGCACTTAGGAATGCATTGCAGGCTTAGCTCTCCATGGGACTCACAATGGGTCCCTGCCTCGATCTGGTAAGATTTGCACACTATAGGAAGCTGTTTGTTCCTATAGCCGATGCATCAGTAATGTATGATATCTGCTGAATGAAATTCCTGAACTTACTTACTTACTTAGGCGATCTCTCATAGTGCAAAGATGATGGTCCTCCAAGTGATGTGTCTTGGTGGTGGATACATAGGTGACTGTGGAGCCCTCTTCTTGACCCGCATCTTCTCCCACAGTGAGGGCATCGGTTTCCAGGTGAAAGGCGGTCCCGGATGGGGTTGGCTTGACATGCCTTCCTCTTGGCATGTTTCTCTCTTTTGCCCTCCATTTGTGCCTCTTCAAATTCTGCAGCACTGCTGGTCACAGCTGACCTCCAGCTGGAGCGCTCAAGGGCCAGGGCTTCCCAGTTCTCGGTGTCTATGCCAGAGTTTTTAAGGTTGGCTTTGAGCCCATCTTTAAATCTCTTTTCCTGTCCTCCAAAATTCTGTTTTCCATTCTTGAGTTTGGAATAAAGCACCTGCTTTGGGAGATGGTGGTCGGGCATCCGGACAACATGGCCGGTCCAGTGGAGTTGATGGCGGAGGACCATCGCTTCAATGCTGGTGGTCTTTGCTTCTTCCAGCATGCTGAATCATTCCATCATGGAATGTGTCCAGAGGAGGGCGACTAAAATGATCAAGGGTCTGGAGAACAAGCCCTATGAGGAGCGGCTTAAGGAGCTGGGCATGTTTAGCCTGAAGAAGAGAAGGCTGAGAGGAGATATGATAGCCATCTATAAATATGTGAGGGAGGAGGGAGCAAGCTTGTTTACTGCTTCCATGGAGATTAGGACAAGGAACAATTTAATCAAACTACAAGAGATTCCATCTGAACATGAGGAAGAACTTCCTGACTGTGAGAGCTGTTCAGCAGTGGAACTCTCTGCCCCGGAGGGAGTGTGGTGGAGGCTCCTTCTTTGGAAGCTTTTAAACAGAGGCTGGATGGCCATCTGTCAGGGGTGATTTGAATGCAATATTCCTACTTCTTGGCAGAATGGGGTTGGACTGGATGATGGCCCAGGAGGTCTCTTCCAACTCTTTGATTCTATGATTCTATGACTCCAGGAGTTGCATGTGGCGTCTGTAGACAATCCACGTTTCTTCATTGCTTTGAACGAAATACAAATAAAGCATTGGAGCCATCAACTGCCATCAATTCCACTGGACCGGCCACATTGTCCGAATGTGGCCGACCACAGTCTCTCAAAGCAGTTGCTCTACTCCAAACTCAAAAACAGGAATTGTAATGTTGGTGGGCAGGAAAAGAGATTTAGAGAGGGGCTCAAAGCTGACCTTAAAAACTGTGGTATTGACACTGAGAACTGGGAAGCCCTGGCCCTTGAACACTCTAGTTCGAGGTCAGCTGTGACCAGCAGTGCTGTAGAATTCGAAGAGGCACTAATGGAGAGCAAAAGGAATTTATTTATTTATCGTGTCATCAGCAACCATACCATTGTATTACATTTGTAACAGAACAAAAGAAACACACAGATTAAAAAACCCCAAAAAACACAGATTTTTCAAGCTTGGTAGTTGGTTAAATGTCCTTTGACCAGTATCTGGCCACTTGGAGTGCTTCTGGTGTTGCCGCAAGGAGGTCCTCCATGGTGCATGTGGCAGGGCTCAGGGTGCATTGCAGCAGGCGGTCAGTGGTTTGTTCTTCTCCACACTCGCATGCCGTGGATTCCACCCTGTAGCCCCATTTCTGAAGGTTGGCTCTGCATCTCGTGGTAAGTCGCCCCATCTTCTGTGTGCCCAGGGGGAAGTCTCTTATCTGGTATCACCCATGGATTGAGGT